GTAGCACGCCAACTTGAGAATTATTCATGATGTCGTTGTAAATTTCATCCCCAAGGTGATCCCTGATCATCATGATGAACTCATGAAGCTTGCAGTTATGATGACAACTCTTCTTCAGCAAAGGAGATTGGCCTTCCGGGTACAATCTTTGGGGATAATCCTTTGAGCCGCTAGCTGAAGCCATGTCTGCAAACAAATAAAAACATTAAAATCTTACAAATCTACCACACATCAAAACAAATCTACCATGAACAAACACATGTCTACCAAACTCGACAACAACTATAGAATACCTACCACAAAACATTAACAAATCTACCAAAACGAACACAAATCTACCACAAATAAAAGAAAAAAAAATATACAACACAAATCTACCAAATAAATACATAAATCTACCACACACAAAGAGAGAACGCAAATATAGAATTCGTAAGTCTACCAAACGCAATTTTAAACCCACAATCATTACAAACACAAATTACTCACCACATATGAAAACAAATCTACCATGAACAAGTCTACCAAACTCGAAAGCAACTATAATATAAAATCTACCAAACCCGGGAGCAACTATAGTATATAACTCTACCAAATACGACCAAAAGTCTACCACACATGGAATAAATCAACCAACAATACATAAATCTACCAATACAATCTCAACAATAACTCTACCAACAATACTTTGATTATTCAAACAAGACAATGAAACGAAAACAAATCTACCTCACATAGAAAACAAATCTACCTCACATATACAAATCGACCAAATGCAACAACTACTGAAAAGTCTACCAAAAACAAATTAGAACCGAACCACTCCGACCAGAAATTACTCGCCGGAAATCGTGTAGGGTCTCTGGAAACCGTTCTCCAAAGACGGAAATCACCGATAATAATACTTCCCTGAAAAAAATAAGAAAAGGGTTACAATTTCTGAGTAAAATCATGTGAACAGATGGTTTCTCTTCCGCCGTTAGCGCGAAACCACCGTTGACACCCAAACACAACCGTCGCGACTAAAGGCGTAGACAGTTTTCGACATAACCCCGAAAACCCAAGACAAAAACTTGTTCGAGACGAGAAATGAACCCAGATGTGAAACACTTACCAGATGAGTGGCCGAAAAACCTTTCGTCGCCGCCGAAATCGCCTTCTTCGCCGCCGAAAACCCTAAATCGCCTATAACGTCGCCGAATCGCCTATATCGTCGCCGCCGGATTAGGGTTTACAGTTTTTTTTTGTTTTGTAATTTCTAATTTTAGAATTAGGGAAATATTTGTGTATATATATGTATATGTATATACGTATGTATATAATTTGAAGTTTTTTTTTAAATTACAATGGCAATCAGGTAATAATATTGATTATTTGGATAAAATTGTATAACACCAACTTTTGAAATGTTAGGCTAAGTTTGTCAACATTAACGTTAAAGGTTAGTTTGAGGAATTTTCGCTAAATTTTATTTGACGCCTTCTTCCAGAACAAGAACCGCAATCCAAATCTGGTTTGTAATTTTGGTATCGGCCGTTAATTATTACAAGAACCTAAGTTATGTAACTAAACGTCACACAGAACCAGCAAATAGTAGCACAGTCTCCACCAAGTAGAGAATTTCCCGCCAGGCAAAATCTCTAGGGCATATGTCTGATTCAATCTGAAATTGAATGCCCTCATGAATCTTGCAATTCCAACGCTTTCTCTCTCCGTGACCTTAATCCCTAATCATCCAATTCGTCAGCTCACAGCTCCGATTCTCGGAGGGAAATTTGCACGCCCTAGGCCTAGGCTTCTGTTTCCGCTCCGGCTAAATGAGACTCCGGCTTGTCTCGCCGCGAAAAGGGTTTTCCGGGTTAGAGCAACAGTCGACGGAGATGGAGGAAAAACCGGGAATTTCGTTAACCGGTTACCTATTCCAGGACTCGGAGCTGAAAATGTCTTCAGATTGATTTCGAGCGCGACAGGAAGTCCAATTGGACAGTTCATATCGTCCCCTGTAACTTTTTTGCATTCGGTGGATCCAAGGATCAAATTGGTAAACTAAATTTTGGTTTTTGGTCAAATTTTTTTACCGAGTTTTGTGAGAAATCAAACGTTGCACGATGAGTTTTAATATGTGTGGCTTTCGTAGCAATTTGGTGTCTGTTAATCGGTTTTTAGATCAAGATTCAAGCTTTTCTCTAAATCTAATTAGCCCGAGTATAGCTCGTTGGTTCAGTCAACTTCATTTAGTTTCTGATGAAGAAATGCGTTTATAAAAGTCTACTGGCACTAGGAAAGTATTTTAGGGGCACCGAATCTTCTCATGAAGTGAGCTTGCATCTACTGTCTGCAATGACGGTGCTTGTTGAAACGAAAAAACACTAGGTTTTTATTCATTGGTTTTTGAGGTTTTTGTGAAGCAACTATGGATTTGTCAGAACCGTTCATAGATATGTGTTATTAGAGTTCTTGTTTTTAAAATATGGTGTTTGGTTCGAGGACTGTGCAAACCTTACTGTAAAACAATATTCCTCCTTTTCTTCTGAACCTCTTAAAAAGACAGGTTTGGTATATATATATATATATAAAGCTTGATGTTTCCTTTGCTATGCTGAATTTGGTATTTGCATAATTGCAGGTATGGCTATTAACTCTAGTACTTCTTCCTGCAAGAGCAAATATAGTTGTGCGTTTAGGACTTGTTGTATGTACAGCGCTTTTGTCAATCTGTGTTCTTCCAAGACAAGTGTGGATGGTGAGTTATTTAGCTCTGTCACTATTCTGTTTATTTATTACTCTATACAACTGAGATTTTCTCTGAATCTCCATTTCGCTTTTGGCTTTTGAGGATTAAAATGTGGCTATGAATAGATGTGGTGAATGTAACTTGTAATATTGTCATGTGTAGTTCTTGAGTTGATATATACAATGTGTTACCGACTTCTTGTAATTACAAGGCTCTCTTCTCTCTGCTTGCCCTGGTTTCTGTCTTATGATCTTACTTAGTTTCTTAACTTTTTCATGTAAGGATCAACTGGGGAGAGTGTCACTCCTTGCGGGAATCCTCTTCATAACCTTGGGGTTAGGTTCAGATGGTGCACCACCAATGCTTCAATCAAGAACCCCACCATCTGCAATCACAAGCTTGCCTGATCTTCCCATGTCTTTGAGCGGTTACTCGTACATGTTGCTGAAGCTTGGACCTTTGCAGTTCACAAGGAAAGGTTTGTCTGTTGGAAGCACAGCTGCATGCTTAACCTTTATTGTAAGTCGCTATTCTTCCCTCGGTTTCCTCTTTTCTTTCTTTTGTTAGATCACTTAATGGAACGTTTGGTTTTTTGTTGTCACAGATCTTCCAAAGTGCTAGTATTTGCCTTGCAACCACAACACCAGAGCAACTTGCGCTAGCTCTGCGTTGGTTCTTGTTCCCGTTGACATATATCGGTGTTCCAGTCAGTGAAATTATCCTCACACTCCTGCTTTCACTGAGATTCATTAATTTGGTGTTCGATGAGGTGAAGACTTTTTCACTTTTTTCTTTCTATATACATCTACCGGCTTCGCATTGGCCTAATTACATAAAGGTATGTTGTGCACATGTTACATTGTAGGTTCGAAGTGTTGCACTGGGAATTGTATCCCGAAGAGTAAACTGGAAGCAGCTTACTGTTCTGGAGACACTTGATAGTAAGATTCTAAGTTTCTCTTCTCTCTTATCCTGAAACTGAAATTGGTTTGATGATTTTATCAGTCTATTCAGAACTCAGCGTACATACAAGTGACTGTTTTTTTTTGTAGTTTTCGCTTCATTCGTACGCCGGATATTCAAGAATATATTTCGCCATGCCGAGCAAATATCGCAGGTCATATAGATTTTCTGTTACCTTTTTCTCATTGATCAGCTTTGTCCAAGATTTTTTTTTTTTTTGTTTCTTATGTGGTGAAGAGAAAATCCGAGAGGAACTCTGTTAAAGAACTTTATGTATTGTCTATTAATATATGTGCAGGCTATGATTGTTAGAGGCTTCAGAGGTGATAGCAGTAACCACAAGATCTACTTCTTCTCGGGCTCATCAAATAAGTTCGCAGATTTTGCATCTGTCTTGTGTCTAATCGGTGTAATCTCAACCGCCATCTTGTCCGAATACTTATTTGTCTAATATTATATTAACTGATTGTTTCCATCTTAGTCTTTCTTTAACACATTAAACATCTAGTATAACACTTTCTCTATATCTTGAGATAAATCAACAATTATAGGGAAGTATCAAATCTCATACATGCTAAGTAGGTAACTGAAAACAATATTCCTCCTTTTCTTCAGAACCTCTGGCTTGGCCTGAAGTATTAATTTTTGTTTTATATTCAAAATCAGACAGAACCTGAACCTTTCCTAAACTGTTTTTTTTCACGTGGATAAAATTTGTAGGTTAACCATTCACATCAATCCAAATGTAAACAAAATAATGAATCAGGGATTTGAACACAAGATCTCAATTTCATTCCTAGCCATACATTACCATTTTGCTAATGAATCAGAGATTTTAACCTTTTCCAAGGTGAAGGGTTAACTTGCAAATTTTATCCATGGTTCTTTTGTAGAAAACCATTTTTTTTAAGAAAAAAAAAACAGAACCAAAATTTATGTGAGATTAATTTTCCCAATTCGAAAAATCTGAAACACCAACCGAACTAACACCAGAATACTTAGCCCTATTTGAGGCATTTTGGTAAATCCAATTTGTAAAACGAAAAATGGACAGACAAACAAAACTAAATTAAACAACAACAAAAAAAGAAAGAAAAAAATAGAATATTGAAAACAAAAAAAAAAGTTTGGCAAGATTGTATGCTTTCGAGGTTTCCAAATACGTCGTTACGAGGAAACGAAGGTCAGACAGAGAAGCCAACAATTTTTCTCCCTCTCCCCACCATTTTTGTCAATTATTTTCTTTCTTCTTCTATTTATTCCAAATCTTTATTACAGACACAAACAAAAACTCACGAATTAGATTTTCCTTACAGTTAAACTAATTTCATTACAAAAACACCAGAGCAGGAATCGAAGAAAAGGACCATCTTACCCTTTTCTTCTTCTTCTTCCTCTCTGTTCTTCCCCACCACCACCACCATTTCTTTTTCTTTTTTCTTTTTTCTGGCCCCGAAGATTCCTTCTTCCTTTTTTAGGCATTTAACGATGGGCACTGAAATCATCCGGCCTCAAAACTGTTTAATTGACCGGATGAGAGATTCTCCGGCGACAATTTTTCACCCTCGGAGGAATCATTTTCACCGGAGACCGCCTCTCCGACCTGACCATAGGAGACGATTCGGCTCCGATGAGTTTAAAACGACAGCAAAGGATGTCGTTCGGAGAAGAGGGGAGTCTTTCGATTCGATCTCGAACATCAAGGCTCGGAGATCTTCCGGGAAGAATCCAACGGAAGTCTACGCCGACGATGTTTACGCCGGGTCTTCGATTTTCGTTGATTCTCCGGCGCCGAGCTCGCTGCCTTTGCCTTCTTTCTCGAGGAGGAATGCGAAAAGCCATGTCGTTGTTGTTTCCGTGGATGATTCGGCGTCTCAGGATCTCCGGCGACTTCTCCGGCTGGAATTTTGAAAAATCAAGAAAAAGCGGGAAACTTGACGGAATCGTCAGCTATTTAACGGTTCATACATAATTCTCGGGATCGTCTCCGTTACTGTTTATTAAATCTGTCCTTCCTTTGACTGTTTTGTTTAGAAAGGGGCGGATGTTAAAGGTCGTATAAAAATACGGGGTCAGATTTAGAAATTAATGTTAAATATTATCTGACTTTTTCAGTTCTTCGTGTAATGTGAGGAGATTTTTAAAATTAAATTCTTTGGGGTCCAATCGTTAATTAATTAAGAAATACAGGTCAAACAATTAATTAGTTTATAGATGTACCCAAACTGTCAAATAGTAGGTAAAGATTTTGAATATTACAGAAAAATTCGATTTTGCCCAGAGGAGCGGACTGACATTTTTGTTGAGACATTTGGAAATTATCAAATTAAGAAATAAACTTGTCGGAGGAAAATCACTACCCCGAAAATGGGAAGTTAGTTTCTATTTGTTTGGTGTAATTTTATGAAAAAAAAGGCATTATTGTGTTCGTTCCCCTTATTATGCATAAAAATCGGCAGAAACCTTTTAGCTATGTAGAATTCAATTCAAGTTAAAATCTTCATATTATCTTCTAAAGGTTTTTTTGTAATCTACTGTTAGATTATATTCAAAGAAAAAAAAAACTGTTTTCACAACTTTGAATCTTTGATCAAGACATTGTAAATTTTTAAAAATACAACTCCTTTAGCCTTGGTCTTGTCGGGTTACGAACCAAACTATCAGCCCGCCATCGTACTTCATTATACCATTATCTTATAAAGTTACTAAAACGGTTTAATTCAGATTTGAAAAAAATACCACTCTACCAATCTAGCCGATAATATATGGTGGGTGGGTGGGTGGGGGGAATGAGAGAGCTCTCATGTTGGTTACAATTTTTTTGGTTTGCGATTTTCCAATTTTTGAGGTTGTCTTTTTTTTTATAATAAAATTGTAAAAAGTCATATTTCAACAACACATGACGATAATAAAATTATAGAATAGGTAAAAACCAAAATTTTAAATAATAATGAATTTTAAAATCATTATATCAATAATTATAGATTTTCTTTAAATATCACAATTCATAAACCAATAACAGCATAGTCTTCTTCTTTTTTAACAACTTGAATCTATAATCTTTTTCTTTTTTTTCGTGTACCAATAAATGACGTGAGTTGTTGGTCGAAGCACGTAATTCTAAAAAGAAATCGACCATGAAGTAATTTTTACCAACCTACCACATTTTTTTCGCCACACGTCTTCTTACACATAACGATTTTTTTTTTAATAACAAACCACCACGATTTTGTTTTAAGTTTTAGATGTATTATTCTAAAAATCGAAAATTTTTGCCTACCTACCACATATTTTGGGTGCCACACATCTTACTTACCACCACATCTCCTCTTGGATATCTCTCTCATTAATTCATTATGACTTCCATTTGGACCGTTTGGTGTGCCAGTAGATTAATTTCTTTTTGAGGCAATATTCGAGACAGTACTAAATGCACAACAACACTAGCTATTATCATATGAATAGCTTAAAGGGGGACACATTTCTCTGACCTTGTAACGAATGAACAATGTAATGATTCGACTATTAATGTAGCGCACATATCGATAGATAATGGTAGTCCAATACTGTGTAACAACAGTAAATTTATTACTAATAGGGTTTGGAATTAAGAGCTCTCTCTTCTCTAGAAACAAGGAAAACTAACCAAATGGTGGTGAATTAGTGGTTCTTACTTATGAATCAGACTATCAGTTGTTTTCTTGGTTTATATCAGAGATCTATTTCTTATAAGCGCATAATGATCTAACCACTCATATTTGGTTAGTCAAAGATGATACTATTATATATTTCTTCCGTTTTTTATTAATTATCGTTTTAGAGAATTTTTTTGTTTTAAATTAGTTGTCGTTTTCAGTTTTCAATGTAACATTTATTAAAATTTTATTTTTTAAAATTATTTTTATTATACAGTTTGTTTTATTATTGGTTGAATTGTATTTAAATAAATAATTAATGATGTTTTTATATTGAAAAACTAATACAATTAATATTTTTTTAATTTGTGTGCATAACTTTAAAACGAAAACTAAATAAATCATAAATTTGGAGGAAGTATGTTTTAGCTTTATTTGAAAATTGAATGAGTTTGTTAATGGACAGTACCATTCATCCAAAAAAAATAGTCGGTGGTAAAATTTTGGATTATAATCTGTTTGGTGAATAAATGCCGAATCATTTTTTTGCAAGTTTCAAAAAGCTACGTGAACTTCAATTTATTTAATATTTTACGTACGTGTCACAATTTTTATAATCTACTGGTAGATGTGATTTTTTTACAATTATCTGTACAGAAAATGATTATTTGGTTAGACAAAATTAACATTGTAATTACCACGCGTTATATGACTTTATATAAAACAAAATAGTATACGTAACTCTACTTTAACCCCATGCAGATAGTTACGGACACGTGTTTCTGTTTGTCTACTATCATGCGTTGTTAACATCGAAAGATTCGAGACGATGAGGATGCACACTGACTATCCTGGATCTGGTTAACTGAGATTCTGACTTCTCTGAGGATCAAAATTCGCCCTGGCCATAAAAACCGGAACTAAAGAACCGAAACCAACCCGAAATTACCGGTTTGGTTCGGTTTCGGTTCCTGCAAAAATACCCATCAGATCCTGTGATTGAGATCCATGGATCTCGGTTCGGTTCCGGGTAATATCCGAAACCCGAAGTACCGAATCGAAGACCCGAAAATTGTTGGTTGTAGTTGGTGGGTTTGTAAAACAAAATTATGGCCCATACACTAAAAAAATATGTTGGACTGGGCTTGTAAAATGTTGGCCCAGAAACGAAAAAAACGAATAAAAAAAAAGAGTGCAGTTATAACCCTAATTCTCGCAGACACAATCTCTCTCTCGACCAAACTGACTAATTTTCTCATTCTTAACACATATATAACCCTAATCCTTAATTAGACAGAAAAACTGGAATCCGCAAGTTTCAAAAGCCGTCGCGTTTCCTCGCCGGCTCCACCGTCTGCTACATCAAAAGTTCAGTCAGAGGTATGTTCGTCTTCCATCTCTTTCTCATTTTCGATTTCATTTGAGTTTAGTGTTTGAATGGGTTTGCTGAAAATTTTCGATTTGGGGTTTCGGACTTAAACGTTTCAATAGAGCTAATTTCTTCTTTGATTTTTCATTTCCACTAAGAGGTATACATAAATCGAGTCTCTAGAGTGTCTTTAATTAGTTTTTTTTATTTAGGGTTTACTGTTCATATATGAAATTGATTTGGGGCTAACTGTTTCTCTTTGTTTAAAATAGAAATAGACATCATTTCCTACTTGTTTATTCATTCTTACAACGAATTAGGGTTATATCTCGATCTGGGTTTTACTTATTTGAGTTTGTGGGTTTAGTAAGAAAATGATTAGGGATAACTCCTTTTGTCATTTGAATGCTTCTGTTAGTACTCGGCTTAGATTGTTTGTGAGTTTTGATTGCTTGTGTTGTATCAATACATTATATTATGACTTCTGATGGGTTTGGTCTTGCTAATATGATGCAGATGGCTTCTAATCAAGGTTCACCGAACGTTAATGAAGAACCAGTGTTTGAAGATGACCTTGAAGTTACCGAGGACGAAGTTGAGACTCCTACTCCTACGTCTGCTAATAAAGGGAAACAAAAAGCTTCGGGGAATAAGAAAGGAAGGAAGAGGACAAGATCTGATATGTGGAACCATTACACAAGATCGAAGGATGACTTTGACAAGTGCAACTGTCACTACTGTGGGAAGGAAATGGCGTGTGCAACTACATCGGGCACCTCTAATCTGATCAAGCATCTAAGATTCTGCAAGCAGCATCTTGCGTATGTAGCAGCAAAGCAACCGGATGATCAACAACAACTGGATGCTGAGACTGGAGACGGTTTAAAGCTGTGTAAGGTGTCTGATGCGGTGATTAGGCAAGCTTCAAACGAAATGGTCGTTCTATCTGAGTTGCCTCTGTCTTTTATAGACAGCCTGGCATGGAGACATTTCTGTGCTACAGTCAAATTGCCCAAGCCACACTCTCGGAGAACAGCGACTCGAGACATAGTGGAGATGTATGTGAGGAAGAAAGCACTTCTGAAGAAAGCACTTGCGGCCAATAAGCAGCGGTTCTCCTTGACGACTGATATATGGACGGCTCCAACAACGATGGCTAGTTATATGGTGATAACTGCACACTTCATCGACAACAACTGGCAGTGGAAAAAATTCATCATTGGTTTCAAACACATTAGTGACCACAAAGGGTCGACTATAGCTACTGTTCTGCTAGACTGCTTAGCTGAGTGGGACATCAAGAAGATCTTCTCCATAACGATTGACAATGCAACAGCAAACTCAAGTGCTATGAGTTTGTTTAAGGACGAGTTCAGATATGTCAGAGATGATGCACTAGTTCTCGATGGTGAGTATTTACATTTAAGATGTGCTACTCACATTCTTAATCTGGTTGTGAAGGATGGGCTGCACGTTGTGGACAAGAACATTGCTGCCATTCGGAATGGTGTACAGTTTGTGAGGTCGTCTACACCAAGACTGATGTCATTCGAGCTTCGTGTTGATACGGGGAAGATGACGAGAGGGAGTCTGTCTCTGGATTGCAAAACAAGGTGGAATTCAACATATTTGATGTTGAATAGAGCGATGGATTTCAAGGTGGCTTTTGACAAGATGCAGGCTGAGGACAAGTTGTACAACGACTACTTCAAGGAAAAAGTTGATGGGACAAAGAGGATTGGCCCGCCTATGGAAGAAGATTGGGAGGCAGTGGACAAGTTACTTCAATTCCTTGTCATCTTTTACAATTCAACTCTTGTTCTCTCTGGAACTAACTCCCCTCGTGCGCATAAGTGTTACAATGAGATGGTGACAATTGAGAGGACCTGATATTACTGGGTGAAGGGGAGTACTACGATGAAGAGAAAGCGAGGATGTACAAGGAAGACAAGTCGGGGTTTGATGGAAGAGCTCGGGAATGGACGTTGGAGCACGCTATAGCTTAGGGTTTAGTTCATCTATCTTTATCGTTTATGTTCTTTTGTTATTGACTAGTTTGGAACACGCTTAAACCATTGAAAACAATTTAATGTATTTTGTGAATTATGCTTAAGCCGTTCATGATAAGCTCTTATTTGTTTGCAGATTTCGGTATTTTTTATCAGTTTTGGTTACTTTGTACATTTCGGGTACAAAAATGGATTTCGGGTACAAAAATATCCGATTAATTTAAGAACTGATACATTTCGGTTTTTATTGGTTTCTAGTATTTCATATCCGAACCAAACCGGAATCGAAGGTACTGAGCCGAAACCGAACTGAAATTTATTCGGTACCACTTCGGATTTTCTTCATCTATATCCGAAATCATTTGGTTCCTACCCGGAACCATTCGGTTCCTACCCGAAACCGAACCGACTATCCGAATGCCCAGGGCGAAAATCAAAATTATGATTGCGGAAGTAAAAATATAGAATGAGCAAAACCAATTCATAGTATTTGTTTATTTTTGCATTATCAATGTTCGTACTTTATATTTCAATTTTACGGCTGTCTCCAATCCGATTATTTATAAACAAATGTTTGTACTCAATTCTTAACTTTTTTTTTTTTTTTGGTATGCTCAATTCTTAACTTTGCTTACTAGATCTTTTTTTATGTCGGCTAATTGGATATTACTCTATTAGTGCCGACTATAAGATCTTTTTTTCCTTCTTTTGCATGGTACAAATAATACCACAGCATATATAACAAAAGTGAGACATAAATTTAATATAAGCTTCCTTCCAGATTTAGCATAACAAACTAATTAATCATAATAATGCGTGATCTAACATTCTTCAAGAAGGATAATGAGTCTACCTAGACCCATACAAAACAAGAAACAAAACAGAAACGACGTGGGGCATACATCCAAACACAATTAAAGACTTGCAGAAACAAATAATCAAAAACTTAAAAACAAAATACATTTATGACTTCTCCAAAAGAAGTTCTTGAAAACTTCCCTTTGGATAATAATGATGACTTCCGTTTTGTTTCGCCACAGGTTTCACACCCAACTTCTCCACAAACTCCTCAAGATTCCGATCCGACGAGCCACCGCGAGCCACCGCCGCTTCCGCCTCCTCCTTCCATTTCAAAGCGTTCTTCTTCAGCTCCTTCGCTTTCTCTCCTTTCGTAACTTCTCTCAGCCTCTCCGCCACTTCCTCCCTCGGCACCACCCTCTCCTCCGTCTCTCCACGGCTGAGTCTCACTCCCGTCTTGAAAACGTCAATCAAGTAAACCGCGTCGGTGACTTGATCTCCCCACTGAGGAAGACAAACCGTAGGGACTCCTGAAGACAAAGCTTCCATCGTCGAGTTCCATCCACAATGAGTCACAAAACAAACCACCGAAGGATGAGCCAAGACTTTCTCTTGCGAACACCATTCCACTATTTTCCCTTTCCCTTTGACTTCCTCTGGCAAAACATGTCTCTCTTTGTTTATACCCAATTCTTGTTGCCTAATCACCCACAAGAACGAAACGTCAGCGTTTAACACGCCGTAAGCGATCTCCTCTATCTGTTCTTGCTTAACGTAAGCTACCGTCCCGAATGAGATGTAAACAACGGAGGCAACAGGCTGTGAGTCTAACCACTCCATGCAATGATCCGTTGTCTCAGACATATCTCCTTTGATGTCATCACAAGTTAGCGTTTTGGCCATTTTGTAAAGCGGTCCAAGCGGTGTGATAGCGCCTGGAAGAGAGAGACTAGACATGTGGTCGATGATATCTTGCTCCAAGGAGTAGACAGTGTCGACGAAAACAGCGAAAGGCTTGTGAAGCCGTTTGATCTGATCTATGATCACTTCTCGCAAAGCGGAGTAAGGAGATAAAGGGTGAATGAAAGAAGGGATCTCGTCGTGCTTCAAGAGAGGCATGCAAGGGATTTGGACATCGATCTCAGGATCTTTTTTGGTCGGGAAATCAACTAGTTTGTTGTGGTAATAGTAATAAGAGGCTAAACAGGCGCAAGACTGGACCCAGAGAACAGCACAAGGGATTTGAAGATCTTCCGCCACGTCGCAGACCCAAGAGACGAAAGGGTTATTGATGAGACACGTCACGGGCTGTTTCGTCACTTCTTCGTAACGTTTCACGAGGTTTTTGATCTCTCGTTGACCGACCAGCTCGAGCTGTGGTCGGAGGATCGTGAAGTTGGTTCTGCTCTCGTCGTCGTCCTCGGGGAGACCGTCGTCGAAGAAATCGAACCGGAGGTAACCTTTACCGATCGGTTTGAGGACACGGTCTTGGATTTTGTTGGCGGTTCGCATCTTTTTGCCCCATGACTCTGTGGTGACGAAAGTGATGAGTAAACCCTTTGAAGCTAAGAGCTTGCCTAGTCGAAGAAGTGGATTAACGTGGCCTTGCCCTGGGAACGATACGAGCATCACATGAGGAGGTAAAGGAGAAGATGATAGTTCCATCTTTAACAGAAAAAAATTGCTCTGTTTTTTTTTTTTTTTTGGTGAAGTATGTGACATGTTGAAAGATAGAAGAGAGAGAGTTGGTTAAATACAAGACAAAAGGGTGATAATTGCTGTAAGAAAAGCGGTGAATAATTAAGGAGATCTCAGTTTCTACCGTCGCTTTTTGGCCACTGTTAATTCAATTTTATTTAAATGCATGAAAAGCTAGTAAAAGGTAATTTGGTTTGGTGGGTGTCGTGGATAGCTTCCTCACTCGTCGTTAATTTTCCGTTTATTTACATTTTGAAACATAACTGAAAATACTATATTTTTTATTTGTTATAAGCCAAAGAAATATATAGGCCATACATTACCTCTGTTTTCCATGTGGTTTTAAGGAATATTCGATGATTTGTTTTTTGTTAGAGAATGTATGACCACACATACAAAGATTCAAGCTTCATCCTACCACGACAAAATTCAACAAGAAACTAGGTATCCACTGCATCTGAAATTTGCAATATTTCCGATGAGATGTAATGTTAGATGCAGTGTTAAATTTTTAATCCAAATGATGTGCCTCATATAGTCATATGAGATATTGAACACTTTGAATGAGTTAATTCTTCGTTTGCGACCAAAAACAAGTTTTTATATATATATAAATCACTCAACCATATTCTTTGTTGTCCATAACCACATTTGCGATTTCACCCAAAACATACGGCTTGTATTTTAAACTTTTTTTCAGTTTTGCGACTAAAACGATCGACTTATATAGAAATAAAAGTAATTGCCTCAATTTTGCCAATAGAAATAATGTATATTACTGGTTAAACTGAAATGGTAACAAACTTGAAACTCTTATACAATGATAAAATTATCAGGCGTGAATTTAAACACACTGTACCAAGTATCAACTACCAACTGAATCGAAGATAATAAATCTAAAGAAGACGGTTAATACACTGTAATAAATTATAAACTTGACTACTAATATGTTTTTCTTTTCCTTTCTTTTTTGGCATCGTAGTATAATGGCACTTTCTTCCAACATCAACAAAAGTTATATGTTTTCGGTAAATTAAGAGTACATTGTCTGATCTGAGAAACAATCGTGAATAAAGCATAGAACCACCATTCACCAAAATAGAGAGTATCGTGTTCAAATTCAAGTCTAACAACATCCAAAATACCTACTTTCGGAATCGGTGAAAGTGAGATTGACCCTAGTTGACGAATGTGAGATATTTTTTGGACAAGAATTCTGTTTATGGACATTATTATCAAAGAATAAAGTAAGAAACGTCGTGGCGAAATTAAATACCTCTACTTTATTTTATTTTTTTGTTGGTGGAATCATAAAAATCTCGGAGACTAAAAATGTTACGTGTTATTATTACGTTGGTTAGATAATAAGTGGTCAGAATCAAGTAGTTCCTACAAACCATAAAGCTATAAATGGTTTTGTTTTGCTTCAGGAGCCTTTTACTGTCACATGCATGTAGTTTTCTTTTACAAGTTGTAATTGTGATCTTTTGTATATATATGGGTGTGGAAGATCCGAAGATGACAGAAGAATTAATAGTGTGAAACAGTTGAAAACTCAAACTGAGCAAAAAAGTGAAAACAAAGGACAAATAATTGTTGCTTTTAAGTTTTAACACTTTCATTTAGCAAGATTATAATAATAATACTTTACTTTGACCATATATTTCACGGTAATACCATATTTCTATTATTTAACCACAGAAATATTATTTAGCATACATTTCTTTTTACAACATTTAGCATACAATTCATTGAAGAATATATTACTTACAGTTACGTCGATAGAGTCTACTATGAAAATTTATGCGTCAGGATATAAATATATTATTAAGTGAACCTTGATCAAGTTGTGTTCACATCTTGGAAAAGAAACTCAATTTCCTTATAGAGCGTACGGACGGTCACTTTGAATAGAATATAAACTGGGAGTTGTCTTCGGAAAATCAACCAATATATATAAAATCAAAACCTAAATGTACAGAGACCCATATGAGTATTTGTTACAGAAAAATACCGATACGAGTGGAGTACAATACTATATAAGTTCTCTTAGCATTTGCACTGCGGATTACACGAAGGGAAATCGAATATTGAGTCTGGAGACAAAACGACATCGTTGGAATTAAGCCAAAGATATCAAAACAGGCTGTGTAGGGTGGAACTCACTGTGTTTGCCACAAACTTGCGTAGTTTTCTCTTTCGTTTTGGTTACTTTTTTCCACTCACAAGTCACATGCTTCTGCTCCAATTAGCACTCCTTTTAAGCCGTTTCGTAGCAGAGTTCTGAACACTTGCTAGTTGCTACATGTGAATGAATCTCTCATATTAGCACTTTAAAAAGCTAATTTTTTTTTTCCAAATATTTAATAAAAAATTTCCTTCATAAACAAAATAAGAAAAATTGGCCTGTCATGATCAATCATTGGACATCGTTAGGTTAATAATCCGACACGAGCGAACAACCATCAGTCATGGGTACTATGTTTTTTCATATTTGGGAGTTTTCATTTTCTTAGATGCTCACGGAGATGTAGTACAGTTCCATGAGTCCATGACTAGTTACGATCACAAGACACAAGTCCGAATCTTTAGCGAGGTACATAATTTAAATGTAGTTACAAAATAAAATGTATTAGACAGGATTGATCTAAACAAACAAGGGTATTGTCTATACAAATAAGTTAATGTAGAAAACTTTAGTTATATAAATTGTTTTTGTTCATTGTTTTTAATTGCACCGATGATATTACAAAAGGGTATAACCACATAAGGCTATTTCTTGCCACTAAAAATATAAATAAACAAGATTGGATTATCCACTATTTACACAAGATTATTCTTTCATCCTTTGTCTACTAAATTTTGTTGTATTTTGCATAGTTTTTCTTCGGAAGTTTCAATTGAACTATTTTTTTTTCTTTGTTCATAGTTGTTGGACTTTTTCATTCAGCCTATTTACCTTTTGAAGGAAAATAGTTTAATTACTAGAATTCCATTCTTCATGTCGATGATCAATAGACTACATGTCAATATCATCATTATTCTCTGTTAATTATTGTTTTCAAGACAAATTAGAAAAAGAGTAGTCCACATAGACTATGCTTGACATATAGCTAACCAGTTGATGTAGCGCATCGGTCCTTTTCTTTAGGGGTGTTGCGTCAAACACCTTTTGGGCTTACGTGTTCGACAAATTATTTTGTGTTGGGGCCTTTAACTGTTTTTCCTTTTCTTTCATTTTATTTTGTAATTGGGTTTTTGAGTCTTTTATTTAGTCTAAATAAGCTTATCATAGAATCTTTATTCTTTAATCATAGTTTTGATAAATCAAGAAAAAAACAAAAAAGAGCTAATCATAGTTATATCTCTTATGCTAAGCCTTGGAGAACTCTCAATCCTTTTTTTCTTTCTTGAAATCGATCCTCAACGATCTCCTCAAGAACCGAGCTCGTCCTCAAGGTTTTCTGAAATCTCCTCTGTGTGCTTGTTTATAGCTTCTGCTCTTGATCAACACCAGGTGTTTACAGACCATATGTAATTTGTTATTATAAATGATTTTTATTACTCTCCAGTACGGAAGATTTTAGATAAATAGATAATAGAATAAATCTTCTAAGAAAAATAAACTAAATAAGAATTGATTAATATAGTATAAATAATATTTTCTTATAGGGAGAGTAACTAATATCTTTAAGTTATATTTATTACATATCTAATCGATTTCCGACAGATTTGGATATATATATAACCTAATATATTAAATAAAATTAATATATATATATATATATATATATATATATATATATATATATATATATGTGTGTTCCGGTCTAAAACCGAATTTATTTTTCCGGTTATTACCATACACACACTCGATACGTTTAGGACTCATATATGATATATCCTTCGACGACGTCCTATGACGATATGTGTGACATCAAATGGAATGGAGCAATAATATGACTTCACATCTTATGCATCTAACCGGGACACTCTTAATACAAAGAGGACTATAACGAATCTAGTCCTCAAAGCCACGTTTCTTAGTATTGGCCGAAAAATACTAAAAAAGGCAACAAAAGCAAACCCCAAAAGCAAAAAATTAATTATAATCAAAGCCCCCCTAACTTTTGAAAAGAGTATAAGCAACACCAAACCCATTTTTACGTAGAAGCAATCTCCCTCCTCACCCTATAAATATTCGCGACACAAAATTACTTTCCATCAAAACATATTCTGATATTCAACAATAACCAACAACTAAAAACCTAATATACCGAGAAGAATATCAAAATGTCGACAACATTCAAAGCCATAAGAGACCGGACATATTCAGGCGTAGGAGACCTCATAAGGCTCCTCCCGACAGGAACCGTCTTCTTGTTCCAGTTCTTAAACCCTGTCTTGACCAACAATGGTCATTGCCTCCTAATCAACAAATACTTAACCGGAGCTCTCATCGCTATATGCGCCTTCTCTTGCTGCTTCACTTGCTTCACCGATAGCTACCGAACAAGGGACGGTTACGTTCACTATGGAGTGGCCACCGTGAAGGGTCTCTGGCCAGATTCGTCTTCAAAGGATTTGTCTTCGTATCGGCTTAGAGTTGGAGATTTCGTTCACGCTTTCTTCTCTCTTATCGTTTTCAGTGTTATTTCTTTGTTGGATGCTAATACTGTTAACTGTTTCTATCCTGGCTTTGGTTCCACTGGGAAGATTTTTCTTATGGTTTTGCCTCCGGTGATCGGAGTTATCTCCGGCGTTGTTTTCACGGTGTTCCCTAGTAGACGTCATGGAATTGGGAATCCCTCGGAGAACAATGAGGACAATGCGTCCGAGATAGAGAAATGATACGATTTCCACTCTATATGTGCATAATAAAATGAAACGGCATGTGATTATTCATGAAATAACAAATATTAAGGTTATGTAAGTTATGCATGAATGGTCACTATAATATATTTTTTCTTCTTTTCTTGTGATTTATTATATATGCTGGTGAGTGCTGAATTGCTGATAATAATATTTTCTTTGTTTCTTAAAGATTTTTTCCAAATGTTTGTTGATAAAATCAAAGTAATAAAATATCTTCCTGCGTGAATCTTTTTCTTTTATATATTAACTAGATTCTAACCCCGTGCATCCGCACGAGAATAGTTTTTATGGTTTAACAAATTTTGTAATATAATTTGTATTTTTTTGAGTTTACATATAATTTTTTTTATAAATATATTTTTTAATAAGCGAAAATATTGATTTTTATGTTTAGATATATTTTTATAGTATTAAAATTAATTATATTATAAAAATAATTTTAACCCGTCCGCTAATATTAATTAAAAATGAACTATTATAAAAACATAATTTTAATTTTTCCGTTCATATTACCGTATAATATATATATTTGTTAAAGTTTGAGATGTATTAACAATATTATTTAGTATTATAGTTTTCTAAAATTTAATCAACGATGAGAGTGTACAACTGATTTTTCAAACCACATTATAGTGTATGCAATAATTTTTAATTTTTTATGTTTTGATTTTGTATGAAAAATATATTTTCGATATACATGTATAATTCAAAATTAGTGATATTAGTTACCAAAATATTTTTAACCCGATTTTTTATATATACTTTTAGTTCTATAAATTTTTAAAAATATATTTTTAATATTTAAATTATACATTTGAATTTTACCTATTATTTTATTATTAATTTGTAAATAAATTATAATCGTAAATATATTATATAAACAACATAAATATCATATCATTTACATCATTATAAATATTTTATATTTCAAATATGACCATTATTTTTCATATGAGATTTTTTTTTTCAAAAATTCTAGATATTTTTGATAAAAATATTTAATAGTATAGAAATTATTTAAATTAGAATCTTTAAATCAAATCTAAATTAATATCTGATTTATTATTTTTAATCAAATCAAATCAAATCTAAATTACTTATATTTAAGGAACTCTAAAAATATTTAAATTAATAACTAATTTTCGAAATTAAATATAAATAATTTTTAAAATTATTTTTAAACACTTAAAAAAAATTAGGAGCGTTTGGAAGCAAGTACTAAGTGTGCTTCTGTTTTAAGATGAATAAGCAATATTCAATTAACATAGATATCTAGGAATTAAAAGGCATGCACCCTTCTAAATATCCTTATATATATTGAAAGAAAGTAGCTAGGCAGGAAACAATTCTGGATGATAAGAAGACAAATCTCATAAGAAGTCTTGCTTTCCTTTAGATGATCTCCAATCTTTTTTTTCTTTTTATTTTCTATAAACTTTAAGGATATGATGATCAAATCAATTACTAGATCAAAAGTTTAAAACATGGATGTCGTGAACTTAAAAGCTAGTGTGTTGCAGAAATACCTTTTTAACTGTTTCGGTCTTACAAAAGTTAAGTTAGTATCAATAATTACATAACACGATCGAAAAAACAATAAGTTTTCTTTTTTTTTTGTTGTCTGAGGAGAGAGGGCTTCAAGGTTATTAAGAGCAGTTTGGGGTCAGATTACCTTGAATATACAAAACTCTTAAGATTTTATTTACTCAGTTTTCTGAATTTAATGGACCAACTTTGATTATTTGGGAACAACGAAAATTAAAAAAGCTCAGCTAGAGGGAATTTGAAATGTGCTGATCAGTTTATAGCTTCAAAACCGAATCAAATCTGAAAATCTCGGTTCGGTCGGTTTGGTTTATTCGGTTCAAACTGAACGCCCATGCTTACTAACAATATAACCATAAAAGTAAAACCATTTGTGATTACACTAGCTCAATCAAATCTAAAACATAAATTAGAGGACTGACATGGCCAATTGGCCATGCACATGCTTTGTTCTGACTTTCATCTATACCTGAGGGAGTGTAACTTTTAGGCTGATTAACTCAAAATCGTATTTTGGGTGTAAAATGGCTCGAATCAAGCTGCTGATACTGAAATTTATTTATCAAAGGGTCAAAATGTAGATTTCGTAAAATTGGGGAGCGATTCGTAATATATAGGAAATCTTTGTGGTCAAATAACCAATCGGGTCCTTAACAACTAGAGACCCTCTAATTGAGTCAGAAGGATTAAGGTTTGTTCAATCCAACGAGAAGAAAGAATACGACAAAATCTGGAAAACCTACTTCCTGTTTTCAACAATTTATCTTCAAGCTCCTTTGCTCTGTCTCAGTCCGAATTCTTTGATTTGTTACTTGATTACTCTCCAATGGGTTTCTCCAAAGATCAGCTGCTTAATCGTCTTCAGGTTTATGTCATCTTCATCTTAAACTCAATTACGGACGAAATTACTTCTGTTTATACTTGATTCGGTTTATATTATCTTTACTTAGTTCGGCATTAATGGATTGATGAGCAGAATACTCTTGAACACGAATTTCCCAACTGTTGTTTAGATTAAATCGGATTTTTGGTTCTTTGGTGAAGAATCGTATTGTTTGTATCAAGTTTAATCCAATTTTCTTTAGTGTTACACGCTTTGTGTGTGTAATTGATAGTTGAGAATTTCAATCTAACTATTAATCTTCTCGATCTTTTCAGGAACTTGAGATTGATTATTCCAAGTATGAGCATCCTCCTGTTCTAACAGTCGAAGCACAGGTGAATATAACCAAAACAATTTTGCAGATTTTATAAATAATTGATGAACTAGTGTAGAATGTTAATAGATGGATTTGTAAATCTTATTCAGGCTAAGTATGTAAGTAGTAGCGAGGGGGCACTATGTAAGAATCTCTTCTTGAAGGTAATCTTCAAAGTGATACACCATTAACCTCATTATCCACTAGAAACCCATTTGGAAGTGAAAATATGCTTTGGATTTTTGTAGGACAAGAAACATCGATATTACATCGTTTCAGCTATGGTAGATACAAAAGTTGACATGAAAGGTAACACCTTTTTTTCGTTTTGTGGATATCGACATTACATTTCCATGTATCGAAGTCACTAGGCTTATGAAATCGGAATGTTTCTTGTTTTTTTTTTTTTTTTTTTGATGTTAATGGGTGTTTCCTGTGACTTCTAATCCCAACAGTTTTATCTCAGAGACTTGGTCTTGGAAAAGGAGGAATAAGAATGGCTCCTGAAGAAGCACTTGGTGAGCTATTGCAGGTATTATTTCATTGTCTCCTTCATTTGCTTTATCGTTCTGTAGCAATCGAGATCATGGTAGTGATTGTTTTCTTGACAATTGAAGAGAATGCTTAAGATGATTTATTTGTCCATGGTGATAAGTTTGTTGACAACAAACCCGCGTGATGTACCTTAATTTCATGATTTATATCTAATGGAACAATTACAAAGTGCTACTTTCCTTTTTCCTCAAGGTGTCCCTTGGATGTGTTACCCCATTTGCCGTTGTAAATGAATCAGCAAGGTATCATCCGCTTAAATATTCGTTCATATATGTTCCGTTTCAGTTTAAATTTTAAATTATTACCGTTGATTGACATTTCTAAGCTTTCTTTGTAAAAGAGATGTATCTCTCTTGCTAGACAAAAATCTCAAGAACCCAACACGCTGCATCTTCCACCCATTGTCTAACGACGTCTCAATCTGTAAGTTTCTTAAATGGTTTCGTCAGTTTTCCACCCTTTGACTTCTTTCTCGGTTAGTGGTTTTAATTTATTACAGATTTTAGCTTGTACACTGATTCATTTGGTCCCTATGATTTCCAGCTCTTAACACATCGGGTCTGGACAAGTTTCTCCGATCGATTGGGAGAGATCCCGTATACATTGACCTCGAGGCAAGTGTTCTAAACCATTAACTTGAGAACTCTTGTTCCAGGTTCCTTTATCAGGTTTTGAAACTATGATTTTGCTTTTACAGGTTAACCCGGTGGTTGGTAAAGACCAGCCTCCAGATCTAGCTGTTTATGTTCCGTTTAATTCAGTTGTTGTTCCCGAGCTTCCTAATAAAACAGCTTGTCTACAAACCCCTCCAAAGAATGAGTCAGGAGAGACTAAGCCTGTTACTTCAGGTATGGTTTTAAACCATTTCCTCCAATATCATGTCCCGTACGATAATCGGAATAGTTTATATAACTCTGCTTATCTCCACCGGTGCAGCCAAACCGAGCAAATCAGCCTGTAAGTTCAAGAATGTCGCTGAGAATTCAGCTCCATTAGCTTTCAAGAACCCCGAGAAATTCGTGGAGGAGATTTTGGACAAAACATCAGCTCTGTTTTTGTCCGAGGTAAAAACACAAATCACAAACTCAAAATTAAACCGATTTCGTAATAGTTTGGGATAAACTCTTGAACCGGTTACATTTACAGGGGAAGGGAAAGAGTGTGGAGGCTTTGACAGAAACACAGAGAAAACGCCTTGCCTCTGAGTTAACACACCTCGCTGTGAGTAGCATTACTTAATACAGATATACATGGTTTGCATTGGTTTAGAGTAAACCGTTTGTACCAATGTTGGTTTTGTTTGGGAAATTGCAGATTATGTACAAAAACACAGCGTACACGGAAGGTTTTCAAGCCGGTAAATGTTACCAACCAAAGCGACTGTAAGAGAGGTTCGGTTTGCATGCTGAACGGGAGATATTTGAGAAGAGAAAAAAATACCGGTTTACGCATTCTCTATTTTCTTCGTTGCACAACAGATTTAGTTTGACCGAAAAAAAATATTATGACTTTGATTGGTAATATGAGTTGTCATTTGATTTAATTTGAGTTTTGGATCCAATTCAAAGCTAACTAAAAAATATCACCAAATCATTGAGTTTTGAAAACTTGAATTTGTGTTACAATATGTTATGGTTGATTGATATCAACCTTATGTCACCTAAGAATTAAATAGAAGATTTTGACTAGGCTTTTCTCTTAACCCTAGTATCAGATTAAGGTTAATTCTTAGAAAATGTCTTCCTTTATATAGGCAACTTAAATCAGGGTACTGCAAAAAAAAGGAAAACATTGTTAGAGTAGAGTCAATTACTAAAACCTAATTCATAAATGAAAACACAATAATTCATTAACTAAAACATCCTAACCAATCCTAACTGATATGATATGATTCTCCCAAGAATCGAACACTAGAAATTGGTAAAAAATGGATATGCCTTAAAGAACAAGGTGGTGGATTGAATAGTCACACAAATATTACGGAAAGACCTTTGATATTCCGGTTGATCTCTTGGATATTACAAACCAAGACAGATCAGAGGGGTGGTTGTTTCTCTATAAGCAAACATAGTTCTTTTAACCTCACCAGGTCTCGCAAGAGAATTTAGTTTACCTCACAAGTTTGCTTTCAAAGGCTTTTTCTTGTTTTTTTCTCAGACTCTTTTTCTTTTGAGTGGAAAGTGTTTAGGGAGTCATTCACAGTATTTGCTCCTTTCGTCTGCTCAAGTATCACCTGATCTTCATAGAGTTCTTATGACGTCATTGGAGCTAGTGTGACCTTCTTGTCTTTGACTCAAATGAGTAACGATTTGTAAAACCATTATGGGTCACCCTCCGATCATACTACCATGGTCTCCCAAGTAGAATATGACTAGCATCCATTGGTAGCATATCACAAATGATTTCATCCTCATACTTGCCAATGGTTATAAGAATCGTCACTTGGCTGTTCACTTACATCTCACCTCTATCATTGAGCCACTGAAGTTTGTAAGGCTTTGGGTGCTTCTTCACTTCCATTCCAAGCTTTTTTACCATGGTAACACTCGCCACATTTGCACAACTCCCTCCATCAATAATGAGGCTGTAAACTTTGCCTTGGATATGACATCTAGTGTGAAACAAGTTCTCTTTCTGCTGCTGCTCCTCAGGTTTAGGTTGTACACTTAGTGATCTTCTTGCTACCAACAGCTTTCCCTGAACGGGGATCTCCACATATTTTTCTAAAGATGATTCTGAATCTGGAACTTCTTCAACTTCTGATTCGATATCTCTATTTTCCAAGAGAATCATGATTTTCTGGTTAAGACATTCATTGGCATAATGTCCTTTCCCTTGACATTTGAAACATCTTACATTTTGAGCTTTTGAAGAAGAAGCCACAGCCTTGCCCTTTGCATCTTAACTTGCAGTGTACTGATTTGGCTCCAGTTTTGGCTTAACAACTTGTTTCTCTTCTGCTTGGTAACTCGGCTTAGTGTTAGAAACTCCAACTCCATAAGATGGCTTAGTGGAACCCCTCCTCTTGAGTTGTTGCTCGATCATAAGAGCTTTGTGGTGCATCTCTTCTAAATCAACATAGTACTGCATCTCAAGTCTGTCTTGAACGTCTCTGTTCAACCCGCCCATGAATCTCGCCATGGTTGTTTCTCTGTCTTTAGATATATCAGCTCGTATCATGAGAGTCTCCATCTCCTGGAAGTAATCTTCTACACTCCTATTTCCCTCAGTGAGTCTCCTTAGTCTGTTATGTCGTTCTTGATGGTGATGACTTGGAACAAACCGTTTCCTCATAATAGCCTTCATCTCTATCCAAGTTTCCACTGGATACTCTCCATTGCGTCTTCTAGAAGTCACCTGTTGATCCCACCAACATAGTGCGTAATCATAAAACTCTGTGGCTGCAACCAGTGGTGGACCCAGGATTACATTTTTGGGGGTGCAGATATTAAAAGAAAATAAAAACACTTCTTATCTCAGCATTCGAACTCAGGTTAAGGGTGTCAAGTATGGCTTGATGAACCAAATAAGCTGTAGAACTTTTTAACATCCTTACCAAAACTAAGAATATTTAAATTTAAGGGGTATGATATGAACCCCTATGCTTCAACGTGGGTCCGCCTCTAGCTGCAACACACTCTGTTGATCTCCGTATAGTGTTGGCAATTGAAGACAAGTTCTATATTTTTTTTCCACTCCCAACATGCATCTGGATATTTTTTCCATGGAATGGTGGAATTTTGAGCTTAAAACCTTCAAAGTTGTCATGTTGTTGTTGTTGCTGTTGTTGTCCTCTGTCTTCCCTTTCACGCCTATGCCTCCTTTGGCTGCTCTGAGAAGAATTTCCATCATGATCATAGTATTCCTCGGTCTCTTCGTCTCTAGGATTTTAAGATAGTACTTTAGTACACTATGTTAATAACAAGTGACATTTGAGATAATTTTGTGTTTAATTTGATTTTCAGGTCATTTACTGGTACTTATGATGAATGATTAATTTACTGATCTTCTTAATCAGGAACTCAAGTTCAAGTTTCATTAGTCGCATCAAGTTTTCTAATTTATACTGTCTCTATCTGCTTCTTGGAAGTTTGGATGTAGTATGCTTTTTTTATATTAAACTAAACAATTTTGATTATGGTTTGCGTGGCAAGATCATTCCAACTAAGTGGAAGCTATTTTGGTCCCACGGTTGGTAAATTGTTTGATAAAGTCAACTAATAGCCTGTTTAAACATAATTTATATACACATAGTGTACTAAAGTACACCTACAGTTTCATAGAAGTCTGGTTGTATAGAATATAACCTTCTTTTGTCAGTTTTCTGTTTAACCTACTTGGGAGAATTCTCTGGAGAAGGTTGATGAACTGGTGAGGTTTTGGTTTCTTGCTCTTCTTTTCTTGTAGCAGGTTTGTATTGTTTGACATTTTAGTAACTAGACGCTCAACAGAATTGAGTGAATCATCATTTTCTCCACCAAATTTGGAGCAGTTGAGCTCATGTCTTCTCTTCATAAATACTTTTAAAATCTCATCTCTTCATTTATCTGATCTTATAGTCTCATTTTGTCTCATGAAAAGTTTGTATTTTTTGTTAAAAAAATTCTAAAAGTCTTGATCTTTTGTAGCTATTTTTTTCTTTGAAGCAGTAAAAACAGAGAGGTTACATGCTGTGTGTGTTTAGAAGGAAGCTCTGTTGTCTTTTTTCAAGGCTCCGATGGGTCATCAGGAAACGAGTGAGGGCCAGAGTTATCATTAGGAGGTTGAGGAAAGCAAGATGGAGAGCTCGAAGAAAGAAGAGCCCGGAAACTGAAATTTCTTCTATCCATCTGAGCACAAACTCCAGAAAACATATTCGGGTTGCAACTTTTAACGTGGCTATGTTTTCACTTGCGCCCGTCGTGCAAAACATGGAGGAAACAACTTTTCTTGGTCATATAGATAGCGACAACATCACAAGTCCTTCTCCAAGAGGGATTCTGAAGCAGTCTCCGTTACATTGTTCTGCAGCCAAGAAACCAAAGGTCTGCATTAATCTCCCTGACAATGAGATTTCTTTAGCACAGAGCTACAGCTTTCTTAGCATGGTCGAGCAAGACGGAAAGGAAAACAGAGGAAGTATCTCCATGAGATCTCCTGTGTGTCTTCCTTCTTGTTGGTGGGACCAAGAAAGCTTTAATGGATACAGCAGCGGAAGAAGCATAGCTGAGTTGCTAGGAGAGTTGGATGCAGACATCTTGGCTCTGCAAGACGTGAAAGCAGAGGAAGAGAAACTTATGAAGCCGTTATCGGATTTGGCTTCCGCTTTAGGTATGAATTATGTGTTTGCAGAAAGCTGGGCTCCTGAGTATGGCAATGCCATACTGTCAAAATGGCCTGTAAAGAAATGGAGAGTTCAGAGAATCGCTGATGCAGATGATTTCAGGTGATTAGAAGTCTTTTGCTTATCTTACATTGATCTTCCTCTTTCCAACTATATCTTATAGTTGTTCATTTTGTGGAGATAGCTAGTAGTAGTATAGTTCCCAAATCTAAAGATAGAAGATGTGATTTTTATGTTTTCTGTTCTATAACATAGGTTTTTCTGTGTGTGGTCAACGTTTTTATGTGCAGGAATGTGTTGAAGGTGACTATAGAGGTTCCATGGGCAGGAGAAGTAAACGTGTATTGTACTCAACTTGACCATCTAGATGAGAAATGGCGGATGAAGCAAATCGATGCAATTACTAGAGGAGACGAATCTCCCCACATTTTGTTGGGAGGCTTGAATTCTCTTGATGGCTCTGATTATTCCATAGCAAGATGGAACCACATCGTAAAGGTAAAAGTCACTTGGCATCAAAGATAAAGTAATATAATATCTTTGACCTTTCATAAACTTAGTTTGTTTTTATTCATATATAACCAAAATAGTATTACGAGGATTCTGGCAAGCCAACACCTAGAGTTGAAGTGATGAGATCTCTCAAGGGAAAAGGATATTCAGATTCAAAAGAATATGCAGGAGAATGTGAGCCTGTTGTCATTATTGCCAAAGGCCAAAGTTAGTTTTTTCTGTTAACTCTTTAACTCCCAAAGTTTATTCTTCCATTATTATTATACCAAATCAAAGGAATCTAGTAAAATATGTAAAATCTTGATCTGATATGCAGATGTACAAGGGACATGCAAGTATGGGACACGGGTCGACTACATTCTGGCATCACCAGAGTCACCTTACGAATTTGTTCCAGGCTCCTATTCAGTTGTTTCTTCCAAAGGTACTTCTGATCACCATATAGTCAAAGTTGATTTAGCTATAACCAAAGACCGATCTCGAGGTAGCTTCAAACATTCACGCAAGAAAGCAAAGCAGAAGATCATCCGGATAAAAGCTAATTTGATATCGGAAGATTCATGTAAATTAGGAAATCTGATGTCTTTATAAAATTTGGCTATAGAACTTTTTATACATATATAACACAACAATTAAGCAACTCAAAAAAAAAAAAAAAAAAAAAAAAAATTAAGCAACTCTTGGTTATATGAGAACGTTTTATTGTACAATATTATAAAGATATCATACAATATTCAGTGGTTACAAAGAACTAAATAAATGTTTTAAGCATACAATCGTTATATTCTACAACAAATCTTGACAAATATCACAACAATCTAGAAACAAGAGAAGAAAACACGTCTTAGGCAGGGAGAGAATCCTTCTTGGTCTCCTCCTCTTCACTAGTTGGAGCGTACCCTAAACCGTTCCGTTTGCTTGGAAACAAAGCAAAGATAGCGGCTGAGGCAAAGCCCACGGCTGGGGGCAAAGCCATGACCAAACTCTTTTGCGTTTCCCTAAACTTCGGATAAAAGCAGCTCGCGGTATTAGCGTCAAGCAACACAAGTGTCCCAAACACAGCCACCACAAAAACCGCGTGAACAAAATCCGCAATCCTAAGCTTGTACATGGACAAATCCACGGATCCTGGATCCGCGTAAGTCCAAAGACCCTTCTTGGTGACTATACCGTACTTTCTTGATCCGGCTTTGCCTTTGAAACTATCGGTGAAGCATGAGAACACGCAAGAGAAGCTGCAAAGAGCTACTAGAATGCTTGACATGACCTTGTTGACTGTGGAGCATTCACCGTCGTTTGTGAGGACAGGGTTGAGCAAAAGGTAGATGAAGAGTGTTCCTGTTGGGAGAAGTTTTATAAGACTCTCGAGGCCTGTGAGGGATTTGTTGTTTGCCATTGATTCTGATGAAGCTGGAGAGTTTTTTTTTGGTATGAGCAAAGAAGATGCTTCGGACATGGGCTCGAACTTCGAGTTAGATGTTATAAAATATAAAGTATGTTCTTGGTTTATTGCGTATTTATAGAAGAATTAGGGATGGTAAGTTGGTAACCCATTGATCCGGTCCGAGATGTTGGGTTTAACACCGTAGAAAAAAAAAAACTGGTAATGAATTTGACCAAGTCAAATTATTACGTTTGTTTTATTTTTTAAGTCTACACACGAAGACGGAATAATGCTGAAATGGTTGATTAGTATTTCCTCCCTAAGAAAAGTACGTAGAGATAAAAGTCTTTAATTTTTGGACCTAAAGGAGAAGGAATTTCTAAGGCTGAAGCACGTTTGGTAATCTTGACTGAATCCTAAATAGAAGATTCTTTTGGGTCCGAAAAACTTGGAAGATTATTGGGGTTATAACTTAAGCTAGACCGAACACGGTTTGCAAAAAGCCATCATATAATGAGTTTGATTGTTCTTTTTGTATGTGTGTGTTGAAATGTTCTGTTTGACCATTTTAGCTTTAGATGTCAACATGTTTTAATTTACATAGAAAAACAGAACATTATTTGTTTCTTTTTATCATACATCACACAAAAGAAACGTAAGCATAAGCAAAATATACCGTTTAGATGTCAAAATGGATTGTTTTATCAATATTTTGGTTTCAATATAACAGTTAACTGCATATCTTTTGCTTTTGAAAATATGAATCAAACAAACTCCTAAGCACATACACAAGATAGAATCAACAACTCATTTATTTTACTTGTGTAAATTGAACTTAACCTTAAATTGGCCATGAACCAACATATCGACTAAGTCGTCATGCATGTTCACTTTTTATTCGTTTTGAGTAAATAAAACTCACAATTGGCTGCTTCTACAGCGACTTATATTTTAGTTTTATACTATATTGTACCATTTAAATTGGCTATTGGTTAATAATTTTCTTATATTAAATTGCGATATGGGTGAATGCATATTCTTTCTTGACTTTTTGACTTACTTATTAAAAACTACTCCCTCCGTTTTATATTAGTTATCGTTTTAAAGAATTTTGTTTGTTTTAAATTGTCGTTTTTAGTTTTCAATAATGAAAAATTTATCAGTTTTTTATTTTATTTTTATAATTATTCTTATTATGCAATTTGTTTTATTATTGGTTGAATTGTATTTAAATAGACAATTAATGATATTTTTCAATTAAAAAAATAATACAATTAATTTTTTCTTAATCTGTATACATAACCTTAAAACGACAATTAAATAAATCCGGAGGGAATAATTAGGAAGCACAATTTAACTTTTATACGGAGATAATATAAGATAACAAATTCATAATAAGATTTGAAAGGTCCATTAATGATGGAGCAGCCTCTAAGACGGATGGACCCATTATGAAGAAAAATCAACTAATAATGTTGATTAGTAAGTATAATACATTTTAATTATGCCATTGGTTAAACGCATCGTACGTTCATGCATGTCCCAATCTATCATGTTAGGCGTGTCAAATTGGAGATCTTTACCCAAATGTGCACAACTACAGTTATATTACTCCCTCCGTTTCACAAAAAGAGTGTCGTTTTGACATTTTTTTTTGTTTCAAAAAGAATGTCGTTTTAGAATTTCAATGTAATTTTTAACATAAAATACCATTTTTAACTTCGATAAATTCAGAAAATTAATTATAAATATGATTCTAAGAGTCATTTTCTGCAAATTGATAAGGGTATAAGAGACATTTTATCTTATTTCTTAATTTGTGTGAAGAATGTCAGAACGACACTCTTTGTGAAACGGAATAAGTAATATACTACTATTGTTTTTTTTCTTGGCTTGTCGTGTTGGAAGATCATTGAAAATACAAATTATTCAAGGAAGAAGGCGACATTTATTGTGCATGGGGAAATAGATAAGAATGGTGTGTCTGGGGATGACTGTGAAAAAGTATTTGGAGTGACGGAAAATCATAGAGACATGCCAAATGAAGAAGCAGCGATTGAAAAAGATGAGTTTGGTGTGCCTGAATAGACTAATGCATACAAAAATCCTTACATAAAAAAATATATTGCATGTACTTGGTACTTAATAACCCTTCTTTCAAAAAAAAAGTTAGTACTAAATTAGTAAATAAAGAAAATATGAACCATTTGGTTTTGAAAAATAGAAATACATGGAATTTTGAAAAGAAAAGGAGTTCGTGTTGGTTTATGGGTTGGTTTACGTGTATGATGTGGCCATATGATTTGGTAGCATACCAACCGGTTTGGTTAACGGATAGTTAGGAAAAGTTAACTCCACTGAACCCATTACCTATTGCTTTAATTTCTCTTGTCCCTATATAAAAATTAAAGAGAGATTTCTGAGAGAAGTAAAATGGTGACAACAAGAGAGTTGGTAGAAATTTAGCGAGAGAAAAAAATTTGAAAAATGAAAAACAAATCAAATAATTCATTTGTAAATTTTCTACCAATTCAATTACACCACTTAGTCATTATACATATATTAGAAAGACGACAAGAAAAGAAATTGCATTTTTAATTAGTACTCAGCCACATGATCGGACGAGGCAGGCTATAAAATTAGGAATCGTACATATATTGTTTGGCTATGGGCAACATCTCCGAAGTATTGGGTCTATGGACAGCGCTGAGCCCACTTATACAAATTCTAAGCAATTGCTTAGGATTACTTCTATATTAGCCGTTTTTTTTTGTTTGGGGCCTTAATTTCTTATTGATATTTAGTTGTAGTGTATTTGATATTTAGTTGTAGTATATGTATATATTTTTTATTTGTCTAGTAACCTCAAAAACGCTAGAAACAGCTCAGTCTATAGATTTCAAAGTTATAATATTATATAACACTCTTGATCAATTCTTACGTTACGATTTTGTGAGACATCTTTGTAAATAAACTAACCACTCAATGTTTTATTCTAATAGCAAAAACTACACTAGCCTGACAAAATCAACGAAGATCAATCAAATTGATATTTCATATTACAATAGAATTTCTCGCAAAAAGATGCTATCTGGAAGATACATTGAATGCAGGCAGTGCATATAATATATACTTTCATCAGTTGTACAGTAATTTTAAATTCGTCGAAAACACTTAATAAAGTATTTTAAATATTCATAAAAAAAGAAGAAGAAAACAAGAGACAAAGAGAGAAGTATCAATGCTCTTTTACCACATCTGCTAAAAAACGAGAAAAAAAAACGGAGAATAAGGGGCGCGAATGGCTAAACAGTTGACAGCTCGACCAGCTTCCAATTTTAAAAGTTGATTTCTCTCTGGATTCCTTCTATCACATCCAAACCAAAACTGTAATAAAAAATACATGTTTTAAATAAATAAATTAAAAATGTTTTTTTGATACGGATGATTTTGTTCTCATCTTTTAAGTACTGAGGATTTGGTAGACAATTTCTTCCTCCATTATTGGCAGAGAGAAACAGAGGAATAAAGAACACAAAGAAAAACAATAACAGAGAGGATGGAGTTGGTTCAGATGCAGAAGAGTTTGCAAGATTACACTAAATCACTCTTCTTGGAAGTAAGTTTTTGACATTTGAAATCAGAAAAATCAAAAATAAAAAAAGAGTAAATGATTACAGTTGTTTTTTTTTTCTTTTTTCGTTTTGTTCTGTTACAGCCATTACTTGTTGGGAAATATAATTTGAAAGTGGAAGAAAAAGTTTTAGGTTTTAGGATTTAAGGGTTTGGAATATGTATATATATATCTTGAAAATAAAAACGAAATCCTTTGCATTTTTTATCTTCTAACTGATCATGAGTTTAAGTTTGATTATGTTCTCTGATCATGGAAAGTCTTATTGTTTTGGTACAAAAAAGGGTATTTTGGACAGCCAGTTCTTGCAGCTGCAACAACTACAAGATGAAAGCAATCCAGATTTTGTTTCACAAGTTGTCTCTCTCTTCTTCCAAGACACTGACAGAATTCTTAATGATCTCTCACTTTCCCTGTAATCTTCATTACACATTCTCTCTTTGATCTTCTTCCCTTTCTGTCCAGAACTTGTGTTCTCATTTTTTATTATTTTTTTTGGCAGAGATCAACAAGTTGTAGACTTTAAAAAAGTTGATCCCCATGTTCATCAACTCAAAGGTAGCAGCTCCAGGTAAAAACAACACCAAAACAAGATTGGTTACTTCTAATCTAGATCTGATTCTGATCCATAATGATATAATTAGACTCATCTGTGTACATATTATACATTTTGAGATAATAAAAATGTGTTAAAAATTAAGCTTTTGAGTGTGTGATGTTTCCCAAAAACAGTATTGGAGCACAGAGAGTTAAGAATGCTTGCGTTGTCTTCCGCAGCTTCTGCGAGCAACAAAATGTTGAAGCGTGAGTTTGATCAAATCTGTTTATTGGTCCATTGTATTTTCTTTTTCGATTTCAATATCTGATTAGGAGATTAAAAAAAATTCATTGAAAATTTCAGATGTCATAGATGTTTGCAACAAGTGAAGCAAGAATACTATCTTGTGAAGAACAGATTAGAGACTCTGTTCAAGGTAAGGTCTATATAATCTTATCGAATTTCGCCATATTTGATCATCATTTGAAACTTGTTTGATTCATTTTTGGTTTGCATGATCGAATCTATGCAGCTGGAGCAACAAATTGTAGCCTCTGGTGGGATGATCCCAGCCATGGAACTCGGATTTTGAGTGGATTCATCACATCACCTTTTATGGTTATTCCAATTTAAAGCTCTCTTCTTCTTTTTGTTACTACCCTTAAAAAGGTTGTTCTTCTGTGAACTACTTCCTTGTGCTGTCCTGTTGGATGAGTGAAACACTAAGCATTTTCTTAATCCACACCTAAATCCTACTTTGTATAATAATAAAGCAAGCATATATAATCATAGTTTTATATTTACAGAATTATGCTTGTTCATTTTGGATTGGATAATTACAATTAGTGTATCCATACATGAAATGTGTCTTTATAAAATCAGGTCGGTTTCAGACGGGCTAGAGTCAAATTCGTTAGAATACTATTAATAAATCTTATATACTTTTTAATAACAGAAAATAATTTTAGAAAATTTAAAAGTTTACTTCAGATTATTATCCGACCTATATCTTTTGCATTGGAATAAATTATTTTTAACCCAAACGAGTAAATTATATTACCTTTAACTGAAATTGACACGTTTTTTTAAACAATTATCCAATTATACATCTAGAGATTACAGACTTCTAATACTATAAGCACCAAGGTCATGTTGACCGGACTAGTTTGTTTGCTTGATATGCCAAAGTAAAATAAAATAATAACAATTCAAATTTAAATACAAAGATTCTAGTAGCTTATTCATTAATCAAGTGGAGTCAAACTCCGATGTGACAAGGAAGTTGATCGTCATCGGAATTGGATGATTTGTTATACATCATTAATCTTGAAACTCATTTGCAGCAAAAAATAAAGAAAAATAGTGGTGAATGCTGTGAAGCTCAAGCAAAAGAACCAGATGGGCCATACGAAGTTCAATAGTCCAAACTGATAAGAAATGACCCACATAAGATGCCTAGATTTAATGTTCAAAAAAAGAAAGAAACATCGATAGATCGCAATGACATCAGCTCAACTTGTTCGGCAACCACACTGGCTCGCCTCTTGACAATCTGATGCAGAGATGGTTTGAAAGGAGAGGCGTCTAAAGTTCTCTTGCTCTTTCTCTCGTCCTTTTACTTCAATTTCTAACCATTTCATTGTTGTTCAATTTTCTATTTAAGGCTCAGCCTTTTCTCAAGTAATTTTTTTAAATTGATTAATAATTTTCACGTTTCAACAAAACATATATTGTTTCTCTTTAATTTTGTCAACATGTATGACTTTTCTTTGTTGAATGATTGTGGACTTCTATGAATCCCTTAAATAAAAACTGTGGAAAACACGCATATACAAAATTTCTGGAATTAAAAGATTGGAAATATATATTAGCAGGTAAAAATTATGAACATGTAATTTGATACTTAAATGTATTTCCCATGATAAATCCAATAAATTGCGTCAAACAAATTCGAGTTACAGGTTGAGTACGGTTGATTTGGTAGCTAAAAGAATTTTTCTAACATTGAACTGATTCAGGTAATAATTAAACCAAAAACTAAATATTTTGGGTAATTTGGAAAGTTTTAAAATATTTTGAGAAATTTAGAGAACCAACGATCTGAAGCCATGTTCCACTCAATCTCCTTATACGCTATACCGTTGGAATAAAATAAAGAGAAATTAGGTGGAAGAACATGTTTCAATGTCCAAATTGGCACTATTATTTTATTATATTTAATGGGTGAGAAATTATTCAGCACCTACCCTCTCTTTTTAACAATGTTATTCGATATAATACAGTAGCATTGTAAACTTTTTTATATCTCACAATATTTTACTTTTTCACAAAAAAAAATTTCTTTCTTACAGAAAAAAGTTTTTTCTACATAATAGACCCATTCTTTTTCTTCAAGTTTGAAATTCAAAATCTTCTTTTTTTTCAACTCTTCCTCCCTTTTCTCTCTCAAGCTCTTCCTTCTAAGCTCGGTAGACGAGAATAATCCACCGCTACGCCTACATTTCTCGACTCCAAAGTCGTAGTTCTTCCATCACTGCTGAGTGACCGGTATAATTTTCAATCTCAGCTGTCATTTCGTTTGCTCAGCTCGATTTTCTCGTTTGTTCTCATTTTTCCACAAATAACATCTCTGTAATTCTAGGTCTAGCATTACAGTATACTTAATACTAATATCTAGGACTGCGTTTGTCAACTCGTGTTGCTTGTTTTCTGTGTAATCACATGTTTTTAATGTTAGATCTAGTTTTAGAGATTGGTTAATAGTTTGATTACAAAAATGGAGTGAACAATCCAGATCTACGCTTTTTAGATCTTACTTTCGGTAATACATCATTGATAGTAGTCGACTACTGGTTGCATAACGCCTATTCTAATAGCCTACATAACTATTCTATATGAATTGTTCACCCCATTTTTCAAATTGCGTAGTTATCTACGTGAATTAAATTGTTTTATATAACTATTATTAGTTGTCTACTTTTTTGTCAAATCTCTGTGTAATTATTTGTCTATTAATAGTTGTCTACTTTTCGTTTAGTTTTCAGAATGGCCAACATTCCTCTAGCTACAGACGCATCCCCTATTGAACCTCTCTGTGTATCGGTGAATCATGTGCTTCTAAATTTATTGTGGTCAACTTAGATGTTAGTTGTTTTTCTATAAATAGTTGTATACTTTATCTTTGTTCAGGTCGCTTAATAGTTGTCTACTTTATCTTTGTTGTCTACTAATATTTGTCTTATATTTGTCCACTAATAGTGTCTACTTTATTAGTATATACAGAATGGCAAACAATGTATTTCTCCAGCTTCGTATGTATTGATCGATCTCTTTGTAAGAGTAGAGAGAGAATCTGCGGACTTCAGCTACTATTTTTCTATTAAAAGTTGTCTACTTTATTAATATATACAGATGGCAAACAATGTATTTCTCCAGCTTCGGATGTATTGATCGATGTCTTTGTAAGAGTAGAGAGAGAATCTGCGGACTTCAGCTACTATTTTTCTATTAATAGTTGTCTACTTTATCTTTGTTCAGGTTGCTTAATAGTTGTCTACTTTATCTTTGTTGTCTACTAATAGTTGTCTTATATTTGTCTACTAATAGTTGTATACTTTATTAATATATACAGATGGCAAACAATGTATTTCTCCAGCTTTGGATGTATTGATCGATGTCTTTGTAAGAGTAGAGAGAGAATCTGTAGACTTCAGCTGCTAGACCGTATATTCCTCGAATACGGTTGGAAACACCAGTTGAAGTGCTGTGAGCATTGCTACCTGTTCACTCATTACCGAGGAATGTTCTCGTGCCTTAGGTATCTACCATAGTAAACTACCTATGTATAGATGACCATGTTATGTACTCTCGTTATGAATCTTGTAGTCAACTACTATTTAATTATGAACATCTCGCGTTGCATTTGTAGCATACTACTTTATCTGTGTATTAATTGTTATATACCTTTTAATTGTAGTTGAAATTTTTGTATCTGATACTTAGCATTACTTGCTATTAAGATGCCTAGCGTTATGTTCTCGGATTTCAAATAAATAACAAAATCGACAACAAAATAAAAAAGTCAGAAAATACCCCTATTATGTTGTTCATAATAGCCTTGCGAAGAAACACTAACATAACAGATCCGAATTCAAAGTCTGTTAAAGATCAGGTTTGTAATTGTATAAATATAGTCAAACATTTTATAGTCTCCTTTTTTGTATTCATCTACTGTAACTATTCAGGCAACCGAGGATATTGCAGACTTCTCAGATCTGAATTCCAAGTCTGCTAAGTTCAAGTTCGTATTCATCTATTAATAGTCATATATTTTATAATAGCTTTTTTATTCCTCTAGTGATATTGTTTAGGCAACCAAGAATATGTTAGATTTTCCAGATCCAAATTCTGAATTCGCTAAAGTTCAGGTTCGTATACATCTAATAGTAACTATCTATTTTATAATTATTTTTATTAGTTTCATGATACTGTTCAAGCAACCGAGGATACGTCAGACCTCCCAGATTCGAATTTCAAATCCGCTAACGACCAAATTTGTATTTATCTATTTGTAGCTGTCTATTTTGTATATAAATGATTATTTTGATTTATATACTATTACTGCTTAGACCACCGATGATAATGCAGGTGCAGATATTCAGACCCGAATTCTGAGTTAGATAAAAGACAGGTTTGTATCCATCTATTAATAGTTGTCTATGTAATTTATATATGTAATCGCATATGTCTTCTATTTATTTTGACTGTTCAGGTTACTGATGATAATGCTGGCCGAATCGATCCAAATACCGAAGAAGCTCGGGAATATGTAGGTAATCGACTTTTAATATCCGTCTATTTATGTATAAATTGTAGACACTACTATCATTCTAAAATCGATTTTTTATTATTTTTATTATCTTAAAAATAGGCACTGCTATTGTTCCAAAGTTGATGGTAGCGTCTCAAACTTTACAAAAAAGATATATAATTTTCGTGTCAGAGATAAAGCAGTGTTAGAGATAAAGGAGCAATGGGTTTATGGTATTTTCCCCACCCAAAAAGCAGTTGACTATTGCTATTTTGTTAATTGACCGATTTTGGACGCTATTTCTCTAATTGTCAGATAAAAACCTATTATTCTTACAAATCACCCTAAAATAAATCATTCCAAACATATAATTTAAGTATATTAACAAATAGTTAAATACGGGTATACAAGACAGAAAAATTGGGGATATATATGAGTCGGGTCGAGAACCCGTCCCGAAATGGATAAGTGTAATTTCAGTCGTAAATCATTGAAAGGTACATCTGAGCGCACGTTAAAAATGACAAAATTATTAATATCTATAATACAGACCTGTGAGTCTGTGACCTGTCGTCGACCAAGAGAAAATGGGTACTATTATGGATCCGTGCATGCCTCCAAGAACCTAGCTCATGTTTGACAATTTGTTTTGTTGACATTGTTTGATGCATGCTTTTGTTAGACGTTTCTTTATAAAAAAAAATATAAAAGTTTCTGATGTTTTTTTAATTATGTTTTATAATAGCTAGCTTTAACAATTTTGTAATCTTTTGAATATTCATATCATGTATTAAAGAAGCTTTTCATCTAAAATCGTCTCTTAATCGTACTAAACCTAGTTTGGACAAACTAACCGATGATTATACATAGTAGAAGTCATAATTATTGGAATGACTTTTTAATTTATAAGATGGTTAAAGGTGAAAGAGTTACTCCATAATATGGTTATCCGTCTAGGAAAACGAATGTTGATTATTTAGATAAATAACATGTGATATTTGGTGATTGTAATTGTAACGTAATAACGTAAACCAATCATAAACTCAATTGAAATGTTGAATATGATAATTTTTTTTTCTACATGTCAACAATGATCCAGCGTATAAATATTAGATTATATATAAATACGAAGTTAGCTATCTAGTCTTTTTATTCCTCTTCCTTCACTATTTAACTCATCTCCTCTCCACCATTGTTGCCACCCCCACCACCATTAATCACCATCATCATACGTGTAACCTTTCGTTCTTCTTGTTAGTCTTGAGCAAAAATTCTCAAATGACTCTCTCTGCATTTGGATTTCCTTTTTACTTAAGTAGAGAAACTTCCATAGATTATTGCAAATCCACTTCTTTATCTTCTTCTCAATCTTTGGCTACATATCTTACATCACTATGCCGGAGAAGTACCATTTCTCTTGTATGATTTTTCTTCTTCCTCTTTTGTTGTTACTTTTTGATTATTATATGAGCTTGCGTTTAATAGAAATCCTGCAAAATATCAACGAGAAACCACACTGGTTTCTATGTTTTTTTTTTGGTTCATTTCAAAAATGTGAGATATGTTCAAGGAAATAGTTTGTTTTGACATGAAACTGTAAGCTTAATTTGTGAAAGTTTGAGATTCTTTTGAGAATGTTAGATGAGTTTGAGAATTTTTTTTCTTTTAGTTTTTGTTTTTTCACTGATAAAATTGAATATTAAATGTTGAGATTGACTCTGTATCATGTTTATTATTTTTTGTTTGTTCAGTCAAAAATAAGGACAAGAGTAAATGGCTCACTTGTAGAGAAGGGTGAATATGATTCCATTAGACCACCAACTCCTATATTAGACACAATCAACCATCCAATTCACATGAAAAATTTGTCCATCAAGGTATTGTTCTTAACCTTAAGCAATTTGATTCATCTGTTTACTCTTTACAATTTGTTTTCTCTCAAATCGAAAAATGAAATGATGGACTAAATGATTTATACTCTTTGGAATCGGAAATTATGTAGGAACTCAAAGTTCTTTCGGACGAGCTTAGGTCTGATATTATCTTTCATGTTTCTAAAACCGGGGGACATTTAGGTTCCAATCTCGGTGTTGTTGAGCTTACAGTGGCTCTTCATTACATCTTCAATACTCCTCATGATAAGATCCTTTGGGATGTTGGTCATCAGGTTGGTTTATCTTGTTTGTGATGTAAATTCCATTTTGAGCAAACCGTTTTCCTTTAGCTACACAAGTTCTAACCTGTTTTTGTCTCTTTAATGGTCTTATCCTCACAAGATCCTAACGGGGAGAAGAGAAAAGATGAAGACACTGAGACAAACCAATGGCCTGTCCGGTTTCACCAAGCGAGGAGAGAGTGAGCATGATTCCTTTGGCACTGGACATAGTTCAACCACAATATCTGCTGGCTTAGGTAAGGTTCTTTCTTTTGTGAGAAGATAGTAACAATAAAGATAGTGATTCAAAATGAGGAGTCATGATCTTGATTATGAAATAGGGATGGCTGTGGGAAGGGACTTGAAGGGTAGGAATAACAACGTGGTTGCAGTTATAGGCGATGGTGCCATGACAGCTGGACAAGCTTATGAAGCCATGAACAATGCTGGCTACATTGACTCTGACATGATTGTGATTCTCAATGAAAACAAGCAAGTCTCTCTGCCTACTGCTAACTTGGATGGACCAACTCCACCTGTTGGAGCTCTGAGTAGTGCTCTTAGTAAGTTACAGCCTAAACGTCCTCTTAGGGAACTGAGAGAAGCTGCAAAGGCAAGTATTGTTCTTTTGTTTTAGTTATATTATTAACTTTTCGGGAAATGAAAGTTTCATATGTTGTTTACAGGGCGTGACAAAGAAAATTGGGGGATCAATGCACCAACTAGCTTCAAAAGTAGATGAATATGCTCGTAGAGTGATTAGTGGAACCGGTTCAACACTATTTGAAGAACTTGGTCTCTACTATATTGGTCCAGTTGATGGACACGACATAGATGATTTGGTCACCATTCTCAAAGAAGTAAAGAGAACCAGAACCATAGGACCGGTTCTTCGTGACTGAGAAAGGTCGTGGATATCCTTACGCAGAGAAAGCTGATGATAAGTATCATGGTAAAACTGATTCACATATATATTTCTCTTACTTGACTATGCGTTCTTGGATTGATTCATATTTCTTCTTATTGTTTCAGTCGTTGTGAAATTTGATCCAGCAACAGGTAAACAGTTTAAAAACATTGGTGAGACTCAGTCTTACTCTACATATTTTGCCGAGGCCTTGATTGCAGAAGCAGAGGAAGACAAAAATGTGGTTGCTATTCATGCAGCTATGGGAGGTGGGACTGGTTTAAATCTCTTCCAACGCCGTTTCCCTACAAGGTGTTTCGATGTCGGTATAGCAGAACAACATGCAGTTACTTTCGCTGCTGGTCTTGCCTGTGAAGGCCTTAAGCCATTTTGTGCAATCAACTCGTCTTTCATGCAACGAGCTTATGACCAAGTAAACTCACACATTGACAATTTGTGTTCTTATCTAACAAAAACATTAGACTGACTCTGTTTTGTTGTATGCTGTGTTTGTTGTTGAAGGTTGTACACGATGTTGATTTACAGAAACTACCTGTGAGATTTGCGATAGACAGAGCAGGACTTGTGGGAGCAGATGGTCCAACGCATTGTGGAGCATTTTGATGTGATGTTTATGGCTTGTCTTCCAAACATGATAGTGATGGCTCCATCTGATGAAGCAGAGCTTTTTAACATGGTTGCAACCGCTGCAGCTATAGATGACCGTCCTTCTTGCTTCCGATATCCTAGAAGAAACGGTATTGGCGTTTCACTTCCTCATGGAAACAAAGGTGTCCCTCTTCAGGTATGTTTTCATAAAAAGATTTTGACATTTTGACATGAACATACAAGTTTTTTTTTAAAATCTTTTTTGTGGTTTATAATTTTAGATTGGAAAAGGTAGGATACTAAGGGAAGGAGAGAGGGTTGCACTCTTAGGATACGGATCAGCTATTCAGAATTGTTTAGAGGCTTCTTCTATACTTGATAAACGCGGATTAAAGATAACTGTAGCGGATGCAAGATTTTGCAAGCCGTTAGATATTGCTCTCATTCGCAACTTAGCTAAATCTCATGAGCTTTTGATCACGGTTGAAGAAGGATCTATTGGAGGGTTTGGATCCCATGTGGTACAGTTTCTAGCTCTTGATGGCCTTCTTGATGGGAAACTCAAGGTACATTACATTATTTTGCAAATTCTCTATTTCATTTTCAATCTTTTATCTCTCTGAACTTGTGTAATTTCTAATTTAAATGTTTTATCTCTTTAACAATAGTGGAGACCAATGGTACTACCTGATCGGTATATCGAGCACGGATCACCACTGGATCAACTAGCTGAAGCTGGCCTCACAGCTTCTCACATTGCAGCCACCGTACTTAACTTAATCGGGACACCTAGAGAAGCCTTGTTTTGGGAGTAATGAGATCTCCAATAGGTGGCTAGTACACACACGCACACACAAAGATTCTTAAATTCTACATGAGTAAAATAGAGTGCTCTATACACGGGATGCAACAGATATAATCGATTATAAATGTTCAAGAACTTTCACTTTCAACTATGCTAAGAGATAGAACATATGGCTTTTGGATTCTCATCGCTAAACCACATATATTATTATAATGTTCACGAGACTTTATATAATAAGATAATTTGTTAATTTTCTTCTTTTTTATCAGTCTGTACATATATATTGTTATTATATTCTACTTTATTAATTTTTGAAATTTCCCCTTTTTTTATCAGTCTATTTATTATTCTTGTTACTAATAACTTGGTGAAGACGAAAGGTTAAAACAGAAAAGTACAATCCACCTGCTCCCGACATATATAATAATTATATAGATACAAAACTTTTAGGTCTGTGCAATAAGAATAACAACTTCTAAAGAGCCACTCTTGATTTCTCATGGTATCAGAGACACTTGTTTTTTTCGCTCTCGATTTGAATGTCTTCTATTCTAGACTTTTTTTTCTTTTTCGACTCTTTGATCTTTGACCTAAGACGTTGATGGCAAACAATGCCCGAATTGTTGCCGCAACGACAAGGAGAACCATTTCCTCCTACGGCTTGACAACCGGTGACCCTAGCACGATTATCTCTCAGCCTCTTCTTAACAGCCGAAACTATGACGAATGGGCTCAGAACCTCCGTGTGGCTTTAAGCGCTCCGAAAAAGTTTGCTTTCATAGATAGAAGCATCCCAAAACCAGCGGATACTTGCCTGACCTCAAAGACTGGTTAGCTAATAACCACTTATTGGTTACTTGGATCAAGCTAACCATAGAACCGAAGCTGCGATCAAACATCTCTCATAAAGAAGTGGCCAAGGATCTTTGGGATCCCATCAAGAAACGTTTTGCAGTACTAAAGAGTGGAGCAAGATTCCAACAGCTCCGTGGTGCTCTCGTGAATTTTCGACAGATGGGATCCTCCATGGAAGACTACTTTGGGAGATTGACAAAGATTTGGGATTCAATGAATGAATGCTCCACAAGCAAGACATGTGGATGTGGGAAGTGCAAGTGCGATCTGGTGTCCGCCCATGAAAAAGAACGTGATACAATTCGGCGTTGATGATTTTCTTTTCGGTCTTGATGATGTACACAGTGCGGTGCGATCTCAAATATGCGCTCAAGTTCCTTTCCCCGACCTTGATACTGTGTATCAAACTATTGTGCAAAACGAAACGATATTCAGAGATCTTCCAAAGGATTTGGTAGAGGATGAGATACTCTGCCACGTTCCGGCCACGTATCTGAAACGATTGGGATCTACTTGCAAACGATGGAACCGTTTGTTTAATGGTGATGGGAGGTTCGCAAGAAAGCACACTGACAAAGCCGCCGCGAAGCAGTTACTGGTGCTCATGAAGACCAGGGCATACAGGATTTGTCTGATAGTCTTCGACCTCGAGGGACCAGTTCCATCTGTAGAGGTAAAAAGTGAGCTTAGCCTAGTCGATTCGGATTCAGCCCCATTCGACATATATCGAGTCTTTCACTGTGACGGCTTGTTGTTGTGCACCTCCCAAAACAGCTTTAGGTTCGTCGTTTGGAACCCGTTTACTGGTGAAACCAGGTGGTTCCGACCCAGTAGTCGTGGCCAGAAAGGCTACCGCACCTTTGTTCTCGGATACTCCCAAGAAGATAACAAAAAGAGCTACAAAGTCTTGAGCTCTATTCGTGGTAGAAAATATTTTGAAATCCACGAGTTCAGCTCTGATTCATGGAGGATGCTTGATGATGTCATCCCTCCAGGCTGGACCGGTGATTTCACTTATCTCACCGTGTCGTTGAAGGGAAGCACTTACTGGTTCGCTTCAGATGGAACAAAAGCGCAACGCAACGCATCCTTGCTCAAGTTTGATTATTCAACAGAGAAATCTGTACCTGTGCCTCTTCCCTATCAGTGTGTTTGGTTGGAAATTGCTGGTCTTTCCGTTGTGAAAGAAGAGAAACTTTCCGTGTAATTACAGCGCGTTATTACATGCAATACTGAGATATGGGTGACAAATAAGATTGATGAGACCACCCATGTGGTGTCGTCGTGGAGCAAGGTCTTAGCTTTGGATTTGAGCCATGCAGATCTTCAAATTGTTTACTATACAAATTTCTTGCTCGACGAGGACAAGAAAGTCGTAATGATTTGTGAGAATTGGCTTGACATGGAAGACGAGACCGAGACCAAGAACAAAGACGTGATATACATTGTTGGGGAGGATAATAAAGTCACACAAGTGGCTTTTGGACTTGAAATAACATATGTTCGCCAGCTATTCTTAATTATGTTCCAAGTTTGGTTCAAATCGAGCCAGCCCGAGGCAAAAGGAAAAGAGTTGACCTGTAATCTCCTTTTGTTGCCTGCATCTTGGGCCCGATGTGGCTAAATAAGCTCTACATGTAACATCTCTCTCTTTTTTTTTTTTTTTTATACGTATTCGGTATTTCTCATTAAGTTATATCATGGTGTCATGTTCTTTGAATAACCGTTTGGAATGATATTTTATTAAAATGTGGTATTATTATCAAATGTTTCAACTCCCCAGTGTTCCTTGCTTCAAAGTTTAAACACACTTTTTAAGTTTTAAGATCAATTCTTGTCTCCTACATAGAAGCATCATCTCTAAAGAAGTCCAAAGTTTCAAGCTTTTCTTGTTTGACTTGAACGTTGCCATCGAAAACAGCTTGACTAGAGGAATGAGCAACAATGCAACTTGTGGTGCTGCCGCAAACAGCCTCGAGGATGGTCTAAACCAATTTCTGCTAAGGAGATCAAGAGTCTGCTCGTTAACACACTTATGAAACGTGGTCAACACGGTGACAGTTTGTTTTAGTTTACTTAGACCAAAACTAAACTACTTTGTTACTAAAAAGACAAGAAGAGAATCAGCACCTGTCGGACGAAAGTCCACTTGATATGAGCAGCAGGCAGCAGCCATAGATTCTTTCTGCAAGTAAGAATGCTTAACATTGGCATTCTTTTGTATAACAAATTCTAAACCAGTCTTAGTTAAAGTAAAACTGAACTTTCAGTTTCTGCAAACCAATTCATTCACATTCAAGAATGTTTTTGTGTGTGATTTATTATGTCTAGTTTCAAACTAAGCTATGATTAAGAGATACAACATATGGCTTTTGGATTCTCGTCGCTAAACCACATAAATTTCTCTAACTCCTTATCATTATACCCGAAAACCGACTCATCCCCAAAACCGATCAGTTCCATATCTATCTCGAGAACATCCTCGTCCTTACTAGATTCTTCATCTTTCTCTTCGTTCACTACAATCTTCACTCTTTTGCCTGTCTTCTTCTTTAGTTTCTTCATCAACTTCTTCGGATCAATCTTACCCTTTACCACAACCTTGTGACTATTCATATCCGTCACAAATGTTTCCACACCTATTCGTAGAACATTCAAAATAACAAACTTCTTGAAAACATGGAGATATACTGTGAAACCAATCTAAAAATTGTATAAGGAAACGTTACTTTTGGTTTTTACCTTTGTATTTGGAAATAACTCGAGCGATTTTTCTCTCGCATTCGTTGCAATGCATCGATATATTGAATTCGACTTCCATATACTACAAAACATATCATGAATATTTGAAAACAGAATCAAGTATTGTAAGAAACAGTTGAAAGCAGAGGATTAAGAAGAAAAAAAAAACGATGGTGTGCAAGTGTGATCTTACTCTGACATTATCCTTTTTCTTTTCTTTCGTCATTGGTGACTTGGACAATCGGTTCTGTTAACTTTCCGACAAAATATATTGTCGAAGCGACAAGAGATGTCTCAGCGTCAAAAGGGTCAAAATTCTGTAGTTTTTGAATCTTTGATGAAATGGCGGTTCAGATTTGGGATAGTAGTTATTGACGGTTAATCCAGTTCGGTTTTATTGTATTCGACTTAAATAATTGACTTTATTTTAAACCTGATGATTCTTTTTACTTCAACTATATTGATTAGACCCTCCTTTTTTTTTCTTCTTTTCTGTAACTAGTAATTTGTAATGTTTGTAATTCAACTTTATACCCATGGTTTTGGCTAAGATTAAAGAAGACAAAATAAACACTACGATGATCCTTAGTTTAAGGTAAATTTTCAATCATTTTCAAATTTTTACATATTTTTTTCCTATCACCCTTTAAGGTAAATTACCCTTAAAGGTAAAGTTTTGTTTTTCTACAATTTTTTTTCTGTTTAATCATTTACTCGTCATTTGCTGGTAAGTATGCTATAGCTAAAATGATTAAAACTTCAAAAGTAACATGTTGGGTTCAAGATTTACGTTGGCCAGTGTTGAGAGTCCAACCAATTATTTGTATCACTCAAATCCAACTCTCCTAATAAAATGAAAATAATAAAATGAAAATAATAAAACTCCAACCAGTTTATAATTAGACGAGTTGAAGCCAAAGACAAGAACATATTACATATTACATATACAACCACTTTCTAATCTATGTAATGAACTGGATCTAAAACAGAGCTTTCATACAAGGAAATATTTTGATCACATTTCCTCCTTTACCCTCTACGGCGTTGGAACTCACCTTTCCCATCTCTGATCCATATCGTTGACCGCGTTCTCCTAACATGATCAGCGAAGAGACGGTACCTAGTTCAAGATTCAGAAGAAGAGGCATGAATGAGATGATGCAAAGCTTGGTTTCGAAAAATACAAGAATCTCTTGTCATATAACAAATACCAACCTCTCGTACTCTAGCTTTTGAGTAACTATCCCATTCAGCAGTAACTCTGAGCTATAGACCTCTGCCCCTGAGGAAAGAAAAGAAAATGATAAAACGTGAATTCCTATGAAACTCTACTACATAAATCACCAGGAGTTTCAGACCAAACTGTAATTCACCTCTTTCAAGGAACGGTATGCTCATATCGCGATCCTCTTCACAAGATAAGACCAGAAGATTCTCCGGGACCTTATCTGCGCTTAAGGCAGATCTTCCGAGTCTTTCTACAGGCTGGATTTTATTTTCAGTATGAATCAGTTTGGAGAGAAAAAGTTATGAAGATTATTATTTTCAGTTTTTATGCAAATGAAAGTTGTAGAAAGGCGAAGAAATGATTACCACTCCATGAACTGCCTTAACCAATGTCGTGATTGTGTTTAGACCAGGCTTTGTATTTGGGGTGATAAAGACTCTTCTCCCCTGAAGTGGTGTAAAGATAATGAGCACAAAAGGAAAAAAAAAAAAAAAGCTAAAAGAAAAGGAACTGAAATCAAAAGAGTGTTAGATACCTGTAGTAGAGGATATTGGCGTGCACGAGCCAAAGAAACTCCCATGTTGAAACCGAATTCGTTCTCCTTCTTTGAGTCTCTGAGTATGTAAGGATCCTCGTCAACATATATGTTTACTTGATCGATGCTTTCAAGCCATTGTGTTGTCACCACCGGCTTGCCTGAAGCGATTGCTTCCAGCATGTTCCTTGTGCGCACAAAGTTATCCGCTACAAAGTGTGTTGCCTCCATCATGGAGGATGCTTCCGAGATATCAAACCTAGCCAAAATCTGTTAAGCAGAAGCCATATTGTTAGAAGTTCACTTTTGTGTAGAATTAGTTAATGCAAAACTGAAATTTCACTAACCAACTGCGAAAACAAAAGACAGAGGAATAGGTTCACAAAGTCAAAGATAACTTGAATAACAGTTAGAAACTCAAATTGTACCTTCTTCTGATGCTTGGTCATATCTTCATCAAGATGCTGGCTGAACAAGACACGTACACTACCCAAATCTCTTCTCTTTCTTGTACTCTTCGTCTCGTGAATAGGTTCCACTAATGGTGAGGTTAAGCTACGGAATTCCCTTGTAGTGTTTGATTTACGTGAATCCTTGCAAGAAAGTCTATGATACTCGTCTCCCATGCATATAGGTGATACATTCTTTGAAGGCGCCTTAGACTTAACTGGAGTATCAAAAGCGGGATCTGAACTCCTCCCTGCCTCATTAACCTGATCTTGCGAAATACGAGCTGATCTTCTCTGCTTGGGATAACTCAACACCTCTGCTTCAAATCCAGTTGATTGCTTAAGTTGCTTAGACGTAAAATGTTTGTTTGATAAATCTCTTCGTCTCTTCTCAGTACTTGACAAAGTAACTTCATCTGGCGTATCAAGTTTTTCATTCCTCGAACTATCCATATTCTTCTCACAAGCCTTAGCAAGAATTGACCTAGCCTTCTTGGTTTTTGGTTTCAACGATTCATCATCATTCTCCACAGCCTGAATCCCCTTGATTCTCTTGGATTTCCTGGTACCAACTCCACGACTAGAAATGCCTCCTTCCCGTAGAGATTCCTTACCTATAGGACAATTTGGCTCAGGATCGATTTCCCTGGCGTCTCCAGAGTGCAGAGCATTGATCGCTTCAGCAGCCATTTGGGTATCAGGGCCTGCTTCTACCTCTTCACGCCTATCAAACATACTTGTATTACTTTCCTTGGAAATTTCATCCAACTCATCAACAAGATTCTTTTTAGTCTCTGGTGAAGCAGTCTGGAACTTCCTTCTCTTCCCGCTGCATGGACCTTCCTTATCAAGCTGGCCACCCTTTGAAGACCTTTCGATACTCTTCCCACAAGCTTTAGCAGGATTCGGGCTAGCCTTCTTCATTCTACTTTTCAACAATTCATCTTTACCCATAGCCTGAATCCTCTTTGTTCCCTTGGATTGTCTAGTAATGAATCCACCATTAGAAAACCCTCTCTCTTCTCCCGGTGACAGTTTCTTTCCTCTAAGACAACTTGCCTCAGCATCAAATTTTCCGCGGTCTCCAGAGCAAAAAGCATCAATAGCTTCAGCAGCCTCTTGTGCATCATACCCTAAAGCTACCAATTCACGCAAATCAGACATTCTATTATTACTGTCCTCGGAAACTGCATCTAACTCTTTGCCAAGATTCTTTTTAGCGGCCTGGACCTTCTTTTGGCTCCTAGTCACTCTATGCTGCAACAGTTGGGAATCAGAATGAGCCCTTCTTTTATCCACTGCAACTCCAAGTCCTCTACGACTTTCATGAATCAATTCTCTTTTCTGTTTTCTAGGCAAGGTAGAAGATTCCCGTGCTTTACTTGGAAAGCCAAAGAATTCTTCTCTTCTTCTACGATAAATATCACCCCCTCCTTCATCCTCACGGTTATCATCCCAGTCGAAAACATCGTTTTCAACAGCTCTCGCTTTGTAACTTACTTTCTTTGCTAACTCTTGTGGACCTTTAACACTCGGAACAGATTTTGATTTTTCTTCTTTTCTCCTTCCACAATCAGCTTCAACTTCAACAGCAAACTCTAAACATGACTCACTAATGAGTTTATCAACAATTTTAAGAGCACTGGCCTGAGATGCCTCACCAGGCTCTTGAGAGTCAATATAACTCAAACCAGGAGAAGGAAAGTTTTCTTCAGGCAAATCATCCTCAAGGAAAAGCTTCCTCGCTGTTCTATTTTCCTTTTTCTTTTCGACAGACATAGTGGGAGGGCATTTCTGATTCCCTAATTCTCCATCATTATATTCAAGACGAGAATTATGTGTGGCTCCTTGACCAGAGGAATGACAGTTGACTAAAGTAGAACAGTCACTGTTGAGAAGCTTTTGGGTTGCAACACGAGCTGCCACAGCAGAAGCACGAAAAGCTGCTGAACGAACTGAAGCAAACCTAGCCACCTTTTCTGGTAAAAGAAGAAAATTTCAGTAAATAAAAATGCTAATGGAAGAGGGAGCTTCAAACTCTTTAACAGTATTGAAGAGAACATATAGACAAAAGTTTGTACTTGAGAAGCATGCAATATTAAGAGACTAAAACGAAAAACTACAAACATTAATAATTTATTAAAAGAACACAAGGAAACACAACTACCTTAGTAGATAAAGAACTTCATCTCCAAGAAAAGATACAAAGATTAACAATGGGGTTAGACACCCAAGTACGAAAAACATGCTTATCACCACTATTGGCAAAGAATCTTTCTCATGCTTGGAAGACCAGCTAATGTAGAGTCTAGACATTGTGACCCAAGAAGCATGAACTTAACCCTAGTAGCCCAACTTTAATTTCTCACCAGAAGTAAAACGAGAACTTGATGCAAGAAAAGGGACATCAATATTTCATGTTTTTTTAAAAACAAACACTGCAATTTCGGTTAGAAACTCACCAGAGATTCCAGGTTCATTCGACCGAGTATCAACGGCACCTGTTTGTTTGATGTTTTGCTCTCTGTTATCCACACTCGGTGACGAATTTCCACCTCTTCTATGCGAGTCATCACAGTCAGAGAGCTCGCTGTTGTCCTCCAAGAAAACAGTAACATCATAATCACTATCCGCAACAACTTCATCATCAAAATGATCCAGCACCTGTGTAGCCAAGCCATCAGTAGCGTGGAGTAACTGTTTCCCTTCCACAAGTGGTTCTTCTTGAGTTTCAAATCCCAAATCCACAGCTTGAGTTTCACGACAAAGAAGAAAATCTTCGTTATCAAATTCAGCGTCTATGACCTGAGTCTCCATATACTCATCATTGATCCAGGCATCGTCCTCAAAAGGTGCTGTGTCCTGCATAAACCCATCGCCAAAATTCCCAAGGAAACGATCTTTACCTTCGCCTGACATACGCAACAAACAAGGTTAAGTAATATTAAACGAAGTAATATTAAATCCAGCGAAGTACCAAGGAAGCCACATAAAAATTTCCGAAATTCTCAAAATTCTCAAAATACAATCAATCACTCAGTAAAGTTGGGTTTTTTTTTTCCATTGGAAAGGAAAAGCAAAGAATCGGAGAAACCATTAACAGTTAAAAACTCAATCCGAACTATTGGTTGATATTGAGAAACCAGATCGATGTGAGAAAAAAAAAAATCGAAGCTTTATGAGAAATAAAGCCTAAAGAGACTGTTCAGTGATTACCAGAATCAGAGGGCGAAGAGGGAAGAGAATCAATCGGCTGGGTCTCTTGATTCTCAGAAAAGCTGTTCTTCACTTCACCCATTTCGATTCATACACTGACAAATCTCCGACAAACAGTACCCAACTCGACGGGATTGAATTCTCACCACGAAGATGTACGAAAGATTAAGAGGAGAATTTTCCGAATTTGACGGAGAGTGACGAATTTCGGCTAGATCCCAAAGAGAGGAGAAGAACAGCGAAGACAGTATTTAGGCGCGCAAAAGAGAGTAAAGCGTCTCGTTAGGGTTCGCGGGGAGTGTATACTTAACAAATCTGGAGGGAAATAACGTAAACTAATAATTTATATACTTAATTTCTACATAATAAGTAAAGATGGGCATTTGGTCTAGTGGTATGATTCTCGCTTAGGGTGCGAGAGGTCCCGAGTTCAATTCTCGGAATGCCCCTTTTTTAAAAAACCATTAGTTGGTATATCTTTTCCTCATTAATATACCTTGACAACTTTTGTATCACATACATTAGGACCAGAAAACAAAGACAAGGGTAAAGACCAAAGGAACCAAAATCCAACTCTATACAACCATTTCTTACTAGTTCAAGATTCAAACACTTGCCATTTCATTGTTCTTGTTTTTGTAAAATCAATTTTAAGAATTCATATACTAGGTTTGAGTTACTCCACAAAAACCTTGTCCAAATCACTTAATCATGTTTGATCTCATTGAGCAACAAACTTTCTGTTTATTACTAGATAAGTAGTCATTCGGTTATTTTATTTACAAAGCATCAGCTGAGAAGAGCTTCGTTCTTGTTGAGCACATCCAAATCTATGCTCACTCTCAAGCCCGAGTTTACCAAAGCATCGACCATGGCAGGGATGCCAGATTTCAGTGAAGCTGCTACAGCCTGTTTTTTTTACAAGTATACAGAGGACATGGTTCAGGTTACGAGCTTTTGGTTTCATGTATACATGAAGTGAATAGATTCAAGAGAGAATCTACCTTTTTATCTTCTTCTTTTTGGTGCTTGATAACGTCCACCGGCCACTCGTTTACCAGCTTCTGGAATTCAGCCTCAAGTGCTGACTTCTTCTCATCAGGATATGCCTGTGAAGAACAGACAGAACATGTTTCAGAAAATGTTATGATCCCGGAATCAGGACGATGAAAAAGGGATATTAACAAGATCTTGGCTCATACCTGGCAGATACTTTGGATGACAGCAGCAGCTTCTTCAGGTTTATGTTCTAGCAGAAATCCCTGGGAGAGAGAAACGTTTCAAAGGATAATCCGATAATTTGATATTAGAAATTATGAATAGGTGAGATAATGCCCCTTACATGAGGATGCAGAAAGAAATGTTTACCTTTGCACATGAAAAAGCAGAGGAGAGAGTGTGTTGAGTGTAAGTCTCAGATCTCAGTTTATCAACTCTCCATAAGTTTCTGTGTCTCCTGATAAACGATAACACAGTAAGCAATTGGCATGCAAGTAGTATACGAATCCCAAAGTTTTGACGAAATAGAAATTGATGCAAGAACAATACTGGAAACCAACTACTCCAAAACCTTACCTCTTTTGGCAGCAAATTCCATCCATATACCAAATGTGGTCTTCCTTAACTTGACTCCAGCTCTGCAGAATCTCTTCGAGTACTTAGCTAATAGAACCCAGTTATCTGACACATAACAGGTCCTGCAAATATTCAGTTGAAGTTCATTTCATGATAATGAAGTTCATCGAATTAGCAAGGCCATAGAAAACAGAAAGTGAGAAACAAAGTAATCTACACACCTGAAAACTAGATCCGCTGTACCTGGCTGTAGAGGCAGGTTACTCGCCTTCATAAGTTTCATTATTTTGCGCATTTGTTTGGTGCTCCAACACTCTAACGCATGTGACTACATAAAACCAGCAAGCATCCTTGAAAACTGAGCGCCAAAAGAACCAACTACATATAGACCCAGCGTGTGATATACCAGTAACTGGTGTGCAGATGCAATGCTAGGAGTCAAACCGTAAACATTGTGTTTCCAAAGAGTCCGTTTACCTGCGGTCAAAATTAATAAGAGCTATATGAGCGTTGAAAGATTCTCAGAACAGCCATGAAAAGAAATCTGAGCAGGCAGTTGTGGAGTGAGAATCTTAATAACAATGAAGCAAAAGGTTTGGGATTTACCATAGTCCATTGCCTCACAACGTGCACAAGTCTTAGCGATTTGCTGGCATAGATTGCTGTTAAAGTTGTCATGAATACGGAGATTGGACAATCTCTACAAATCCAGACCAAACACAATCTCTTATGTTTAAAAGAACAAAGAACACAAGAAGGTAGCAAGTAAAGTTAACTCACAAATCTCCGGAGATTCTGCAGAGCGTCAAAGAGAAATTCAATGTCACCCCCGTGCTGGCAGTTGTCAATCAGTGACCACAACCAAGCATTTGGAGGCATCGATCTCTTGACATTTATAGAATCAAGTATCTTACGATGTAGTTCCATGACAGCTGCTGCAAATACAGATAGTTTGATCTCAGGAAACACTATGGTGTGAGCTCAAAAGAAGTCATTCCAAAATAAATCGTCTAAAAGTAAGCAAACCTGTGCCTGGATACTCCCACGACATCACTCTGCAGGATTCTCGTACATCATCCACACGAGCACAACTCCCTGCAAAGCATTGTTGTCTGAATAATCAAAACAAAATTTCCAAGGCCAAGTCTTTAAGAACCAACCAAAAAATTGTCTATAGATTGATATTTGACTACAAATCTAATCCCAGGAAAATAAGCAGAGAAATTGCCAGAAAGTCTCAACATTTTCGTCCTCTTTTCAGATACTCTTACGAAAGTTTCTATTTTTCGGAAGCTTCAACGATGAAAAAGATGTTGGTACCTGGAGATACAGAAGCAGGAGGAGATCGAAGGTTAGGCGATTGGAGAGAGTCGACAACATGAGAAGCATTGGATGATACAAATCTCATATTCGCATCGAAGAAACCCAGCGGTTTCAATGCCCGAGCGATTCTACGAGAGTTCGATAGATACTGCATGACTCGGGGATCCGTAGCCACTGAGTCAAGACGGTTTATCGAACTGAGTCAACTCGAAAGGTTCAGTGTGTAGAACAGCAGTGACGCAAGAGTTAGGGTTTACGTTTTTTAGCCCCAAATGTTAGTATTTTCATAATACATCCTATACAAAGTAATCATTAACAAATGACCCCGCAAGAGTTAGTATTTTCATTTTACCCAGTCCTCTCTCCTCATAAGAATCACAACTATATTTGTCCCAATATTAAGTTTTTGATGAATTTTAACTACTAAAGCTTCTGATATTATTCCGGGAAAAAAGCATCTAGTTATCACCAAGAGACAAGTTCAACATCTACAAAATTAAAGTTTCTTCGTTATCTTTTGTGAATATATTATTTGTCAAGCATCATGAGAATGGTAAGACTGGTGGTAGGAGAAAATCCCAATTTAAAGACAAGAAGAATAAAATAATGATAATTAGATAACGGCCTATAAAATATGTTAATGTATAACCAATTTTGGTAGTGACTAGTCCAATCGGTTTTTTAGTCTCTAATTTTAAAGTAAAAAGCACTTGAGTTCTAGTACTATAAGGAAACACTAATGTTTAGTGAAGTGACTAGCTAGTTCAAAAAGCGAGTATGAAGATGAAGCTACAAGAGAGACGAAATGAATATAGTAGGATAACCTTAACAAAGTGGCTGCATTCTTTCGACATATGTTGTCTCAGCAACTAGATATTTTCAGCCAGGTGCAAGATTTTAACATCAAGCGAACATCCATACATTTATAAAAATATATGGTTGTTTACAAGAGGAAAGTAAAAATAAATAAGACAAAAATACAACATTTAAGTTGGTAAAGAAAAACGGAGCAACTTTTATGTATTTTTCCTCTGAGGACATCTAGGACTAGGAGTACCTCACGTATTGTTACTCAGCCGATGTTTTTCAAAAACAATTATCTAACAAAAATTTCAACATCCGCTCATAGAATTATTCAAATAAAAAGTACTGGTTAGTTTATATCTTATCTTGGGTATGAATGTTAGATATACGTTAAAACAGATACTCATTTTGTATTTGATCAGAATATTTTATAAGAAAATTATAAACTAATGAAAACATAAACTAAATTTTACAATCAGAAAAAGAAAAAAAAAATTAACGTTTATTCTTTATTTACAATCAGAAAAAAAAAAAACATTGTACAACAGAGAGACGTGGACCGAATTAAGGCAGGAACAAAAGTTGAATTGGTTAGGTTTTGGGACGGCGATAGGGTAATGAGATTGTAACAAGTGGTGATCTATGTTTATCTTTTGGAGAATCGATCGCTTTATCCGAAATGGCCCCTTCTTGAATGGTCACGCTACTATCAATCTGTCATCATACTATTCCCAATATCCTATTCCAACATATAGAATCCAGCCGAAATATATATATATATATATATATATATATATATATAATTAGCTTTTATATGGATGAGATATTAATGAAATAAATTGCTGGATATATATATGTGCATGTTAATGCATCATTGTTCAATTATGTGGAACACGTTGGAGCTGTAATATGGATTTTTGTAAGATGTCAAAGACTTTAGAAAAGCCTAGACAACATCGTTTCCTAGTTAGAAAAAAAGTTCAGAAAAAGGACAACTAAATGACCTGATCATCTAGAGATTTGTAGATGATGAACCTTGTCGACTTTTTTTGTTTAATTACAATATTCGGAAACGATCAATTACAACCGACTTCAAATCTAAAATATTGGTCCCTGACAATCCATACAAGTGAATTTCAAATAGCAAAATGTCAACTATAAAATTCTAATTTTTTTTTTAATTTTTTAAAATTATGCGAACATTGAAGTTAGCTTCTTCCTATGTATGAAGGAATATATGTAAAATCATTCAAGAAGGAAAGCAAATGGGGCGTGTAAAGAGAAGGAGGATGTATCATATAGATGCGTCATGCATGTATTATGCTTGAGGAGGTCCCAAGTTCGTCCACTATCTTTTATGACGCTATTATATTATCTCACCGATCCTATTAGAATATTACTAATCATCAACGGTTTCGGTTACATCCGACGATTTAGTGATTGCATCATGCTTTAGTTTCGATTCAAAGTTAGGATGAGAAAGAGAATTATACATGGTCTTTTGAGCCTATTAATCATCAACAGATCGTTACATCCAAGTTAGTATCCGATTCAGATTACAAATTCCGCTCGAATCAATGTGAGAACGTGCAGTACTTCAGATAATCAAATTATAAGAAGTAATATAGTAGTACAAAAAGTAAAACGTAATAATATAGGTTATCAAGAATAGGAAAAATAGTAATGTAATTTTCATATCATCAAAAAAATTTTGGATTTGGTTACTGTAGAATTCATAGTTAAATGTGTTTATCTACAAAATAATTTACTAGTCATGGTTATTTTTATGATGCTCTTTACTAAACACTCTTTAAACCAAATAGAAGTACTCAACTACTCATTAATTAGATTGAGGACAAAGATATGTGGGCCTAACAAGAAATTATATTCATTAGCGGCTGAAAGCTATATGGCTAAATAAATTCGTTATTCATTGCTAAGCATGATTAAAAACATGCATACTTTGCAACGCTGTTTTCCCATCGCTAAACACGTGTTGATTCCATTGCTAAATTTGGAGATGAATCTTTTTGATTGTTGCTCATCTGTTGTCAATATTGTTTTTTTTTCCTACAATAAAGCGTATTGTTGGGACGTTATGGATTGCAGAGTCACTCATCTTACCCGATTAATCAATCATCAATGATTTTTTTGGTAAAGATTAATCATCAATGGTTGCCATCAAAGATGATGAATTCGAATCTTACTGTTTACCGAGGGTGATTGTGGCATACTAAACCAATAGTTGGTAGCTACTTAGAGGAATTTTTACAGATGACGTGTTTATGCCTTAAGTACAACGGTCATGTCGCCACTACCATCGCCGTACGGTTCCTTGTTTTTGGATTTGGCTCCATTGATATCTCAAGAGTCACAACGAATTTTGTGTCCCATCAAATTATAGTTAAGACTATGAACTGTTTTATTAAAGTTAAATGAATTATGCCTTAAGTAATTAATCTTCGCGAGCATTAAATCTTTGTGAAAATGTAAAACCAACATGCAATTACAAAAGCTTAACAAAAAAAGGCGAAAACTTAAATGAACAAAAAAAAATGCAATTACAAAACCAGATGGATTGACATAACTGAAGCGTGCATGGATTGTGAACGTAAAGTCATCCCCAAATACTGGAATTTTTCTCTTCATGCATCACTATGGTCACAACTTACATTATATGCATAACAATTTCTATACCTCACAAATGTCAACTCCCGAGCATCATATCAGCCACAATCCAACTTCCCAAAAATATGATTCTCCCTTTTAGTTGCCCCCATCATTAAATCCAAGATACCTCTATATGTTCATAAAGATTACACATGTGTATATATATTGAGTTCCAATACTCACTTCTCCAAACACAAACCCATCAACAGAAAATCTCTCCAAGCGAGTCAAAGAAAAAAAAACATATATACAAAGTACTTAACTTACTGTAAGAATGGATGTGGTAGCAACATTGGCGTCGCAAAGAGCAGTGGTGATATTTAGCAAGAGTACGTGTTGTATGTCTCATGCAATTAAGCGGCTGTTTTACGAGCAAGGCGTGAGCCCCGCGATTGTAGAGATCGACCAGGACATGTACGGTAAAGATATCGAGTGGGCCTTGGCTCGGTTAGGCTGCAGTCCTCCAGTTCCCGCGGTTTTTGTCGGAGGGAAATTTGTAGGAACAGCCAATACTGTCATGACTCTTCATCTCAATGGGTCATTGAAAAGGTTGCTCAAGGAAGCTGGTGCTTTGTGGCTATAGTGCTTAATAAATGTGTTCTTGAGCGATTTATATTATGATCTTTACTTTGACCTTTTAAAGTGTATTCATCACTTTATGCACGTTAATTAAGCATATGTGAAGAACTACTTTGTATTGAGAGTTATTATATGTCTATGTGGAAGTTGATTTAATGGTTAATTAATCATATAATTATTTCCCATCCTTAGAAGTTCATTTTCCTGCTAAGTTTACTTTACCATATTTAAACCAAAACTTAACTACATAGTCTAATATATAAATCCAAACCTTTAAGTTATAAACCCCCAAAAAGCTACAAGGAAAGTGTAAAGAATAATCCACGAATCTTAAACCCTGACTTATAAAACTTAAATTCTTAATCCTAAAATCTAATTCAAATATTATATTTTTAAATTTGAAAATTTAGCCTATTTGTTCATGATTATTCCACTGCTTATTTGAGGTCCTTGCAAATCTTCGTGACGAGAGAAAAAGAAGCTCAGAAAAAGACATGAAGTATGAGACATATTTGTAAAAGAGTATATTTGTTGCGCTTTTTTTTTTTTTGAAAGAATGTAAAATTATATTCATTCAAAAAAAGACTTTTTTACATCTGCATAATGCAGCTGTGTTTTGAAAACTAAGAAAAACAAACTACCAAAATTTTTTGGACTTTGCTAGCGATAGCTGAACCACTTCTCCAGGCCATCCTCCAAACGGCTGGGGCCTTGGCTTCGAACTGATGAGATTCGGTTGCGGATACTTTTGTCGATGATGCGGATTAGTTGAAATGGGGTCTTCGCCAGATCACCATGTTTCCTGCAGTTTCGCTCCCGCCAAATGCTGTGCAGAGTAATTTGAAAGGCGTACCGAAATAGGAAGAGCGATGTCGCATCCGCCCAAGTTTCCGATACAAGCAGAGGAGTAAAAACTGCCCATTCCGTGCTATATCGGGATCCCAGAATACCATGTACGAGCCGGTACCATATTACAGAGGAGAACCCACAAGAGAAAAAGAGATGCTCTCTGGTTTCAATGGGATGGTGACAGAAAATGCACGACGTAGCAGCTGGCAAGTAATTACTCCAATGGAGCATATGATCTCCTGTCGAAAGACGGTTGTGGTGAGCGAGCCAGGCGATGAACGAGTATTTAGGTGTGGCAAACTTGAACCAGACACCTTGATACCAGTTCACCTTCATGCGCTCTAACCGTATCTCTGATGCCATGTTTCGCTTGACGAGAATTTCTCCCTGAACTTTCCATTCTTCCCCCTCCACAGAATTCTGTCCTCCCCTGTTTTTGTTGCTCCTTTTTTGTATTAAATATGCCTAAAACTTTTTTTTGGGTCATTTTATGTTTGACATATATAAATCATAACTATCCCAAACTCATATATTTGCCATTTCTGTGTTTTTTTTTGTTTGTGCTGTTTGTAAGCTGTCCAATGCATTGAAATAGATACATAAGGTGTTTAATAAGTTTTTTTTACAAAATGTAAAAATTCAAAGAAGATCATTTTTTTTCGGAGAAAAACTTGGTCTATAGTTTTTCACTGGAAGAAAAGTCTAATGTGAGTGGACTAAGTTTTCTCACTTGTTGAAAAATATAGTGCTTTGTAGATCTATTTAAAAGATCAATTCCTTTCAAAGTGGAATTATAATTATTTTCATTTGGTGAACCAAAACAGTGTTATGTTTTTTCATTAGAAAATCTGCTAAGTGGATTGCTCAACGACTATATTCATTTTAGAAAATTAGTTGGATGGTAAAAGTGTGGATCATCTCGAAAAACAAAAATCTCATACAAGTAAGAAATAAACGCATGGAAACATGAAAACATTAGTGTTATTTTTTCTGCAAGTTTCGATTCTCAATTCAATATTTAGAATATGTGTGTTGTGAATCAATGCAAAGAAAGTAATAAACGAGAGAAAATTGTGTGAATAATTACAAATTTTAAGTCTTGTATTTATAATCTCAAAAATCCGACTTCCAAATCCATCAGATAAAAGAAAATTTAAATTTAGCCTAATAAGGAAACCGGGGTTTCGCCTCCCCCCCTCCTCCCGCACACCTCTATGACCCAATAAAACTCACTAGACCTAACTAGAGCAAACTGAGGAATGTAACGGTCTGTTACTCTTCAGTTCGCTCTAGCAATGCCCCTTTAAAAATATTTTTATCACCTGAAACAACAATGTGACTTGGTCAAAAGAATCCTAAAGCAGAAAAGGAAAATTTAGATAAATTTTTGTCGGATTAATAATAAAAAGATTGCGGGGTTCTACCATTAATGTTGATCTATTTCTAGCTAGTTAGAGAGAATGAGATAAAGAGAATACTTATGTAAAATGCGAGAGAGAAAGAGGTTGACTAAAAATACATGAGTAATATATCGGTTCTCGAGTCTAATTAAGAAAATATAATTTGGTATTAAACAGAGTTTTGATGCTGCTCAAGACTCAAGACTCAAGGAAAAATATATTTAACTTGGTCATGTTTTTGGGGTTTTGTTAATTAGCACTTTGATGTAGTAATAGCTATGGTCCTATAGATGCTGCTCTATAGTTCATCACTTGACATGAGTGGCGATCGACGTGAATCGCTCTGCGACATGAAAATAATTATTGTCGATGAGAATCAATGCAAAGTTGACATTCCCTTAACACGTAATATTGGAATTTTTCTCTTCATGCATCATCACAAGTTACAAGATGCAAACCAATCTCTATACTCTTAACACTATCTTACTCACATTTGTCAACTCTCGAGAATCATATCAGCTGCTTCTCTTATCCACAATCCAACTTCCAAAAAATAAGATTCTCCCTTTAGCGTTGCCCCATCATTAATCCAAGATACCTATATATCTTCATAGATATCACATGTGTGTATATATAGAGTGCCAAGACTCACCTCTCCAAAACAAACAACCAACACAAAATTTCCAAGCGACTCAAAGAAAAATACATACATACAAAGCAAAAGAGTATTACTATACAAATGGATGTGGTAGCAAGATTGGCGTCACAAAGTGCAGTGGTGATATTCAGCAAGAGCACGTGTTGCATGTCTCATGCAATCAAACGGTTGTTTTACGAGCAAGGCGTGAGCCCCGCAATTGTTGAAATCGATCAGGACATGTATGGTAAAGATATCGAGTGGGCCTTGGCCCGGTTAGGCTGCAGCCCTCCGGTTCCTGCGGTTTTTGTCGGAGGAAAATTCGTAGGAACGGCTAATACCGTCATGACTCTTCATCTCGATGGGTCATTGAAAAGGTTGCTCAAAGAAGCTGGTGCTTTGTGGCTATAGCACTTAATGGATGTGTTCTTGCTATCTATATATATTATGATATTTACTTTGACCTTTGAAAGTGTCTCCACTTTATGCGCGATTAATTAAAGCATATGTGAAGAACTACTTTGTATTTTGCGCGATTAATTAAAGTGTCTCCACTTTATGCGCGATTAATTAGGAGAGATCTCTGTCCAAAAGGGAGTCATACTTTGTATTTTGAATGTTATTTATGTATTGTGGAGGTTGGTTTAATGATTAACTATGACCCCCTTTTGGACAGAGATCTCTCCTTTGATTCCCACTAATTACAAGTTGATTTATTTGGTTATTACTTATTAGGCTTAAATGGCAATCATTTTTTACTTCTTACTCTTTCGTTTATATACTTAAATTGGTAATTATAATATGCAAAAATATATTGAACCAATGAATCTTCGAGAAAATGGATGTGGATGAGATATCCATATTTAAGATAAATAAAACGTAAAGGTCCTCGAGAATATTCGTGAGGAGAACCAAAAAAAACAAGGGGGAGAAGGGAATATGTCCTATTTGTATAAGAATATATAGGTGGAGAAAATAAATAATATCTGTGCTCTCTACTTGCTTATCGTTAATCATTTATTAATACTTTGTTGTCATTTAGAGTTTGCTCATGAGTCATGACTATCCTAATTCCAGACATTTTCCAATTCAGTACATAAGATACATTATCGCTACTTATATAGTTATATACTGTTTCTTAAATAATTTTAAATTAGCAATGACAAATCGTAATATATCTAGTGCATACTTAGAATAAAATCTACCACAAAGAATATAAGTCAGCAATATGAATTGGTATATAGTGTTGAAAACGATGAAGTCATCCGAAAAATATATAAATCAACCGTTCAAAGATAATTTGACCGCATACAAAATATAAATTGATGGCATAAACAAATCTATGATGTTATATAGTCATTCACTCATTTGATAAGGATATTAGTCAACCGTTTGCGACAATTATATAGCAACATTTTTAAATAATTAACCATGGAAAATTATAATCACAAGGATAATTTTGTTGTCATTTTATTTCAAGATTAAATTAATTATAATTGAATATAGTATATCAACATATTTTTTATATTGTTTTTCAAAATATATTTTGTTATAGTTGGTATATTTTGTTCTTTTTTTTAAAACAGAATTGGTCTATTTTACACCAGAAACATCATTAATTAGACAAGGTCTGGTATACTCCAGTTGGTCAACTAATTTTCATTATTTCCTTTAGAGGTAGTAAAACAGTTTTGTTTGGTTTACTTTTACCATTCATGCAAATAGAAGAACACTGAAACAACAAATATCACTGAATCTCTGTTCTATCTATTATCTTATCCCACAAAGATCTATTACGACATAATCATAAAAGCTTCTGTTTCTGAACGTATATGAAAAAGGTATGTGATGAACCTATTCACGACTTGATGATTTTATAAGTGTCTTTTACAAAGTGAGAGTGAAAGGGTGTAAATTGATTTTTAAAAAATTTGATAATATCACATGGTGGAGAATGATATAATCATGTAAATCTAAATTGTTTTCTTTTAATTCTGAGCTTTTGACCTCTGTGAAATTTATCTACTGTCACCAAATTTGATATGTCGTGTAGTATGTTGAGCTCAATGAAAGCCTGGATGTTGAAACATAACATCTTGATGGCTATATACTTTGCGGTTGCTACGTTTGCAATCATAGCAATTATTATGATCGTGTTAATACGGATCTACAAAACACTACTGCGCAAAAATCAAGTTTGTGACAGTAAATCCCACAACAATACATCCGTTATTACAAGACTTGGTAAGCCTAATCTTCAAATGATAATCACACTTTGTGTCATATGAGTATATGGGTAATGGTAACATGCGAGATCATCTACACGGTAAGTTAAGTGCATATTTTAATGATTGGGCTTATTTGATAAGTGCAAGATCTGATTTTTTTTGGTTTATAACTCATGTTTGTTTGTTTACACGCCCTCTCCGTTTTAGGTAAACTTGCAGCTGCATGTGTCAACGAGGAGGATTCCGACTCCTCCGAGGAGTATCCCGACACACCCTTTCTCCCTGACCCTGAACGTAAGATCTCTGTCTTCATCGAAATTCTTTGTATATATATATATATATATATATATATATATTGTAATATCGGATCTAATCGTCCATCTGTCACATTAAAATTTTAATGGAATGGATTTAATTTTTTATCAACGATCTGATTTTTTTTTTTTTTTTTCACGGCTCGTGTTTGTTTACGCTCTCTCCATTTTGGGTTAACTTGCAGCTTCATGGGTCTCCGATGGTTTCATTAGGTCCGATCCTGTTCCCTATAATTACTGTAAGATCTTTGTCTTCCTCGAATTTTTTTTTTTCTCTTTATTCATGATCTGTTTTTTTTTTCTCCCCGGCTCGGAATTGTTTATGCGCTCTCCGTTTTTTGGTAAAACGTGCAGCTATTGAGGAGTTATGTGTGTTCTGGCTCGTCGAGGATGTCTCGAAACTTAAGGATCTCAATCCTTGTGTGATTTATGCTGATATCAAATCAGCTCTTATGAAACAGAGCTATAGTTTTGATCAGTTGGTGATCCGTGTGTACACTAATGAACAGCCTCCCTTCTCGGAAGAAGTCATAAATCCATATTTGCCTATAGGTTTCCTCCCCATAGGTAAATTTTTTCACGTAGACCCTCTTTTAATATATAGTCGAGATCTCCATTGATGTGTTAAACTATTACAGGAAATAAGTATGAGAGACTTCATTATATGTCAGTTGAAATATTGGTCTTTGCAGGGAGTATCAAAAAGTTGGTGATACTCTCAGAAACCCTTGGAGAAGACGAGAAGTTCTCTAGGCTTGTTAATAGTTTGAAAGCGATCGGTTTCAATGTTGTCTTACAACCGCTTGAAAAACTATTAGGTGAAAGCCTTTCAGGTTTCGGTAAGGAAGTAATCCGCCCATGTTCTTGTCAACAACGACAATACAGAGGTGGCCATGGAAACAGAGTTGGCCGTGGAAACAGAGGTGGTCGTGGAAACAGAGGTGGTCGTGGAATAATTTTGGGCTGACTATGAAGTTATGTGCCATTGATGTCGTACAGTTTCAAGCAAACTCTTCATTATGAAAAAAATTTTTGGAAGAGTTTACAGTCTCAGCAAACTCTTCTGGATTAGTCCGGGTAAATTATCAGCTGCTTCTCTTATCCACAATCCAACTTCCAAAAAAATAAGATTCTCCCCATTAGCGTTGCACCATCATTAATCCAAGATACCTCTATATCTTCATATAGATTACATGTGTGTATATATAGAGTAAAAGACATACATACAAAGCAAAAGAGTATTACTATACAAATGGATGTGGTAGCAAGATTGGCGTCACAAAGTGCAGTGGTGATATTCAGCAAGAGTACGTGCTGCATGTCTCATGCAATCAAACGGTTGTTTTACGAGCAAGGCGTGAGCCCCGCGATTGTCTGAAATCGATCAGGACATTAAGAGTGGGCCTTGGCCCATTTAGGCTGCAGCCCTCCGGTTCCTGCGGTTTTTGTCGGAGGGAAATTTGTAGGAACGGCTTCATCTCGATGGGTCATTGAAAATGTTGCTCAAGGAAGCTGATGCTTTGTGGCTATAGTACTGGATATGTTCTTGATCAATTTATATTATGATATTTACTTTTGACTTTTGAAAATGTCTCCACTTTATGCGCATATGTGAAGTATTTACTTTGTATTTTGAGTGTTATTTATGTCTTTGTGGAGGTTGGTTTAATGATTTAACTATGACCCCTTTTGGACAGAAATCTCTCCTTTACTTTCAAGTTGAATGATCTGGTTATTACTTATTAGGCTTAAATGGCAATATTTTTTTACTTCTTACTCTTATGTTTCTATGCTTAAATTGATAATTATAATAAGCAAAAATATATTGAACAATGAATCTTCGAGAAAATGGATAAGGACGAGATTTCCATATTTAAGGAAAATAAAACGTAAAAGATTATACAAGGTCCTTGAGAATTTTCGTGAGAGGGAATATGTTCTATTTGTATAAGAATATTTAAGTGGAGAAAATAATATTTGTTGCTCTCTACTTGCTTATCGTTAATCATTTATAAATAGTTTGTTGTCATTTTAAAGTTTGCTCATGACTATCCTAATTCCAGACATTTTCCAATTCAGTACATAAGATACATTATCGCTACATATACTGTTTCTATAATTTAAATTAGTGATGGATAATCGTATTATAATCTAGTGCAGACTTAAAATAAAATCTACTATAAGAATATAAGTCAACAATATAAATACGTCTATAGTGTTGAAAACGATGAAGTCATCCGAAAAAGATATAAATCAATCGTTCAAGATAATTTGACCGCATACAAAATATAAATTGATGGCATAAATAAATCTATGATGTTAGATATTCATTTGATAAATATATTAGTCAACCGTTTGCGACAATCATATAGCAACATTTTAAAGTAATTTACCATGAAAATTTATAATCACAAGGATAATTTTGTCATTTTATTTGAAAATTAAATCAAATATAATTGAATCTATTATATCAACATATTTGTTATATTTTGTCTTTCAAACAAATTTGGTCTATTTTACACCACAAACATTAATTAGATAAGGTCTGGTATACTCCAGTTGGTCACTTAATTTTTATTATTACGTTTCCTTTAAAGGTAGTAAAACAGGTTGTTTACCATTCATGCAAATAGAAGAACACTGAAACAACAAATATCACTGAATCTCTGTTCTATCTATTATCTTATCCCACAAAGATCTATTACAACATAATCATAAAAGCTTCTGTTTCTGAACGTATATGAAAAAGGTATGTACATGAAACTTATATACGACTTGATGATTTTATATGATTGTGTTTTACAAAGTGAAGTGGTGTAAATTGATTTTTAAAAAATTTGATAATATTTTATGGTGGAGAATGATATATCATGTAAATCCAAATTCTTTTCTTTTGATTCTGTGTTTCTGATCTCTGTGAAATTTATCTACTGTCACCAAATTTGATATGTCGTGTAGTATGTTGAGCTCAGTGAAAGCCTGGATGTTGAAGCATAACGTCTTGATGGCTATATACATCGCGGCTGCTGCATTTACAATCATAGCGATTATTATGATCGTGTTAAAAAGGATCTACAAAACACTACTGTGCAAAAATCAAGTTTGTGACAGTAACTCCCACAACAATACATCCGTTATTGCAAGACTTGGTAAGTCTAATCTTCAAATGATAACCACACTTAGTGACATATACATTTATGTCTGGTAGTTAAGTTCTCGTGGGTCAAAAAGAGAAGAACGCAAACAAAGATGTAAATTAAGTTCTCTTGGGTTTGTTCATTAAATACAGCATATTCATGAGTGTAATACATTTTGATTCTCATGTAATTCACTGCAACTATGATTCTCAGAAGGGATGTCACAAAGCCTGACTGAGTTCTCGCTAGAGGAAATAAAGCAAGCAACGAACAATTTTGGGGAGAGTAATCTTATTGGGTATGGAAGCTTCGGCCCAGTTTATCTTGGGCTTATCCGAGACAGGATTCTGGCGATCAAAAGGATGCCAGATTCTCTTCATCGTAGATTCATGGCTATGGTTAGTACACACTACACACAAACTAAATTTTTTGATTACAACATTTCCAATGTGTGTCAATGGAAAACAATGCATCTATTACATTAATATATGTTTTTTTTGTGAGTGTCAGGTTACTAAACTGTCTAAAATTCGACATTGTAATTTGGTTAATCTTTTCGGTTACTGCTGCGAGACCGGACATCAAATGCTCATCTATGAGTATTTGGCTAACGGTAACATGCAAGATCATCTATACGGTACGTTAAGTACATATTTTAATGATTTCCTAAACATCGGTCTGAATTCATTCATATGTGATAATCTCTTGATCATTTAATAGACTCCATTGACTTAAACTTCAAGAAAAGGATATATATAGCTCTGGGAGCAGCTAAAGGTAAATAAAATGTTAATCAAACGAATGATCTAAAAAGTCATGTTAACTTTGTTTATAGGTTTTAACTCTTGTTCTTTAATGCAGGTTTGCAACACTTGCATAGCTTAAACCCTCCATTGACACACAATAGATTCAAGATGTCTAAAGTTTTACTCGATGCCGACTTCAATGCGAAAGTTTCGGGATTGTCAAGATTGCTTGAGATGAGAAAAGAAGAAGCTAATGTGTATGATCCAGTGTATTGATTCACTTATTTATCTCTTGATAAGTCTGTTTTTATCATCATTCACTTATTTTTGCTCTTAAAAGATTTGATTTCATCTTTGCCTATAGGGTTGGTTTAGATAACCAGGAGACTTTCAATGAGACCAGCGATGTGTATAGCTTTGGTTTGTTCCTCCTAGAGCTCATAACCGGTGAAGAGCCTAAACCGTTAACATCAAACGACGAAATGATTCAATGGGTAATGATAAAAAAGAAACTTTTTCTTCTCTTCTCTTTCACTATACATAAAGCTCGAAACTTTCTGTGTAATTACAATCGATTGGTTCGATGTGATATGTGTAGTTAGGTCCTCGGATTTGTTCAGACAGATTTGTGGATCAGAAAATGAATGGAACTTTCACAAGAGAAGCGTTGAACAGTGTTGTGAAGATAATGCTGAAATGCTTGAAATTTCCGGCGATTGAACGGCCAAAGATGGAGGAAGTCGTGACGGAGCTCGAGAAGATTTACAATAACGATTTCACCGGTGAAGAAGAAGGTTCGACCAAGTTTTCTCTAGGAAGCGAGCTTTTTACAATTTACGAGTGAGAGTTAGAGTGAGAGCAAGAACAAGCTAGCATTTTTTGTTTCTGTTTGTTTTGGGTAATCAGATTTGTCTCAGATTATCTCAAAACTCTAGATAAGATTCTGAAAAATCCAGACTTTTGCAATTTGCAACAACGATCAATCTGAAACTTATCAGCTCGTACTCAGAAGAGATTGCATACAATCCAATTTCGGAATTCGCATTCATCGGATCCGGATTATCGAATATTCCAGTAATATCCTTCGTCGGAAACCTAATAGAAGCTCTCTTCTCCGGTGAAGCGAGACGATGGATAGAAAAGGAAGACGAAAACAAAGGGATTAAATCCGGTTTATCTAAACAGACCAGTATTAAAACCGGATTAAACCGCAGCCGATTCGGTTAAAGTACCCGGATTGAACCGAGTTAACCCCAAATCCAATATTCTAAACGGGATTACATTTGCATCTAACGCAAATTATTGTAAGCTTAGCGAACTAAAGAGAGACTGCAAAAAATCGGAAATCGAACAAACTGTAACGAATTTACATTTATCAGATTTCTATTTCCATTTTTTATTTTAAAGTTTTCGCGGTTATATCCCCAAAAATTTCTTTCATCTCTTCTTCGCTGCTTCTTCATCTTCCATATTCGCTCCTTTCATCTAATCGATCGCTGAAAAATCCCAAACTCTGATCTGTTCATACCGATCTCTCGCGTCTTCCTCAATTTTACATCCCTCGAAGCCGTGTCGATGGCTTCAAAGTGATTTTGGATTCTTGTAGGTAAGCTATTGCAATCTTCATTTTCCCCTTCTCTTTGTTTTTTCTCTTGCTATATAGACAGTTCGATATCCGATTCCATTTCTCCTCTTGAAATTTTCAAATCTTCGAGCTCAAATCGTCGTTTTTGCATTGTTTTCGTTTCTATTGGGGACATGATTCTTCGAATTAGGTGTGAAGCTATAAGTTTAGAATTCCGTTCTCTTTCTTTCTGGGGATTATACGCACTGATTTTTTTTAGCTTTCGATTTGAATTCGAAGCTCAAATTGGTGGGTATCAGGTCGTGTGATTCGAAGTCGCCCAAATTTCAGTATAACTTCATGTAGTTGCTTAAGGATATTAATTTCCATCTCGGGGAAGCTAATTCTTAAACCTTTTCTGGGATTCATACTCTATTGAGCGGAAGTACTGTTGAAACTATAGTATCAATCGGGTTTTGCATGTAGAGTTTAATTTCATGAGTGGCAATAGTAGTCATTTTCCTTGGAGATTATCAATTACTCAATAATGTGCATTAATCAAATATCGAGCTTATGACTTATTGTGCATGTTGGGTTTGAATCTTGGTAAAACTTAACTTTGTTTTGGTTTTGGGAAAGTTCAGGTAATAATAGAGTTTAGCTATGGCGCCTTCAAGATCAAAGAAATCTAAATACAAGAAAACTTCCCGTGGTAAAGCTGTTTCTCCTCGCAAAGACGAAGAAAGTATGAGCAAAGCCAAACAACGAGTAAGCTGTTTCCTTAATATCTAAGTGGATGACCTCCACTTTAGGTTATATGCTTTCTGATACTTGTATTGCTCATCCCGAGATTTGATTGTGAAATTTTGCATAGTTAGTTGCAGAAGGTTACGCATTTACGTAAATGTCTGCTACACTTTTAAGGGTTTACTCTATATCTGTTTTCTTGAGCGGTCCTAGTAATTTATAAACCTTTTTTAGTTCGGTTTCAGCATTCACTCAAAAGTTTTATTGTAAGTAGTTGTTTCTGTTCTTTTCCTGTTTCAAGGAGGAGACATTGTTTTACTCTTGTGTCCAATGTGCGAGCAGATTTTTGCTGTTATTCTGCGACAAAATTACATTAGTCTCCAAGCATATCTTATTGTGCTCTTTACATGCAGAAGAGGAAGCTGTCGGATATGTTAGGTCCTCAGTGGAGCAAGGAAGAGTTAGAGCGCTTTTATGAAGGATACCGCAAATTCGGAAAAGAATGGAAAAAGGTTAGTTCAATGAGCAAATCGTACAACATACATTATCTAAGATTTGGAGTCTAATTTGTTGTACAATATTCCATTATACAAAAAGAAGGGTAATAACTAATAACTATTGCCATAGTTTCCGTAATGTTATGGGGATGGTAAAATCATATTTATAATCACTTTGGCTTTCAGAACCAAGAATAATTGTTTTATCCTCTATGGTTTGTAGGTGGCTGCATTTGTACATAGCCGTTCTGCAGATATGGTAGAGGCTCTATACACTATGAATAAGGTTAGCTTGCTGTTCGCCTTCCTAGATTTGTCTTTTGATCGCTGCCTAAACAGTTTTCAACTTATATTATGCCATCTGTACTTTAGGCTTACTTGTCTCTTCCAGAAGGCACTGCATCTGTGGTTGGCCTAAATGCGATGATGACTGATCACTACTCTGTTCTGGTAAGAGCTTTAAACCGCTCAAATAGTTATTTGATTTCAGTATCGTTGTTATTGCTAGCTTACACGCATTTGGTCCAGTTCCTATGGAAGATCTGCCAACTAATAATTATGCTTCTTTATTCTCGTGATTTGTTAAAGTTTGTCTACATAGGTATGCGTTATAGTTTAGCTCAGGAAGGACAGATTCTTACACTCTTGGGTATTCCATTGTAATAAAATTTATGCGTTTCTCAGAAAGATAGCTAGCTGACTTTGTCTTTTTTTCGGGGACGTGGAGTGAGGTTGATAGTTGTTGAGCCTTGTTAATAAAGTATTTCCAGTTCTGTCTCATAGGAAAACAGTTTGGTAGTATGGGGTTGGTTTGCTTTATGTTATTATGTAACGAGTCTATCTCTCCTCCAGCATGGAGGAAGTGACAGTGAGCAGGAAAGAAATGAAGGTATTAAAACTCTGAGGTCAGCCCCTAAGCGCTCTAGAGTGAAATCCTCAGATCATCCCTCTATAGGATTAGAGGGTCTGTCTGACCGCTTGCAGTTCAGGTCCTCTTCAGGCTACTTGCCATCACTGAAGAAGAGACGTACTGGTAGTGTTCTCTGCTTCTCTTTGCCTCAAAACCTGTTCACGTATTTACAAGTATGAGTTTTGCTTGCATACACACAATCCTATATATGCATGAGTCTTTGCTTGGTGCAAACTTTCAATTTTTTTTTTCTCAATTATTGCAGCCCATCTGATGTCATACCTTTTTTTTTAAATACATCGCAGAATCAGTTTAGCTAGAACCGCTCTTTCCTTTTTTTTTTTTTTTTTACTAGCGCCAATAACGTACACTAGAAATTTGTGAAAAAAAAAAGTTACGTGAGAAGATGCAACATAAGCTAAGTGGGGAAAAAAGATTTATCGCCCCAAAATTTTATTGGCTCATTAGTTATCTCTCTAATGGAAAACATCTATTGGTTGCTAACTTTTCTTTTAATCGTAATCTGCATGTGCCAAGAGACTGTGCCTCGTGCTGTTGGGAAAAGGACTCCTAGAATTCCTATCTCATATACCCCTGAGAAGGATACTAGGGAAAGATATTTATCACCTGTTAAGAGGTGTCATAATCAGAAGGGGGATGATACTGATGATGATATGGAACATGAGATTGCATTAGCATTGACTGAGGCTTCACAACGAGGTGGTTCTACCAAAAACTCCCACACACCAAATAGAAAAGCAAAGATCTACCCCCCTGATAAGCAGGGTGAAAGAATGGTAATTTCCTTTACTGTTGCTTATAATTCATTTACTTGCTTCATGAAGCTTGTGTCCTCAAATTTTGTACTGTTTGTATACGCTTATAATTCACTACATGATAGTCCCTTTGCAGACTCAATTAATAGAAGGAATTATACTGTTTTACTTAAGTAGGATCTGTTTTATAAAATAGGGACTGATAGATTTTGATATTCAGCGTGCCGATATCGACATGGCCATTGCCAAGCTTCGTGCCACTGAGATGGAAGATGCCCGCTGTGAACCAAGCTTGGGAAGCACTGAAGCTGATAATTCAGGAGGTAGAAATGAGATGACGCCTGGAGAAGGTTCTAGTGCCATGGATAAAGGAAAAAAATACTATAGGAGGAGACTAGGCATTAAAGAAGATGATGTAAAAGAAGCCGGCAGTGGTACAGATGAAGCACAAAGCTTAGGCACCCTCGATGAGAAATTTGAACCAGAAGTGGATGGGAAGCCTTTAAAATTCACATATAGAAGTTCAAGGAGAAAAAGTAAAAAAAGTCTCTTTACAGCAGGTGTGTTCTAGTCTGTCACTTCTCTGTTAAATTTACCTATATGCATATTAAATTAGGAGTAAAAGAAATAACAAAAACATCAATTCTCCATTATTTAAAGCACCTAAGACTTCATCTCAACCAGCTGATACTCGTATCAGATGGAAGCATGTTGGAAAATCATAATCTGACTTACTGTTTTGGTGGTCACTCCATCTTGTGTTTTTCAAGTTTAAGATTCTAAATTCTGTCTATGTCGTTGACAACTGCCTATTTCTGGTAATCTAATATTAGCTGGCTACTGAGCTTGGAATCCAAATTTTAACAAATTCACAATGAGGTTTAGGGAGTCGTTCTTCCTGAAGATTCTTCTTATCTATGATAAACTTAAGAAGCTGCTTAACTTTAAAAAAAAAAAAAAAATTCAACTCATGTTGACATTCGTTTAAGCTAATAATTACTGCCATTATTTGCATATATGCCTGGTAATGTTGCCACTTCAACTTCTTTTCTCTGTAAAATTCTCTCTGCAGATGAAGACGCGGCATGTGATGCTCTCCAGACGCTGGCAGATCTATCGCTGATGATGCCTGAAACTGCCACGGACACTGGTGGGATACATATATTTGACCTATAAGCGTTGTACATAGCCTAGTGTCTTAAGCTGATTAATGTTATTGGCCATATACATAGAACCGATACGCAATTAATTGTTTATTAACTTTCTCAATTTTGAATTTTGGTTTGATTCAGAGTCATCTGTTCAAGCTGAGGAAAAGAGAGCTGGAAAAGCGTATGTATCAGATTATAAAGGGACTGATGCAGCAGCCATATCTAAAAGGGGTTCCCTTCGAAACCCCAAACAGAGGAGATCCGTCAGCAATGATATTTGTGATAATGAAGCCGAGAGAAAGAGTCCAAGTAGCTCTGTAATCCGAAAGGGACGGCTGAAGACATCACCAGCTAAAGTAAGATAAGCTATATATTTAACAAAGACAGACTTGGTTTTACTGTTCTGTTTTCAGAATTCATGACTATGTTGAAGCTGTTTTCTTCCTGCAGGTTCCTAAAGATGAGCTTGCTGCAATTTCAGAAGTCATTGAGCCTCCTAAAAACAAGGTAGGTGTCTGCTTTACTACATTACTCTTCCAATTAGACAATATAACGTACTGTGCTTATCTATGTGCTCTGTGGAATGATCTCATTTGTGTACTCTTTGGAATGTATTATATCTTTGACAACCAAATTATTAAATATTTCAGGTTTGTGTTTCTTCGTGGAATTTCGTTTGTAGCTTTTTATCTTAAGACTGATTGTAATGTTGTAGGGAATAGGTGAGGGAAATAAGCCTGTTGGGAGAGGTAAACGGTCCACAAGTACTCGAAACACACACGAAAAGAAGTCTCTCAAACCCCCGGATCATACTTCTTCAAGTAACAACATAGTAGAAGAAGATGAGTCAGCTCCACCAACTACAGTCACAAAGAAACAAGTTAACTTGACAACTAAAGTTAGGAGCAGAAGAAAGATAGTAACTGAGAAACCTCTAACTATTGATGACGTGAAGAGTTCTGAGATTCTGGTGAGTGAAAGTTCTGATAATAAGACTCTATTGATAAAGAAGCGCCAATGATATCAGTTAATCTTAAGATCACTAATTTTAAAATGGAATTTAGTTTGTTGCGTTCCTGATTATATGTCCTACCATATACTTTTTATCTACAGGAGAAGTTTTCGCATTGCATATCTAGTTTCCGAGCACGAAGATGGTGTTTTTTTGAGTGGTTTTACAGTGCAATTGACTACCCATGGTTTGCCAGACAAGAGTTTGTTGAGTACTTGGATCATGTAGGGTTGGGTCATGTTCCTAGGTTAACTCGCGTTGAATGGGGTGTCATAAGGAGGTATCACTATTAATATGCAGTTAATTTTCTACTTATTTTCTATATGCTTGTTTCCTTACAGACTTTGTTGGTGCAGTTCTCTTGGGAAACCGAGGCGTTTTTCTGCACAGTTTCTGAAGGAGGAAAAAGAAAAGCTATACCTATACAGGGATTCTGTACGAAAACATTATGATGAACTAAACACGGGCACGAGGGAAGGACTTCCGATGGATCTGGCTCGGCCTCTAAATGTTTCACAGAGAGTCATTTCCGTGCATCCAATGTCCAGAGAGTCTCATGACGGCAGTGTCCTAACTGTTGATCACTGTAGGTACCGGATTCAATTTGACCACCCTGAACTAGGGGTGGAATTTGTTAAGGTACTCTTCCTGGCACTGCAACTTTTTCTGGCATTTGTAGAATCTGGATTTTTTTACATGACGAATCCCTGTGAATATGATCCGAATACATAAATAAATTAATCCTCGCAGTTGACTGCAAATTTTTGAATATGACCAAAGTCTCGAATAGGTTTGGTAAATAGAATCGCTACTGAACTTCTACAACAGTACTTTAGCACTTAATTGTTGATCAATTTATCTGGTGCATACTTCACGGGGTTTTCGACAAAAGCACTAAGTAACAATTTTGATAATTCATAACTCGAGAGTGAGAACGAATTTAAATGTTGATAACTTAAGATAACATTGAAATTTTTCTTTTGGTGAAGGATACCGAATGCATGCCACTGAATCCTTTAGAAAACATGCCAGCATCACTTGCAAGGCACTATGCTCTCTCGACTTATGACATTCAGAATCCCAGTGAGGAGAAAATGCACGACCGGGTACAGGAAAACATGCCGGAAGGATACCTAAAACTTTCGTGCGACACAGGCCATCCCTTAAACTCGCCAATCTATAACGTTAGCAATTCACTAAAGGAGGAAAAGGTTGGTATATCTTACCATCATGCCAGGTCTCATATTAAACTTTTGTATATGCTATATTATTTTGTCGAGTTTCATTTTTCTGCATACCTGGAAGAACTGATTTAGTAGTTATATACATCAAGGAGTTAAGACTCTCTTTGTGTTTACTGGTTTCTTAAATATAGATGGGTTTCCATCTAAGGTATTCAATCCATTAGGGTTTCTTTGTCTGAAGTCTTTGACCAATAATAGAACAAAGCATCAGTCTATCCTGGAGAATCATCTATGGAGGTAGTTAGATAATTTAAATCTCTTACCAATCTTATACAAATATAACGTGAATGTTTTATCACAGCTCTCTCTACTACTGTAGCTAATGTTATTCCTCCTCGTAACTTGCATCCACTTTCTCTTGCAATGTGTTTGGTATTTGACCAAAGTCATCTTAGCTACAGCTAAATTAAACCATGATAGATATTTTTCAATTATATTCAAGTATGCTTAATTTTACAGGTAGATATCTCAAGTTCGGATCCACAAGCTCAACATGTAGTGGATGGGGCCCTTGATTTACAAATGTATAATTCTCAGCCTTCAAGTATTGGACATATCCATGCAAGAGAAGCTGATGTCCAAGCTCTTTCTGAACTAACACGTGCGCTTGACAAGAAGGTTCGATCAGTTGTAATTTTTACGCCTTCTATACATTTGTGATGTGTGTTTGCTCTTAATCTTCTTCACTATAACACTTTTTTCTATGGTCGGTTTGCTTTTTCTGTCTCTTTCCATATTTCATGATATTGCTTCATTCTTGCTAGCATTAAACTGGTTCCTTCACACCATAAGTAGAGATTGCAAGAGGATGTGATTGGATAGAGAAGTAGTTTCAAATTGACTAAATGGAAACGTGAATTCATAAAGATTACCAAAAGAGGGACTGGTAAAAATTTGAGTTTGACACGTTACTTTGATTGACCCATTTCATATTGTTTCCTCCATGTCTTCCATGTTTCTCTAGCTCTTTTGACATTATGGTTTCCATTTCAAGTAAATGTTAATCTACAATGCCGCAGGAGCTAGTTTTGAGGGAGCTAAAGTGCATGAACAATGAGGTTGTGGAAAGTCAAAAAGATGGACATCATGCCCTAAAGGATTCTGAATCTTTTAAGAAACAATATGCAGCTGTTCTCTTTCAGCTAAGCGAAATCAATGAGCAGGCAAAAATTTATTAAAGAACTATAAGAATCATCTTGTTGTCTTTACTACATACAGCTCTTGAAGTTTCTTATATTATGTCTCAATATGCACAGGTTTCATTAGCACTTCTTGGCTTGAGGCAACGGAATACTTACCAGGAAAATGTACCATATACTTCAATAAGACGCATGAGCAAATCAGGGGAACCTGATGGTCAGTTGACGGACTTAGACAATAATGCATCTGATACTAATGGGTTCCATGTGTCTGAGATTGTTGACAGTTCCAGAATAAAAGCACGGAAAATGGTGTACAGGGCTGTACAGGTGTGTGTATAACGAGTTGGTCTGTTTCTATATTTGGGATCTACATATGAAAAAGCTTCTTACTTGATTATATTCTCATCCTTAGTTGTTACTCTAAAGGTCTAACCAACTTAACGGTTTTGTCTCTGTATCTGTTGCAGGCATTGGCGTTACTAAGGAAAGATGAAAACAATGGTGTAAATATTGAAGAAGCCATTGATTTTGTTAATAATCAGCTTTCAGTAGATCAAACAGAAGGGTCATCAGTCCAGCAAACGCAAGCTGCTCAGGATCAGCGTCTTCCCTCTACACCAAATCCGCCTAGCTCAACTCATGCCGATACATCCGACGCAAACCCACCAGAACAAAAGGAGCTGCAAATTCCGTCTGAACTTGTTTCACGCTGTATGGCTACATTGCTCATGATTCAGGTGAAAAAGCTTAAAACCCCATTCAGTAAATTTCCTGCTGAGACCTATCTGCACATTTACGCAAATACATTATTAGGCTTGACTTCTCTCTTCATACAGTTTTAGACATTAGAGAAAGTTAAGCCTTTGGTGCTGATTTCCTTCTCCTCTCACTCTGTAGTAGCTGCATTAGTTATATTGTGTTGTGTTCTTATTTCATTCACAGTTTGTGATACTGACACAGAAACCTTGTGTGAAAAAAAAACACGATGCAGAGATGTACAGAGAGGCAATTCCCACCAAGTGAAGTGGCCCAGGTTCTAGACTCGGCAGTGGCCAGTTTACAGCCTTGCTGCTCCCAGAACCTTCCTATTTATACAGAGATTCAGAAGTGCATGGGAATCATCAGAAACCAGATTTTAGCCCTCGTACCCTCCTAAAGTAAGAATCCTAAAACCAAGACTTAACCCTCTCTCTCTCTTGTCTCTTCATGATGCTTGTTTCTCTTGTAAAATCCATTCTTCTTATAGAAAAATCTCTTTATATATATACCTCAATTATTTGGAGTGTTAGACTCACGAAACTTCCTCAATTTCATTTTTTTTTTAAGTATATACAGTATGTAACAATAAATTATTAGACGGGGCTTCATCATCACGGTCCATTGTCATTGTCTTATAAGGTACTAACTAGTTTCATTCCTTCCCGTGTTTAAATTAGTTCCATTATTATGATTTTTATTATGGAAAAATGCTTAAAATTATTTTGTATGTGGCTTAAACAATTCAACAATATATAGACAATACTTGGCTGGACTGCAAGCATATCCCTGACTAGATAGACTTGTCGATTGTTCCAGCCGGTTCCATTGTGTCCCAATTCGGATAGAATATGTTTGTTTTGGTTTGGCTCAGTCAGATTCCGAATCTGGTGTGGTAGTAAATTGGTCAAGCCGTATTGTGGGGTTAGATAAAGTCGACTTTGGGTTTTGTCTTTATCGACAACAAATCATCGAAGATTTTTTTTTGGTTTTAAATGAATTAGAAGTGTTCATTTCGGTTTATACACATACCTGATAATACAAAACGAAAAAACTTTAATTAACCGTATGCTATGGTAAAAAATTGGGTGCAGGTGCTGTTGATATGTAATATCACACTAAGGGGTAAAACAGTAATATTCGAATTGAAAGTCTCGTTTTTATTAGTAGATAGTTCAGAAAAATACAAGTTGAGTTAAGGTCGTCGTAGTTTCGACGACCTTGTTAACAAATAGAGAACTTGAAATAAAGTTGGCGATCTCAGAATTTTTAAAAGGTCTCTCTGCTGTTGATTTGCGGATGCCTCGAATGAATAAAATTCTTCCCTATTTATACGAATTTTAAGGCGGTTTGAGAATAACTTTCCTTTTCCTTCTTGATTTAACATTTTCTTTCCTGATATTTCCGGAAATCCTCCATGAAATTCGGGAAAGTCAGCCAATTTCGTAAATTGGGCTTTAATGGGCCTTCTAGAAAGTCATATGTCGGCCCATCCGATTTAATCTCGATTCCAATCTTCGTAAACCGATGTCTTTTCGGACCGGTCTCGATTAATACCGAGTTAAACCGGGGTGCGCACCAACAGGTGCAACAGTTTTTTCTCAAGTAATGATAATTGAGATTTGGCTTTTCTAACAAAGTGAACAATTTGAATCTATACGAGAATGATTAAGTCGTAATCTTAGATAATACTTTTTGATATGATATTTTGTTACTATTGTATTTATGATTCCACCATTAGGATGACGTGTAACCACATCATCCTCCATCATTTTTTTTTGTTTCCTCTTCTTCTAAATGCATTTCCATGTGTTTTATATTTTCCTTTGGTGTGCAAACTTTTGCCTCTATTAATTTAGTAGAAGGGAGAATGACGACAAAGAAATAAGAACCGACAATACATTTGTTATGAATGTAATTATTATTGAGCCATTATTAACAAATAATTTAAAAAGAGGTTCTATTTAGCTCTTTGTCATATAATGGGGGCTTTTGTCGCTTGGTAAAACGACTAAAATAATAATGGAGCATTCTGTCTTTATTTGGCTTGTTTCTTCTAATTTTGTCTTCCAAATTGTGGGACTCCAAACAGTCCAAGTAAATCTTTGAGCATGCTACTTCAAATCCCGTGAAGGAGAAAAAAATACAGGATACCAAGATTCAATTACACTTAAATCGTAACTATGACTCTCTTAGAGGAATAATAAATTGTTTTGAGATTCACTGAGGAAGATTTTCTTTTTCTTTTGTCAACACTTCGGAAGATAATTTTTGGAATATATATAGAGATGCTGAATGATGATAAAGACCAATGAAATTACAGCCACAAATGTAATCAACATAATAAGCATGGATAAAATGTTTTTTTTCTTCTTATTTTTATTGTTGTTGTTGTTGTTCCTTCTCGACATACATATAAACATATGAACATATAAACATGCACACCCAAAACCACCCACACACACATATAATATATTACAAGTTGTATTCACATTGGGGAATTGAATCATGACACTAAGTACCCTAGGTGGGGAACATTCCTATACATTATAAACATAAAAAGTTCAACAAATATATTTTTTTTAGTCAAAAGAAAGCAAATTAAGTGGTAACTAGTTAATGGAGAGTGATAGGGGTGGTGAAAATAATATTAGTTAATTCAGAATCCTGGCAAAATCAAGGGACTTTTTGCCTTGGAGCTTGTTGGAGACATAGTGATAACTATAGTCACCATGATTGTAGCTTCTATACTTGCATGGGTTAGTTTCATCATCAACTAACTCACCCATTGGCTCTATTTCAACTTCATAGTTTGGTGCATAGAATGTCACTATTGTAAGCCTCTCCCTTTCTCTGTTTGTTACTGCCCTATGCTCCACACTCTTATACTTCCCATTAGTTAGCACCTATAAACAAAAATTAATATTAGTTAAAAAAGTTAGTGAATGGTAGAAATAAATTAATTCTGATTAAAATCTATGTAAAAAGTACCTCAATGGTATCACCAATGTTGATGACAAGGGCACTGGGAAGAGGTAGAACAGGGACCCAAGTGTTGTCCTTGAGGATCTGAAGGCCAACACAACTGTTCTTGCTCTGTTGAAGAACAGTGAGAGCACTTCCATCAGAATGTGGGCTAAGTCCCAAGACAAGGTCAGGACTTGAACATGGAGGGTAATAGTTCATCCTCACTGCTTGCACTGCCTCCCCAAACATTTCCTCAAATCTCTCTTCATTTAGACCCAGACTTATTGCTATGTACTTTAACAATTTCTTGCATAGTTTCCTTATCTCTTTCGAGTAACCTTCAAGATTTTCACTGTAGAGGAAAGAAAAGTAACTCTTTAGTGAAAACATGTGTTAGAAAATGAATGAAAACATATATAAAAAATAATAATCACTAAGCTACGCCTTATATAATTTTTAACTGTCACATGATATCCACTAGAACTTAAAAAAAAAAAGAATCATGTTTTCGAATCTGGATACAGTACACATGAATTTCCTTTGTAGACACTATATGAATTTGCGCGCCATATGCTTACTGATTGATTATTCTAAAAATTATATAGAATATGGTGATCATGAAAATTTTATATATAAAAAAAACCTTAAGAAGACTTATTAATATGAATAAAATAACCATACATAATTTAGGAAAAAAAAGAGACTAGATTAAAGCACTTGTATGTGTTTATGCGGGCTATGAGTTTATTATATTAAGGAAAAATAGGGATTTGTTTTGGTGAATAACCTGAACCGGGCCGGTTTAGAAGGCCATAGTTTTGGGTTGCGAATAGAAGGAGGATGAACACCAAGAGCAAACATGTTGCACCAATCAAGCTTCTGATCTTCAGAGAAGATGAAAGCTTGACCGTAACCTTGTACGGTCCCTGGCTCCATTGGATACTTCTTCTTCTCCTCCAATGGCATCTCGAAGAACTCTTTGGCCACTTTCTCTATATCTTCCACAACCTTCACTTCGATCCCATGATTTATAACCTATATGTTGTAGTAGAAAAAGCCAGCATGAGATTCATATATAATTCTAAACATAAGGCCAATCAAATGCAACAAAATCCATATTTACATATGGTCAAAGATGTTAAAGGTCCAAATGTTTAGCCAAAGAAACCCAATAATCTAATTATTGTCGAAATTAGATGATTGTATATGAATTTGAGTAATAAGCAGTTTGTTTTCGAAATAAAGTATCATAAGTACCTGGAAAAATCCCCAGTCTTCACAAGCTTGTGACAGCTTAAGAATCTCAAAGAGATGATCATCATGAGTATGAGGTTCTGATAGCTTAGAAAGATCAATAACAGGAATATGTTGATGAGGGTGAGTCTTAAGTGAAACCAAGAGTCCTCTCTCATTGGCTTCTCTTATGAATCTCTCAGGAACTTTGTTTGGTTTGGATTTTATCAGTTCTTGAACATCCTCTATTTTCCCAATTCTAATCGAAGATATAGGTAGAGGACCCATATTGAAGCAAGCAAATCAGAAAGAGATAGAACTTCTTCTTTTTTTTTGGACTCTAGCTACAACAAGTGGGCTCTTTACTCAATGAGTCGTGAGAGAGAGTCTACATTTATAGAAGAAATACTTGGAGCTCAGTGATGTTTATTATTGTTTGCATGTTGTGGGTTTAATTAAGTGTTGCAGGTTTTGTGGAGTGTGGGGTCCATTTTGTGCACTTTCGAAATTACTTTTTTTTATTGAAAAAGAATTTCGTATAAAGAGTCCAATTTAAATACTATAGCATAAATATTTGTTTTCTTTAAAACTCCTAGTACGTTCATTTTGTTGACCATAATTATTCAATAAAAAACTGATAATATAGAAGACTCGAATACTGTTTGAACAAGATGGTTTATCCCTTGCCACCATTGAATAATTATGTTCAAACAGTATTTGAGTCTTCTATATTATCAAGATGAACAAAACAGCCAAAAAGGGGCCGGCTAAAATGATCTTAGTATTCGAAGTTTAAATGCAGTATATTTCGAGGTTCTTTTTTTTAAGGAACGCTCAGTTACCCATTTTATGCAACATCAACTTCGAGTAATAAAAGATACAGAAAAAAAATCTGTTATAACTTATACTACAACTTATTTTTTTTTTTTTGAAACGGTTATACTACAACATATTAAAAGCATGCAACATGAGTTTTCATGTTTGACACGTAAAGAACGCTGTTTTGGTCTAATGTAAACCATTTTTTTTACAAGTATATATCGACTTTTTGTGTAGCACTGTTGATACTATACCTATTAACCTATATGTGTAATGTAACTAATGTGTCTCCCATTTTTTCACGAGGTTGAGTGTTCGAAAATGAAAAACATGAATATTAGGATCTAATAAGTAGTTGGATTTTGTACGGTTATGAGAAAGAAACGGTGCGTCTTAGGAACTAATAATTTAAACAAAATATAATATTATGTATGTTTTCCTTAATTTTGTTACAGTTTAAAAAAACATGTAAAGAAGTCTTGCATGTCTTAGGATCAGTGTTTATTAAGAAAATCCAGCAAAAGGAAAGATTCGTTAAGTTACTTTGTTGACGTTTTACAGACAATGCTTACAAATTTAAAGTCAAAATTTTGAAAACTCAGTTTTCCTAAAGTTTGCTTTTTCTCTCTTTTTTTCTTCCTAAAAGCAAGCGTAGACCAATTATAGTTGAAATTCACCAAACCACATGCCAATTAGCTAATCAATAGACCACCTAAGTTACCGTATGTGATATTTGTATGTAAAATTACTAATACATCCACTCAAGATAATAATTATTATAGTCATACATCTCGTCAAAATCTCATTATACAATTGATTTGGGTCGGATTGTTTAAGGATATTTCAGACTATATCGATTTCGGTTTGCGCTAGTCGCTGGGTCAGTGTATGTTTGGGTTCGTATAACTTAACCAAGTCTTTTATCTGATGATATTATTTGCTATTCGGGATTTATGACTCATAAGTATGTCTGGAGTATGCCATCATTAGCTATATGACAGTTGCTTGTGTCCACAACTGATATTTTGTTTACGAGCCAAAACAAAATATTAGATATTGGTTAAAAATATTACAACTTCCATAGGGCTACATTTAAAATAATAAACACATCAATCGAATTTAGTATATATATATATATATATATATATATATAAGGTTTGAAAACAAATTAGTCGATCTAGTGTGTATATAAGATGGTAAAGTATATAGCTAAAGCATCTCAAAGAAACATAGAAAAAGAAAAAAAAAATATATATATATATATATATATATATATCTCTAAGAATAAGTAATGTAGAAAAACAAGCATATACAATTATTGAAGGGTATTTAAAAGTGTGATATAGTGGTGACTGAATTTCAACTTGCAAACTAATGTCTTAATTTGGGAGTCTTTGTCTCATAGTCGTTTGATGTTAACTAATTGGCTATACACACTTGAAACTTGTATGTATCTCGCTCTCTCTATCTCACCCGATCGACCTCTCAACCACGAAGATTGAAGATCAAAGTAGACTTGCAATCCGATTGGAAAAAAAGCACAAAATATATTAGGATAAATTTTTTCTCAAAAAAGGGAAAAGTAAAAGAAAAAGGACACACTAAATGTGGAGAGGGTAGGTTTGAAGATATTAAAAATTGTGGGGGATGAATAAGAAGAAAGTGGGTACGTTAAGGTAGGGGCCAAAGTTTTTGTGTTTATGAGTTTCAGAGAGAAAGTGATGTGCCGACCAAATCTAGTGATCTTCTCGTCGCACTTCTTTCCCACATTGTGCGTTCTCTCTTTTTCTTTCTTTTATTTTGTTACTTTTTAGTTTTTATCTAACACTTTTATATTTATTTCACATAAAATCACATTGTATATCCTTTGACTCATTAACCTAAAATGTCTTTTTTATTTTAAGGTTCAACCATCTAGTGTATTTACATCAACATACGAGAGTGTCTAAGTCTAGTCTAGACTCTAAAGACAATCTAGAAATGCAATGAAACAAATTCAGAGGAATCTTTTCTGCTTTATGACAAAATGTTTAATTTAGAGGAATCTTATTCATTACAACTTGACCATAAAGGTTAACAATGTGTGGGAGGAAAAAAAAAAGCTTTTCCGAAGAAAGAGGAATCTGTCTGTTTTGCTATCATTATTATGTCTAACGACAAAAACACCATTGCCTAGAACTAACTCAAGCACACATCTAAACTACATAATGAACGTCTGGGTTAAGAAGACTTATCACAAACTCACACCTCAGATAAGATCTACCAAAAGAATGCTAGCAAAAAAAAATTGTGCTATTGTCATCCTGGTTGTTTTATAATCAAGACCAGATCACTGCAAATAACTTTATAATCAAACAAATCAATGTCTAATATTCTTGCGTTTCTTATCTTCATGGAAACCTTCACAGAAGCTTGAAACAGAGGAGACATGATTCTTGATAACTTATCAGTTTACAAAATGGAGCAGCCGTTGATTCAAATTTCATAACCACATTCAACACAAACTATAAGTTATTTGGAATTTAGAGTTTACAACTAATTTTATTGACAGAAAAATGCTAACTTAGATCATTTATCATTAATTCAAGTGGAACTACCAACTATAGTACAGGTTAAAGAGCAACATGTTGCATTTTACTTGGATCATATATTTACATAAATGCACTGAATTCTCCTTCCATAACTTAACATAATTATAATTTAGCTTTGAGTTTTAGCAATATAGATTAGCTAGTAAATTTACCTTTACTTAATATCAGATAAAAATTTAAAGTAAATAAATTCGCAATTCTAGAAATTGGATAGAACTTTTATATATATTTCAATATTCTGATTCTCTCTCTTTTTTCAAAATTTTAATTCAATTTACGAAAAATTGCTTTATTCGTTTTATTTTGTTGTTTTCTAAAATTAGAAAATATTAAAATTGCTATTACATAACATCTTAAAAATAATTTTTACAACAATATGAGATCTGATGTTATTGAAAAACTATGAATTTTTTATTTATTTCAGAGACATTATGAAACTGATTTCCACAAACTAATTATAATTCACCAATATATGTTAATTTGTATTAGATAAAGGAAATGAATATCTTCACAACCATTGGAAATTGAATGGAAATTTTGAGGGAAAATATATATTTCTAATTTTTCTATACTTTACTTACTTTAATGAGAACTTTAATTGCTTTATTCATCTACTTTTAGATTTGAACAAAATAGACAAGTTGAACGTTAGAAATATATTATATTAATATATAATCAGATTACATTTTATAAAAAAAAAACCACAGTTAAGATTTTGTGGAATCCCAACATTTTATATAAGACTCATGTAGCCATGGATTCAAAAGAGTGGTCATTGTTGCCTTTCGAGTTATGTGAGGAAATACTTTGTAGAGTTCCAACAAAAATCTCTTGTACGATTCAAGTTAACATGCAAAAGATGGCTCGCTCTCTTCATTGACAAGAGATTCATCAACAAGCATGTGCCTCTTATCCAGGAGGAATAACTCATACGGATGATCACAAGGTTAAGATCATCAATCCCATGAGCGGAGCTTGCTCATCTTTATCACTTCCAGACGAGTTTCAAGCTAAACCTCAGATTCTTGCTATGATTCACTGCGACAGATTTATTGTTATGCATCTTAGAATCGTCTATCGCAGTTTGGAACCCATGTTTCAACCAAGTTAGATAGATCAATCCCGAGAGTACTGATCATTTGATTAATTGTTTCTTTGGCATTGGATACAACATTTTATCTAGGGATGGCTACAAGATCGTGATACTTTCCAGTAAACACAGATATCACTATTCCATCTACAAACTCAACTCCAACTCTTGGAAAAGTTTTAAAGTTTCTTTGGATTGGCATGAGGTTTGGCGTTGTAGAGTTGTGTCACTCAAAGGATACATGTATTGGATTGCTAAATATTGGAATAGTAAATCCAAATACTTCATCCATAGTTTTTAACTTCTTTAAGGAGTCATTCGAGCCCTTGTGCTCTCTTCCATTGGACTATGGTGCATGTGATGATGTTGTAGCTTTATCAGCTTTTAGAGGAGATAAACTTTCTTTGTTGCGCCAAAAGCTAAACAATAGCAAAGCTCAAAGTGTGGGTTACAAACAAGGTTATCAAGAACGGAGTGGACATCTCGTGGACCAAGGTGTTTGATGTGACGAGCCCGATCTCCCGGTCATACTGGGTGTTTTTGATGATAATCTTGCAAATCCGATGCATTTTATTGATAAGAATAACAGGATTGTGTTAGGTTGTGAGGAAGTATTAGCAGATGAAAAGAACGTGAGTGGCAACATCTATCTTATTGGCGAGGGTGAGATCACAAAACAAGAGATAAAACGACATGGACTAGGTTTTAGCTGGCCTTTTATCTTTGGCTATGGATACTTTCCAAGTCTTGTTCGGGCTCTAACATTAGAAACCGAATGAAGAATTTTAAGGTTGTTTTGTGATGTTTTTATTTATTTTTCTCATAATATCAAGTATTTTGTTGTTGTTGTTGATTAGTTATGTGATATCGTCTAATGGCATATAGAACAATTTCTGTTGAAGGCAATTTTGACTAGTCTTAGTAGTCCATGCTATCGAATATAACATAAGGTAGAACCGTAGAGGACTCAATAAGTATATTGATTAGTTTGAGTTTTGATTCATGAGACATGATTGCAAAATTAAAAGTTTAATATGTTTTACTACTTCTTTTTCCAATAAGACTATTAATAAATATTAGGATTTAACATGCGCTATATAGCTAGCAGAGGATAAGTTTTTGAGTAAAAATGTTTTAAACTTTCAAAACACTGTTTTTATCTTGATTTTATTATATGTTTAATTATCAATTATAAATAGAGATATCAATCAAACTAATTTGTTTACTTAATCCGTTTTGAATTGCAGAAAAAATTATTTTAACTAATCCAGAAAAAATATGATTTTGAATACATAATTTTAGTATGCACTGTTTAATGATTCTAATTTTTGTGGTCAGTCTATGAACTCTTATAAACATTAATTTTACTGTGTCTAACTATTTATAAATTAGAAATATACTTTTCAAAATTTGTTTTTATAATATTAAAATAAAATATAATCAATTATAATGAAAAGTATTATATAATCTCGAATAGATATGTTTCGAAATAAGTATATATATACATATGGATTGCTATTATTTTCATTAAAATAAATAATAATTCAGAAATTAAATAATAAACAACTTCTGTAATGGAAAATATATACTTTCCAATTTTCTTACATAATTTTAAAAGACAAACATAATCATTTCATATTTTATTTATATATTATTATTTGTAATGGTATTTCATGTAATAATATGAAATGATTAAGAAATTTGGAAAATATATTTATTTGTAATGGTATTTCATAACACAAACATTTAATAGAATTAAGAAATCAATAAATTGACTAACACTAGAATTTAAAGTAATGTAGAAGAATGATTTACTAATATCTAATCCAATAACACATGAATTTAAAAGAATTCATGGACTACACCATTGAATAACAGTAGAATTTTATAGAAAATCTAATTCAATTAAATTCTTTAATTGAATACCTCCCCTAAAAATAGGTTATGCGTCTCTCAAAATCAGAGGGCTTAAAAGCCGTCCATAGTAAAGACGCTGTCTCTTCATACTTTCATTGTAGTGTCCGAGTCTAGGTTTATCGTTACTATGGAGAGAGATCCGAATTCTGAAGTAGGAATTTACTGGGATACCGAAAATTGCAAAATTGGACCAAAACTTCATTTCAAGCTCTTGATGGGTCGAATCGAAAGGGCTCTTCAGGTGAAGGACCAAAGATATTGGGTGTCGGAGACATCAAGACATGTATTTGCACCTAAGAGTGCACTTTATCTATTCAGAGAATTTGATTATCGTTAAGACAGATTCCAGCTCCACTGCCCACGGTTCGTCAATGCCTATTGTCCAATATGTGGGTAAAGAGCTAATACATGACATAACTCGGATGAACCGGATTTTTTTGAGACAAATCAGGATATAACCGACGTAGATATGATTGAGCATTTGCTAAATGGAGCACTGGAGTCGACACTATCGAGAAACATACTAGTAATCTCTACAGATAGGGATTTCTTGAATACAATGAAAATATTAGCTGACCATTCTACTAGCACTGTATTTTGTGTTAAAGAAGGAAAAAACGAAAGAAAGGTTAAACCTGTTCGTAGGAATATCGCTACTTGGAATTGAGACAATATTCAATACGGAGCCCAAAAGCGGTATAAAACAAAACGACCATAGTTCACAAAAAAAACTAATAACATCATCGCCCTAAGTTCGTACAAAACTAGTTGTAATTTACATCATCCAAAATAAATAAAAATGATAGTAAACAATAACCAGTTTTATAAAAAACATACAATTTTCTCCATTGTTTTCTACAAATTCACTAACCAAACTTTTAAAACCAAAATTTTCAAAACCAAAACTTTTAACAAGATTTTTTTCGATCGACTAAATAGGCAAATCACTCAATCTCTCTTGTTACATACTCAAATGAAGATAAGACTTTATTAATTTCAACAAAAACTCATTTGATCGTTTTCAAATTCACAAAAGTACAATACATATCTAAAAATTTCAAATCCTACTTCCTTAAACTTGATAAATTAGCCAATTATTTGAGATTTGTTATTAATTTACTCTAAATCACAAAGAAACCAAAATTTAATATTAGATGAAATAAATTTATAACTAATATAAACATTTAACAAAATTATCAAATACCAATTGATAATGTAGTTGTCATGGCTAAAAAATGCAAAGTTTTCAAAACCTCAGCGATGAAGAAGAATAGAATTGAAAAATGGTGAATTTAATAAATCTAAAACGTAATTTATCGTTCATATGATACAATGGTGTCCTAATTTTTATTCTATTGTTTAATTCATTTACTAGTTATATGATACTGTAAAAATTAAAAATTAGCAATTAAGCAAATATGAACCATTCGAAAATTTATTAGAAAATGGGCCCGTAAACTAATGTTTCTTTTCTACACCCATGGGCACGGCCCTGGACGTGTCTAATGTGTTGATTTGGTTTGAGATTGGCTGCTTATGTTACTTTTAGTTTGAATGTAGTCATGTAGATGGGATTTTCATTTGGTCCACAAAGATGGCTTTCGATTGAAATGTTGCACGAGAAAGAAGACGGTCCTAAGAGCTTTGCATTGGGGCTCCACGCACCTGGTTTTTTCGACAAGGCTTTGAATGTCGATAAGTGCTTGTTACAAAGCGAGCCAGCAAACATGGTACGGTGATAGCAGTTATACAAAATCAGTATCTACTTAGAGCTATTCTTCAGAATCGTTAGTTACTTCTTTTCTTTTAATAATCCAATTAGATTCTTGCCGCTGTTCAAGATTGCTGGAGAGTTCCCCAACTAAGTCTTTCACCATATGATGCTCGTTCACATGCAGGGTTTCTTAAACATTGGATGCTGAGAACTGGAAGGTATTAAAGGTACTTAAAGTCAAATTGTTGATAGCATAAGCAACTTGTTCTCGTAATATAAGACAACTTGTTCAGGAAGGTATTAAACGTGTTTTGTCATAATGAGCTAAAATTGATGGAAGTGAAAACATAGTTATATCTGCGCATGATCTTTGGCGATACTCATCTCATTTCCCTAGTTTGGCTAATTCTTTCTTATTATCAAACTTGACCATAGGAACGTGGACACTGGTTCACAAGAACTCATGGTCAATTTTGTGACATCGTCTTATAAGCCAAGTGCGTACGTGTATGGTTCAGTCTCCTCCTAGGGCCAAGCACGTGTATGGTTACAAGAACTCATGGTCAACTGATGCACACAAGAATGCACAGATAAACGGCATAGAGAATGCAATATTCATCCAAGGGGATCTGTATAAGATAGGAGAGGAATTTGGGAGCAATTTCCCTAAGCCTGATATCATTATATCTGGTTATAATCTTCTTCACATTCTTCCTGATAATACTTGCAAGCCTACCAATTTTTCTCCTCTCTCACTAGAGTAAGTGTTTAGGGTTTTGGCTCGCTCTTTTCATTGACAAGAGATTTTTCAACAAGCACTTGGCTCTCATCCAGGAGCAACAACTCATATGGACCAATGATCATAATTTATAAGGTTATCAATCCCATGACAGGAGCTTGCTCATGTTTATCACCTCCGGACGACTTTAAGCTAAATCTGAGATTTATGATATGATTCACTGTGATGGAAATCTTAGTAGTCCGATGCATTTTATTAATAATAATAATAAGATTATGTTACGTTGTGAGGAAGAATTAGAAGATGAAAAGAACGTAAGTGTCAACATCTATATTATTGGCTAGGGTGAGATCACAAAACAAGAGATAGAACGATATGGACTAGGTTTTAGTTGGCCTTTTATATATCCCCGGCTATGCATATCTTCTTAGTCTTGTTCCGGTTTCAACATTAGAAATCGAATGAAAATTTTAAGATTGTTTGGTGATGTTATTATTTACTTATTATAAACTCTTTTTTTTTTTTTTTTTTTTTGGTTGGTTATAGTCATGTGATATCGTCTAATGGCATATGTAGAACAATTTCTGTTGAAGGCAACTTTGACTAATGGCATATGTAGAACAATTTCTGTTGAAGGCAACTTTGACTAGTCTTAGTAGTCTATGCTATCGAACATAAGGTAGAAGACTCAATAAGAATATGGGTTGATTAGTTTATATTTTGATTCATGGGACATGATTGTAAAATTTTAAAAGCTCTTAATAATGTATTTTTTGTCTCAATGAGACTAATTAGTAAATGGAATGAAGCAAATATGTGATACAGTCTTTCAACATACAGTAAAACTTTATATCAATTTGATATTCAATACGTTTCTCTCGTCGAAATGTATAATCTAACAAAATTTCAATAAGTTAGTGTTATAGAGTTTCACTGACTTTCTAAATTAATAATTATATAAATTTATGCAAACAGATTCTTAAAAAATAATTATAATAATGTTTTTTGTTTTCCTTAACACTATTTCTCTAATTTTTATCATACTGTAATAAAAGATTTGTTGGAATCAAATTGAATAAAGAAAAACAATTTACAAAGACTTTTGAGGTTCATTGTGAGAGTTCGATTAACCAGGAGGTAAAAACATAAAGAAAAAAAAGTATGCGTCTCTCAAAGCAGGCGCGTGTAACCCTTGAACAAGAACACGTTCCTCTTCCTTCATCTGAAACTTATTCTCTCCTCTCTGCCTCCTTCAAAATCACTGAAGCTACAATCTACTACCGTTCTGATTCGAATTCTTCCACCATTGTAAGTTGTAACCATTGGTATGCTTATGCAGCAAAAAACAAACCTAGAATTTCTATTGTTGTCTCTTAATATATAATAGCGTCTAAGAGGGGGAGAGAGAGAGATAGAGTGGGTGTTTCTGCGTAATGGGTCAGCAATTGCGTCGAGCCGTTGGGAGAATAAAAGAAGTTGAGAGATCACCATCTTCTACATCAAAGGTCGCCGTCGATCGGAGATCGATTCCAACGGAAGAGCTCAGCGCCGGGAAATCTCCGTCTGCTGCCGCCGTCAATGGTGTTCCCGGTAAAATAAAACCCTAGAACATTGTTGTTCCCTATTTTCGGTAGTTTATCAGCATTCTCAATCATCCTTCGCATTTGGGTAATCGAAAGTTTTCACATTTCTCTGGTTTGTTATATAAATATGATCGATTGTTGTTGTGTATCTGTTAGATGAAGCTCGAAGAACAAGTGATGATAACGTTTTAGAAGAACGAGACCCAAAATACGATACAATGTTGAACCAAATGGTGGGGAGAATAAGAGCTAAACCCGGAGGCAAAGCCGAGATGGGAGAGGTTAGTAGTGTCCCCTGTTCTCTGATTTGACTAATCGATCTCACCAGGACGAGTTATGTGCTTTTGAATCTTGATATTGATTCATCTGATTGCCTGCATTGATACAGTGATGCTAAGTCTTGGCTGTAGTTTCACCGTTTTTGACTATGTAGTTGTTAGCTGAGAACGGTATTGGAAGAACTCTTTGTGTTGTCTTGAAGTTTTCATCTTGTCATTAGCCGTGTAAAGGTCTTGTAGCTTGATTGATTATTAGGTGATAGGTGAATGAATTCAAAAAGGTTTCATGAACAATGCCGGCTTGGTTCCTAATTCCAGTATAGCATTTCGGGGATTATATGTTAAGCTTCTTAAACTGACGGTATCGTCGACACTCTACAATATTATATTTGATTGAACATCAAATATACCAGCATGAATTAGTAGCCTCAACACAAAGTGGCATAAGGAAAAAGGAAACAGATTGTTTCCCATTTCCCTGTTTATCTTAACGCTGATTATGATTGGTGGTGCTGTTTAAGTTGAGAATGAGAGTATGGCTTTCTAAATACATACTGTGAGTGGGTATAGTTGCGGATCTTGTTGTTTGTCTTAAATACAGGACCTGTTTTACTGTTATCTGTATATAAACAGTGTTCACACTTCATGATTTAATATAGGCATCGGTAGTGGAAACATCGAAAAGGCCACTCCCAAAGCTGCGGAACACAACTCCTGAGTCAACAAGGTATGAGGAAAAACCGGTGCCTCAAGGAACATTGAACGTGGCACAAGTGAGACACATCATGCTTCTGTATCAGGGCAAGGCTCAGGATCACAACGGTCCTATGAGTGTGGACGATATAGCCAAAAATTACAGGATTGACGTCTCCCAGGTCCAGAAGATTATCCAGTTCCTGTCTTTGCCTCCAGAGGTTACTGATAAGCAGAAGAAACGATATGAATAAGTTAAAAAAGCTCTGGTTGTTCATTCTCAGAGGTTTCTTCTGTCCTTGCCAGTTTTAGAAAGTTTTGTGCGTCTATGTGTAACACAGAACCAGAGATGACATTGACTTCGATTTTTCATTTTTTCTTTTTGTCTGAGCAATAATGTAAAACTGTGTAGCTAAAGAATACGAAGCTTTTTTTCTTTCTTTTCTTCAATTAATGGGTTTAAAGAAGATGCAGCAGCGACAATAGCTTTGGCAGTCAATGATGTAGCTGAACAATGTTAAATATCAAAACTCAAAAGGTAACGAAATAATTTTGCTTTCTTTTCTTTCTTCTAATTTTGCTTCTCGATCCATTTCGTGCCAATACAACAAAATCATATATTATGGCCCGGAGAATAATTTGATATTCGATATAAAACCTGGTAATAAAAATATCACAGATTGGCAATTACATCACAACATAACCAAGATTTTATACATCTTATAAACAGTTTTATATACAAACCCACTGATTACAACATAAGGAGACATTGAAACACAAAACAAACAAACCCAACTAGTCGAAGTACGTGAAAGACCTTATTCAAACTTCCACTTACCATTTACACACGTACAATGTAAATTTCTAAAGCATAGGTTTTTTTTTTATAAAGCACAGCTTTTTTTATAGCTCATTTAACGAAGGAACACTCTTAAAATCATTTTTAAATGGGCTTGATATGGACTCCAACTTGGTGAATTATGTCCGTACCCGCTTTGCCATGGAACCCAACGATCTTGTGGCTATCCTGTTTGAGTAGGACGCTTTTAGATCCTTCAAGTCCAAAAGGTGGAGAGGTTCGCTTGTTTGTCGTGAACCTAAGCATCGTTATAATCTCAGCTTCACTTCCAAATATGTTGTCATAGTTAATCTCCACCGATTTGATATACTCGTTTGGATATTCAAGCACGAACTGCAAGAAACAAAAAACAATACAAGATTTAGAGAAACAAGATTACAAAATCTGTTGCATCCTCTGATTCTTGTATTTTATATATTTGCATGACCTCTTCAGGTGCAAGTAGTGTTCTTTTTTCCATGATCATTTCCAGTGACCTCCTTAGAGTCCTTCTCGTACACGAACTTGACGTATGATACACCAGAATCGCCTTGACCTACGTACACTTTCTTGACACTATCATGAGGACCATCGTCCCATGTATTTCCGGCGTTACCACCTTTTGCCTCTAGTTTCTTGGCACCTGAAGCTGAACCAGCTGGCTGAGTGGCCCCACCAGAAGACGAAGAAGTGCTCGACGAAGGTGCAAAATAAGCTCCAAGAGCATGAAGAAGTTGGCCTACTCGTCCATGGAATCCAACAAGTTTGCCACCATTCTTGTCCTTGAGTTGATATTTCTGTGAACCCTCGAGTCCAAAAGGTGGTGAGGTTTTTCCTTTGGATGTTTTGAAGACCAAGCAAGTGACAACTTCCGTGTCTTGCCCAAAGATCCTGTCGGATTGCACCTCGACTGATGTGATGTAGTCGTCTGGATCAACCTCAAACTATACAAATAGGTTACTACTTTAACTTGGTATCTCATCATAATTAGAATTCGTAAAGTCTAAACGGATTCGAACTTCTTAATTATAACAAATAAAACAAACACAAACCACTTCTGCTCCGAGCAAAGTCTTCTTTCCGTGTTCTCGTGTTTCCTTGTTACCGCTCTTCTCATACTCGAACTTGACATAAGTGACACCAGAATCACCTTGTCCAACGTAAACTCTTCTTACATGATCATGAGCACCATCGTCCCATGATGTTCCTCCTTTCCCACCTTGAGCATCCACTTTGTTGGCTTGACTCAAAGCTGACGATGGGGTTGAGGAAGAGGATGGTAAAGGAGCGAAGTGGACGTCGATGGAGTTGAGAACGTTGCTGCTAATTCCTTGAAAACCAGCGATCTGTTTATCTTTGGGTGCATGAATGGAGAATTGGTTCCTGGTTTTGTTTCCGTAAGGACCATATTCGGTTTTGTTGGTCTTAAAAGCCAATGCTGATATAGCATCTTCAGCTCCCGTAGTTTTGTAGTAGCCAGTAATATCGGTTATGTACTCATCCGGGCTTAAGCTCACCTACAAAAATAAATGATCACATTAGATCAATTACTATACACTAAATTTAGTGCATGTAAAATCCATAATCAAAGATTATATATATGGCTTCGAATGGTTACTAACACCGTCAGATTTCTTGCCAGGATTGCCGTGACGCTTTGGATTTTGGTCTCCGTCATACTCAGCCTCTATGGATTTGATGACATCTTCATATGTAAGATGCACTCTCTTCACCTTCATGTGCTTCCCGTCGTCCCAAGACATAGTTGCGGCCGCCATTATTATATCTGACCATTTTAATACCGGATGTTACTCTTTTTCATTAGTATCTATATGAAAAGTAGCTACGTACTTTTTTAAAAATGCATGCTACGTACTTTTAATATATCAGATGAATTTATATCATTTCATAATACTTTAAGGTAATTAAAAAAAAAAAAGTGAACAGATTTGGAGTTCTTGTAGTTGTAACGCTTTAATAAAGGTAGAATGAAGTGAAGCAATAGAGAGAGAAAGTACCTCGTTGTTTTTTTTATGACTTTAAAAGAGACTTGGTGTGGTGAATGGGGATGCATGCAAGTGCGTTTTATACACCCAGAGACATAAGCCGATAAATCAAACAACATTTAGATAAGCCGATAACTCAATACCACGTTTGAGGTCCTAAAGACCCCACGTTACTCTACATAACAATTGTTCCACTTGTTAAAATTCATGTAATATCCACTTATGACACTTCAAATTCAAACACTTGGCCTTAATATCCACATGTGCCTCTACAAAATCATACACTTAACCTTAACATCCAGATGTGAGAAATATTCGACATACACATACGAATCTCGCTAGAGACAACAACAGACAAATGATCAGTGTGTATGTAATAGTGAGAGCGAAAAAAAAGAGACACTTGGCCTTCAAGAATCTTGCGCTAGAGACAACAACAGACAAATGATCAGTGTGCATGTAATTGTGAGAGTGAAAAAAAGAGACACTTGGCCTTCAAGAACTCAATGTGCATGTATAGTGGAAAGACACCTAGCAGATTCCAAATAAATTGGCTATGAATTTCATCACTCGCACTCGATCGGTGATACATATATATATATTCCCCTTCTACAGGATCCCATTTCCATAGGCTTCCACTTTGTTTTTTTAACATTTACCAAAAAATACACTCGTAAGCTTATACAAATTAAGAATCAAGAATGAAGTTTCCTCTCTTGGGGTTATTTTTGCTCCTAAGTCTTGTCGGCTCTCCGACAAGGGCCGAAGAAGGACCTGTTTGCCCTAAGACCGAAACTCTAAGCCGTGCAAGTTTCCCAGAGGGTTTCATGTTTGGTACCGCAACCGCGTCCCATCAAGTACATGCTTCCTAGTTCCTACTAATTAGTCAGGATCTTAAAACAATTATCCCATAAAAAATGTTTATGTAAATTTAAATATTGATTAAAATATCTACTTAATATAGGAAATCCTTATTGTTAATAACGGAGAAAGTATTAAATAACAAATCTATGAGATATATACATAGTCACTCGTCTTAGGTATGAAAGGAATGTTGGGAAATTTACTTACTAAAAATATAATATTTTATTTCTGTGGTGAAAATAGGTTGAAGGTGCCGTAAATGAAGGTTGCAGAGGTCCAAGCTTGTGGGATATCTACACGAAGAAATTTCCACGTATGTCTCTCTTGTGTTCCGTTTATATATATATATATATATATATATATATATAAAAAGTTGTTCATGACCAATATTATAAAGTTGTTATATATTAATATGAAACTGCAGATAGAGTTAAGAACCACAATGCTGATGTGGCCGTCGATTTCTACCATCGCTACAAGGTATTTGTTTCACTCTTTTTTTTTGTTTGGACCAAGACTCTTCACTCTTTTATTTTAAGTCCATGTATTAATATATCTGAATATATAGCTTAGAAAGCCTATAGTCCTATATAAATTTCGATTCTGTAAACTAATGTACGTTTGCCATAAAATGAATAGGAGGATATCCAGTTGATGAAAAAGCTGAACACCGATGGTTTTAGACTTTCCATTGCGTGGCCAAGAATATTTCCCCGTAAGTTAAAACGTTCATGAGTTCTCTTTTAGATTTAATAAAAAAAAGTAGGCCATAAAAATTATGAATTGGTATTGGCTGTATTAACAGCTGGAAATTAACTAATATAACAGATGGGAGGATGGAGAAAGGAATAAGCAAAGAAGGGGTTCAATTTTACCACGATCTTATAGACGAGCTCCTCAAAAATGGTTACATATTCTCTCTTATCCGTTATTATCGTATCATGTAGTAGCTGAAAATAAATAAAAAACTAACTCTTCGTTTATGTTTTAGACATAACACCATTAGTAACGATTTTTCATTGGGATATTCCCGCCGATTTGGAAGATGAGTACGGTGGCTTTTTAAGCGAACGTATAGTGTTATTCTCTATCTCAACGAAGTTTACATTTCTCTAATGTACGTACTATATAAAGTATATTTTATATATACTCTTTTCTAAAATTAAATATGCGAACATGCAGACCGGATTTTGTGGAGTACGCAAACTTCACGTTCCACGAATATGGGGACAAAGTGAAAAACTGGATAACGTTCAACGAGCCATGGGACTTTAGCCGTTCAGGCTATGACGTTGGGAAGAAAGCACCGGGACGTTGTTCTCCTTACGTCAAAGACTTCGGACCTCTTTGCCAAGATGGACGGTCAGGATTCGAGACTTATGTCGTCAGTCACAATTTGCTCTTGTGTCACGCTGATGCCGTTCAAGCTTTCAGAAAATGCGAAAAGGTAAAAAAAAAAAAATTGTTTTCAAATATGACATATAAACGATGTTAAAAAAAAAAACATGATATGCAAACCTTTTTTTCATTTTTTGTCGTTTTAATGTTAATATATTTTTTATTCATTTCTTAAAAGTGCAAAGGTGGTAAAATCGGGATAGCTCATAGTCCGGCTTGGTTTGAACCGGAAGATGTGGAGGGAGGTCAAAATACTGTAGACCGTGTGCTTGACTTCATCTTGGGCTGGTAAAGAAAGAAAAGAAAAAAATCATCAATTCTTGAAGTTTCTTTAATCTCGGTTTATATACATACATCAAATATACGCGATGCTCTTCAGGCATTTGGATCCTACCACGTATGGAGATTATCCTCAATCTATGAAAGATGCGGTCGGACCACGGTTGCCCAAATTTACAAACTCCCAAAAGGCAAAACTGAAAGGTTCAACAGACTTCGTGGGAATAAACTATTACACTTCTTTCTACGCAAAGCTAAACGAGAAGCCTGATCATCGGAACCCCACTTGGGCTACAGATTCTTTAGTCGAGTTTGAACGTAAGATTTCATTTATTATGTCATTAATTTGCCAACCGAGATGGTTCTGTGCTTATATAATATCAACGTGCATGTAAAAAAAATAGAACTATCTAATCAAATGTTTTAAACTTTTTAACATTTTCAGCCAAGACTGTGGATGGATCCGTTAAGATTGGTAGCCAGGTTACAACATCTTTCTCTTTTTTTTTTTTAGTTAAAAAACATGATTCTTTACAATTTATAATTTAATCACCTTTAATTATCAATTTCTGGTTTAAATTTTGTAGCCCAGCACTGCTAAGATGGCTGTATACGCAGCGGGTTTGAGGAAGCTTTTGAAATACATAAAACACAGATATGGCAACCCTGAGATCATAATCACAGAGAACGGTTACTGAAAATCTTAATTTGTTCTTATTATATTAAAATGGTATAGTATTATTACATTTTTTGTTTACTTGTTTTTTTTTTCTAATTTCCGAAAAAAAAAAACTAAATAGGTTACGGAGAGGACCTTGGCGATAAAGATACAGATCATAGTGTTGCTCTCAATGACCACAACAGGAAATACTATCTCCAGAGGCATCTTTTGGCCCTTAATTATATGGTGAGATCTATTAATCATTTGTGGTTAGACTTTGATCTTCAATTATAATTAATGGTTATTTCTAAACATTTGCATTCGATCCTTGTTGCATCTTGTAGTGAAGACAAGGTGAATGTTACATCGTATTTCTTGTGGTCGTTAATGGACAACTTCGAGTGGCAAGACGGGTACACAGCTAGGTTTGGGATCTACTACATCGACTTCCAGAACAACTTGACTCGTGTACAGAAAGAATCTGCAAAATGGTTTTCTGAATTCCTCAAACCATCCAAGTCGAAGCTCAACGAGGAGCTCTAAAGTCGACTTCTCTGCAAAACCTCAAAGCTTTCAGTCACGTGGGACATACAATAAAAGAAGGATGAGTCTGTCTCTGGTTTCTTCTTACTTATGATGTTTAGTTTTCTCATACTCTGTAATTAAAAGTCTTTTGAATAAAAGCAATGGGTTACTATACCCAAAATGTGTTGTATTGCCAATATGTACACAAAAGTTGCTCTAAATCCGAAATCCAAAAGCTTTGATTGCGCGTGGAATAAGACAAACGACATACTCTACTTGCAGAGTGATGCAAGAACTCTGCGTGGAGGATCAAACGGTCTTCGTGAGTGAAGAACCGCCCAGTTATCTATAAGCAGAACATCTCCTCTCTGCCATGGTACAGCAACACATTCCTCTTCGAGTATTCTGAGACAGTCGTGGACTATATCCTCTGGTAAAGGCTTCCCATCTCCAAAAGTCACGGCCTTTCTTGGATCGTTCCGCTTATCCTCCCAGCCCGTGTAAGCAGCTACCATGCTGTTGAACCACACTTTGCGGTTTCTCGACTCGTCGTACTTGATAGCCGGAATCGGACCCATGATTGTTTTGGCTCCTTCCTCGGTCCATTCCAGTTTCATTCCCAATTTAGCTGCCCTGTCAATATTTCCAAGTCTCAGTGTAATCAAGAAACCAATCTCCATGATACACCGTGAAGTACCTTTCTTCAGCAACGTTCTTATCTTGGGTCAAGAATGTGGATTTCCAGCCACGGCCAATTGGTGAAGATGGATCATCATCTTCCCCTAAGACTCTAACATAGAGCAAACCATGTTCCTCCAATCTCTGAACAAACTCTGGATGTTTTTCTTTCATTCTCTCGTACACAACATGACTCAGCACAATTGGTGTCTCTCCTCCAGACTTAGGCTCAATCTCACAGTAGAAGAACAACTTTGATGGAAACTCAGGAACCTATAAACACCATCAAAATAGCACCAAGTCCCTCAATTTTGTGCTATAAACATCTTCAAAACCCATCAATTTCAACCTTAAAGATCTTATTTTTAATATTCAAGTTCATAAACTATATTCACTTTTGCTCAAATTTGATGGGATCATTGAAAAACTATTCCTTTTTTAACAAACCTGAGCCATCTCGTGGTGAAAGGGGATTTTTTGATCAGGAGGAGACTCGTTGGCGGTGAAGACACGACCGACGACGCTACTGCGAGGCGCGGCGCCACCGACGTAAGGAAGCTCATCGAAACCGAAAGCCTCGACGAAGTCGTTGAATTCGTCGGCGGAATACACCGGAAACCCTCTGAAGAGCACGGCTCCGGATTCGTGCAAGAGGGAATCGAGATAGGGTTTGTGGGTCTTGATAGTCTGAGTGAATAGTAGGGGAGACAGAGCAGGAATCGGAATCGCCGGTGACGACGACGGCGAGATCACCGCCGGGAAAGGCTTCGATTCGTAGTGCTTCTGCTGTGGGATTCGAGTTTCCACCAACGATTCCGCCATTTTCTCTCTCGCTTCTAGTTTTGTCGATATTACTAATTTCAGTATTTTCACGCTCTGTTCTGTAAAAACCTGTTGCTGGAACATGTCGTGTCGATGTTATGGTAACCTATAATGTTTCTCTATTTTATTATCATCTAACGATTGATGGAAAATAAAACTATTAAATTCATACTAGTTTTTCATGGGATGTGCCTTGAAATCATAGATTTTTTTTTATAGCTCTATTCTTTACCTTTTTGTTTTCATATGAAAATTTGAACACTTTCTATAATAATTTATAAACATGTTATATATATATATATATATATATATATATATAAGTGTTAGCTCTCAAAATCAGTTAAAATTAAGTCAAAAGATTCATGTCGTTTTTTTATAGTAAAAATAAAAACTTTATATTTCAAATAGGATCCTAACACAACAACCTTAAATGGCTAAATTTGTATAGACAAGGCGGCTATTCGAATCAATTTGGCCAAAGCACCACCCAAACCTTGGATGACTTTAATATACTAGAATAATAAAATTTCATATTTCAATTAGGATCCTAAGTTGCTAACACATAACCCTAAACGGCTAAATTTATATTTGTATATATAGATAAGGAATACTCGAATCAATTTGGCCAAAGCACCACCCTAACTTGGATGGATTTAAGCGTCTAAGCTCTCTTATTGGTCAACTCAATACTATACATATACTGTTATAAAACATATTATACTGATATAGAAAATTAACAAGCTTAAATAGGTTCATGTGGACATTGATCTTGAGCTTAACAGCAGCGGCAATAATTTCCCGGTGGAGGAGCTTGGTGTTCGGAGCAGTAACGGCAATTAGCATTCCCGATCTTTTCATTTCCAGTAACGTGAGTGTCTACAAAGGATTAAAAAACGTTAAAAACAAACAGATAAATATTAAAAGGTTGCATTAGATAAAATAATTGTGATCGTTGTGAATGTTTTGTGGTGAGGTTTTGTTTAGTGTTCTTGCATGCTGGTTCAGTGGGACTTAGATAGAATAATTAGATAAAAGGCTGCATTACATAAAATAATGAATTATGCTTATTTACCTGCAACACAAGAGAAAGAAAAATTGTTGGAGACAAAACCATGGCTGTGACGAAAAAAGATTAGAATAATTTTCTTCAAGGAGCTGTTTGCCATAAGGAGCTCTTATTATGGCTTTTAGTTTATACAAGCTTTTATCTAAGTGTGTACTTATAGAATATTAATACATTTTAAATGAGATAGAAATCGATGACAGAAAGTAATACTAGTAGTATATAATCTCCTACGGTCTCTAACCAAAAATAAATTCCTATGGCCTTGTTAATATTTTGTTGTTTGAATCAGATATTATATATATAATCTTTTTTTTTGTTTGATAATGTATATAAACCTTCTGTGCATGGAATTTATACAACTCCTGAAAATCTGGAGAGTTCATCACTTTTTTTTTACAGAGATGTTTGAATTCAAAGGTACTATAATTAAATACTTTTCGTAAATGTAGCTATTGAAGGCTTGACGTACATTATCGATACTATTGATCAATACTTATCGAGTTATCGTCGTGTCACTCAGTCACTCATTATAAGACTTTTTTCGATGGTATATACTATATAATATTGCATTCAACTAGTTATCTGTAGAAGTCTGACTCAAATTATATTAACTTAACTAGTGAAAGTTGAATGCAAGGAAATTAGTTGACTTTTGACACACAAGAAAATAGTTGACTTTTCCCGCCAAACCTAACTAGGTGATCCCATATTTATAAACATTTTTTATACATAGTTTTATTTTCAAGGCACATAAATGAATTTAGAATGGTTGGAATTTGGAAACATAAAAAAAAAAACTTCCAACTCATTGGTGAACTGACCCATTTTCTATATACCTTTGTTAAAGAATCCTAAATTTTGCTAAATTATTATTATCAAATACGAAAAAGAAAATTTAAGTTGTGGAAACTCCATATTATTATTAGTTTTAAACTTTTAATGAATCAACAAATATTTATAGTTTGTTTTGGAGTACTTCATGTAGAACACAATATATTGGAGTAGCCTTTAGCAATTTTCCTTTACCTAAAGATTTTCAACATTGTTGTGATTTGTGAACTCACTTAATCAGACTTTCGATGAAGAACCCAAAAGTTTTCTTATTCAAACACACAAAGAGTACTGTTCTTATTCATACATACAAAGATTACACAGTTCTCAACCAAAGTTATATTAGACCCTCCGATACCAGAGTCACAGTCTTTAGGGACCACCCGGGCAGCGACATGGGCAGCAGTAGCCCGGTGCAGCCGGTGCACAACACACACATTGTGGACACATGCGAATTGGTGGCGACGGTGCCATAAGCTTACGTCCTCCACCTTTCCATAAAAAACGTAGTTTTATCTCCCTTAGAAAAACCTAAAGAGAAAGTAACATAAAAGATGGAGAGAGTCATAGATTTATCAGCTTACCTCCTAGATGCCCACTAGCTGCTTGACATGGAAGTATTGGAGACAAGACCACCGCAAGAACAAGAACGTATAGGAGGACGTTGGATTCCGATGACTTGGTTTCCATCGCGGGTTTTTGATGTGAATATTGGTGAAAATGTTATTGAACTAAATCGATTTCTTGTTGAAAAACTTGAAACCAAGGTGAGTCTGTTTATATAGCAGCGTAGAGAAAGGAAGTAAACTGCAGCAAGTTGGCCTAGAAGGCAATAAAATAATTGGGAGATCAAATATAGTACCATTGACCAACATATGTCATTCGTTTTTGATGATGCAACTATCTTTTGAATTCACATAGAATTTTCAATATTTCTTAATATATCCTCATGCATGATAGATAGCGAAATAAATACATTCTACCATTATTGCAATTAGTTGACCTTGAGGTAGTTGCGGTGGGATGACTTTCTTTTAAAGGAAAACTAGATTTTAACTCCGTGCGTTTACACGGAAATTTTTTATTTTTAATATAAGTTGCATTAATTTTTTTTAGATATAATTAGTTTTTGTTATTTATTTTTTAAATCAAAAAATTGTTATCATATTTTAATTTTAAACAGTAAAAATATGTATATTAGTAGAATAAAAGTATACGTTAATTAAGTATACATTGATCTAATGTTAATTATAAACTTTGTTATTATGTGAATTTAGATTTACTCATAAATAATCTATATATCTATGAATTTGCTAACCCGTCCGTTTAGTTGTCTTAAATCATTTTTAATATCTTACATGTTTTGACAAATTAAACTGTATAAAACTATAATTATAAACTATAACCCTATAAATATTTACTAATATTGAATATTTGGACCAATTGATTATGAAAAAATATAATAAAATATTTATTTACTATTTGTGTTATTACAAAAATGTATATATATATATATAAACTGGCTAACCTGTTAGTTTAATTGTCTCAAATCATCTTAATATTTTTATAAATTAACTCGTAGACCTTAAGTATATATATATATATATATAACTCTTATCAGCTCGATCATATTATTGTATAATATAAATATTTATTAATCTAAAATATTTGATATTTTAGACTGATTGATTATGATAAAATACGATAAATATTTATTTACTATGCATTTTTATAAAAATATTATTCAACTTTAAAATTTTAAATTAAATCTAACATGTATTCAAGAAATTCCAAAGTATTAAAATTATTATCTAAATTTTTGTAATAAAATTTAATTATATTTTTTGTTAATTTTTTTGAATTTAAATGAATTTAAATACATATTTTTGTAATTAAATTTAATTATCATAAATTTCCCATAATTTGAAATTTAAAATTAAAGATGACCTAGATTTTAGGAAACTTAAAAATATCTAAATTAATAACTAATTTTCGGAAATTAAATATAAATATAAAATAATATATCATAAAAAAACTTTGGGAGTGTTTGGAAGCAAGCACTAAATGTGCTTCTGTTTTAATATAATAGAAGTTTAGCGATATATTCAAGTTTGTAAGGATAAATGTTTTACTCCTATAGTTTGTTGCTTCGTAACAAAATATCTACCATATTTTAATACCTAAATCATATTCATCATTGACCAAAAATCATATCCATCAAAATTAATATGTTTCTATTTATTAGCTTACCAAAGATAAAAGATGTCTGATAACATATATGTACTTCACAAACTCTATTGATGGCTAAAATTAACATTAACACCAAAAAAAAAAAACTCTATTGATGGCTATGCTTATGCAACATGCTTAGCTAAGGGGATGTTAAAGCAATATTGCTTTGTGTCTTATTTTTATGTAAATCCATATCATTTCCAATCTTTACAGCAGAAGCATCTCAAAGCCGAAATAGAGATCTCCATCATTCCGCATTTTCTGTTCGTTATCAGATTTGAATTTGTAGCATGAGTATAAAATGTCTATCACTTTTCTTGTCTTTTGATAAGGCTTCTTTGTATATATATATACATACATTGTTATTATAAGTACAATCCCTATATAGAATTGATGTGGATGTTCCTACGGTGCTGAACTATGTAATTATCCTATTGATGTGGTTTTTCTATATAGACTGATAAAAAAAAGGAAATATAATAAATTATCTTATTATGTAAACTAATCATGTTACTAATTCATATAGCATCTGACACAATACTATTCAAAAAAAAAAAAATCTTAGAGACTCAACAAGACTTAGATGAAGTAGAATGAGTCTTTCACCTAAAACTTCCATTATCGACATGCGAAGGTGAAGAAACAAACTTAACGAGCTTAAAGCTTCATTCTTTTAGCAGGGCCTTGATCGATAATAGGATCAATTTGAGGCTGTTGTGGCTCTCCTACTTGTGTTCCAATCTCTTCCTCTAATGCTTCTTGGCCAACATATCCTTCAGGGAACGGTGGTGGTGGAGGTGCTGGGGGTAACTGCACAAGGCAAACACGAAAAGGCAAGTCTCACAATCAGAAGCGAAAGGTAAAGGAAGTCGAGTCACAAACATAAAACATTCACGCCAACATGAGATCTTTACTGATCCAGCAAGTAGATTTTGTCAGAGTTACAAATGTACCTTGCGATATAACGAGGAAAGTATAACATCGACTCGCTTCATTTCCTTTAGATCAAACGTCTCACTAACTGGCTTTGACTCAGAAGATTCGTTCTGGTTTTCAGCATCAACTGAAATTCCATAGATTAAATTATCTCAAGTGCAGCAAAGAGCAACTGACAAATAAAAACATAAACTTGTTCGGCTATACCAACTAAGCACATTTGCATCTACAAACAGTTAATACAGAGGACACATTGTATATATTTCAGACCAGTTTCATGGACTAGCTAGTCGAGCTGTCAGAAAACTTTGAAATCAACTCCTAGTAGCAGAAAAGATTCACATCACATCAATTGAGAACAGAACCAATGATCTTATTGAAGAAAAAGAACCTTACCCTGCCTAATGGTTTCCAGTTTCGACGCAGCAATAGAGAAAGCCTTCGATATATTGTAAACAGCCCGACCCTGTTTCAAACATCCAAAAATGAGAAAGAGAATAAAGAAAACCGTTGCAGCAACTAAAGCAGTTAACTTTCATTTAGTATCTGCCCTCTCAGAAACACACAAAGAGGAAAGATGAAGAAACTTACAACTCGAGCTGCAAAGACACTACAAAGCTGTGGAGCTTGGTAGATAGTACCGTCCAAGATATAATATGTTAGCATCGGTTTAACTTTCTCGGGACCATCCCTCACTTGCTTACGAAAGACGAACAGGTTTGGTTCTGTAGCCTCAGCGATAATATATTCTACGCCTGTCATCTTCCTGCATCATAGGAACGTATGATCAATGCGTTCCACTGAATTGTCTACCAAAGATTGACATTTGAATATAAAACATAAACCCATCTCCCCTTTTTTCCAATATTATCTCAGGAAACAAATAGTGACCACAACCTAAAACTGAAACCTAAGCTGAAAATCAAAATCGAAATTGAAACGAGTGAGGAGCTTACGAGAGGTGAGAGTGATCGAGAGGGTGAACGGATCTCCTACGAAGCGTCTCGTTGTTGCAGGTGATATCGTAAAAGGGAGACAAAGCGAAGTAATCGAAGACGTAGTTACGGTCAAGCGGATACGAATTGATCCAGAGCTGATCCCTGAAGCAAATATCAGTCATATCCGTACCCGGCGGCTGCATCGGAGGAGCAATCTGCTCCGCCGCATTACCGTTGAAGGTGTCGGCCGTAGCCGCCGAGAGCAGAGAGGAGTCCATGGATGTGAGTCGCTTCGCTTCGCCGTGAACCAGAAGAGACGGACCGAGAGAGAGAGAGAATGTGGCCCATTTTATATTGGCCCAAATTAAAGGATTTTAGTATTTCGAGAAATGTGTAATCGACTTATGTGTATCGATCAATTTTCTGACTAAGTATTAAAAAAAGAACAATTCTTGGGGTGAACCCTTTTATTCACCCCCTTCCCTTTTAACCAATCAAAATAAACCATCTCTTTTATTTAAATAAAAAACAATTAATTACTAATTCAATTAAATGATTGTGGAACCCATGATTTTAAGAAGAAAATTTTCAGATACACGATGGATACTTATGCTAGGAGATTTTTTTTTTGTTTAGTAAGTTTTATTTTAAATTAATATTTTACTTCTTTTTTTTGACCAATCAAAATAAGTTAATTTCTTTTCTTCGATAGAAAATAAAATAAATATTAATCTTCAAATAAAAAAAAACTGAATGTCTAAATCTCAAATAAAAAAATAAACTGAATGTCTAAATCTCAAATAAAAAATAAATTTAATTTTAATGCTTTTTTAGTTTCTCCTTTTTGCTTCTTCTCCTTTCTTGTTTTTCATTGTCTCTGATATTTCTTTTTTTTTTATGATGAACCATCATAACTCTTGTCAAATTCCTAACAAAAATAGAATTTAAAATTATTAATAAAATGACAGATTACTCAAAATATAAATATTTAAAATGACACAAAAAACAATAATAAACAATAATGTATTTACCTTGAATAATTGTGATAAAAATTGACCATTTTGTAAGTTCGAACTAATGGTAGCACCAGATAACTGGGTATCGAAAGTAGTAGTTGTATCCTAAATATTTATCAAAATTGTCTAATAATTAATATATAATTATATTTAGAAAAAACGACGATAAAAAAAATAATAAATATAATGAAATATTTACTTCGAGCACTTGTGAGAAATATGGTCCACTTTGTGAAGTCGAACTAGTGTTAGCACCAGATAATTGGGTATCGAGAGTACGAGCTGTGTCCTAAAACATTTATCAAAATTATCCAATAATTACTATAATATATATATATATATTGATATAAAAAGACGATAAAAATAGTTAACAAAATGAAGTATTTACCTGGACAACTTGTGAGAAAAATGGTCCATTCTGTAAAGTCGAACTGGTAGTACCACAAAGCTGGGTATCAAGAGTAAGAGTAGTATCCTGAAATATTTATCAAATTTATTCAATAATTAATATACATATATATTATCAAAATCATAATTAATATACAATAATATAAAGAATCACGTTTTAGTGGAAATTGAACAAAAAAAAATTACTTATCAAATACCTGAAATGATAACTTTTTCTTTGCAGTAGTAATATTTGATGATTTTGATGATCCACGTTTTTTTACTTCAAGAACATTCAAATATCGACCATGGGGTCCGACTTTTTGGTTCTTTGGTCGTCCAACGGAAGCTTTTCTTTTAATACCACGTGCATTTGGAACTTCGTTGTAATCTTTTTCTTCTTCTTCCACATGTTTCACATCTGAAGTTGGGAGCATCCATGCATTAGCTTTCACAAGTTCTTTTTTATTTTCTTCCAATGTTTTAAGCAACTGAGAGGCAGCTTCATTTGCACACAATGTCAATTCTATATGTTCAGCAGCAACAGATGCAATATCACGAAAATTGCGACATAAGTGGCTATATCGCTTTCCAATCGATTGATTCACCGTTTCATTAGGTTTTTCTGAACAATAAGAAGATATGATTCGTGCTTTTGCCTTTTTACTCCATCGGTTCAGAATGTAGTTAGATGGAATTCTTCTAACATTCTTCTTATCCAACACTTTCAACGTATGGCGACATAAGATCCCAGCAAAAGAATACTTCATGCAGCTACAGTGTATTATTTGGTTTGTAGCATCATAACTAACCAAATGCTCTCGCGCTTCACCACGATATGATACTTTGTATTCATACACCATATTAGACTTACTAACCTTTTTTGCAACATAATCACCGATAACTGCGTATTGCTTCTGAAACAAGGTAAAAACTTCTGGTGTATACACTTCCTCAGCATGCTGCAACATCTCTACAGTAGCACTTAATACCGGCGAGGTATGCATCATATTGAAGTCAGCAGTTAATTCTTTATAACGCCGATCATCTAATACTCTCTCATATTGTTTAAAGAAGGACAACAAGTCATAGCTATGCCTCAGATATTTTTTTAAAATATTATTCATACTTTCACTACGCTGTGTACTCACCATATCTGCTGTAAAAGTTTGACGTCCATATACCATTGCCCATTTTTCTCTAACCTCAAACAAATTCTTTAACCATTTATCCTCTGTCAATTTATGTTTTTTAAGCATATCATGCCATGCCAGCAACCAATCTTCTTCTTCCTCATGATCATATACACACTTTCCAAAGTCTGTGGCAAACTGTTCTGCTCCATGAAATACATGACTCAACTTCTTTGCTGCATTTTGGTAAATATGCCAAACACATAACCTATGTTTTGTTTCAGGAAACACATTCACTATTGCATTCGCCATTGCTGCAGATTGGTCTGTCAGAATTGTTTTTGGTTGTTTTCCAGACATTGCTCCAAGAAAAGTCTCAAAAAGCCACTTAAATGACTCTGTGGTTTCATCATATAATAGAGCAGCCCCAAACACAACTGTTTGCTTATGATGATTGACCCCGATAAATGGAGCAAATGGTCTATCATATTCATTGGTCTTATATGTTGTGTCAAAGCAAACGACATCTCCAAAAAGATTGTAATCACTTATAGACCGATCATCTGCCCAAAATATATTAGTGATCATATCGTCTTCATCAAGTTGCATCGAATAAAAGAAAGATGAATTATCCTCCTTTTTTCTTTGAAAGTATTCTAAAACTGCTCCAGCATCTCCCTTTTCCATTTTTTCCATTCACTTTCGATATATGTAATTTCGATAGTCTTTCTCCATGAAACCCAGATTTGCTCACCCCCCAACTTCTCTACTCATCATTTCAACAGTTGCTTTTGCTGAAATTCCTGACATCTCGGCATCATCAGCATGTTTTGTTTGAGCCAAAGAAAATGCACGATTGCTCTTCAACAAATGCTTCATAGGTGTCATCACTAAATCATGGTTATGATTCGGATCGAAAGACACAATCTTAAATCTTCCGGTCTTCTGAAGGTAGCAAGTCATATGAGCTTTACAACCACATCGTGTGATTGTCTGTGAGTAAGATTGCTTGACCTTAGGTTCCTTTCTAAACCCCTCTTTTGAGCAAACATAAAGAAGCCTTACAACCTTACCGTTTTTTGTCTTTCTCCGTTGTTTCCTTATGTTGAAACCATGTTTGCCTCCATAGTTTTTATAAGCCATATGTGCAGTCTCATCAGAACTAAACTCCATTCCAATACAGAGTTCATCTTTCTTCTCAGTTTCTTTGTTTGCTTCTAAAGCAAAGACTTCTTCAGTTCGAACATAATCCTTTTTGTCGCCTATGTCATCTTCTTTTTCTTCGAACTCGGGGACTAAATCTTCATCTTCATCTTCACTTATCAAATCGTCTTCTTTCACAGCTAAGAAATCAATCGAAGCAGGAATTGACAAACTGGAAACATAAGAGGCTTGCAAACTGGATCCAGTTGATCAGCAACATCAATTTCATGATCACTTAGATGTAAAGAAAACTAATCAATGATATATTCAAATCGCAAGAAAAAAAGCGACATTTTTTTCGGACAGGTTGATGGTTTGAAATTTAGAAACTTCAAAAAAAACAA